TTGGAGTCCTTGCTCCAGGCTGGTGAGTCGCTGAAGAAGTTGTGCGAGAACTTCGGTGCCGATCGTCGTCGTGTTTTCGCTTGTCGCAGCCGGGTTGGGTTGCGCTTCAGCCGTTAGATTGGTCTGACCACCAGATCCTCCGGCCATCTTCACTCGTGAGCGTGTGCCGGACGCCACTTTCCGAATGTCGCAATTTTCGGGAGTGGCAGTGCGAAGGATTCCTGAGCCGCTCTCATACCATGCTGAGATCAGAAGTTGATCGTAGCCCAGGATCTACCCAGGAAGGTTCGCACGCAGTGAGATAGTTTGGTGGGCCCTTGACCTCAATAGCAGAGTGAATGTAAAATGCTTTGAGATGAATAAAACATGCAAATACAACGATATAAATATGAGTACAGGGGAATACGAAGCGACCTAGCTAGCCATGTACTCTAAGGGGTACATTCCCTTATTCGAATTCAAACCAACCGTGCGGCCCGAGCAGTTACGAAACTGTTCCCGCCAGATTCATTGTCCCTGCAGCTGCCCGATGCCGTTTTTCTCCGACGGTCTAGATCCACCCTAACCGTCTGACGCTTCGAGTCAACTCTGACTCCTCGCATTCGTTCTCGATACTGCATGCCTCTTTGCTGCGGTGAGGAGTGCACAGTAATATCAAGTATTACTATTCGTAACAACCGTGATCTCCCGGTTAGAAGACCTTGGGGTCTTCTCCTAAATGTGCTCAAAATGGACAGTGGGGTCTTCTCTGATGGCATAGAGTGCATCCCTGGACATTTATATATCACGCAAAAATGGGTCGTAACGACCACAGTTGAAGAATTGCAGTATTTTTTTGCGGATTCGAGTACGGCTCAAAACGGGGAAGCCTTTCGTCACTCTCGCTTCGCGCACATCAATCCTTGCCACGCGTCAAACCTCCTGTAATGCCCAATCGTGACAGATACGACAGCATTTCTCGCGTGACGGGCGGCAAAAGCTCATGATCGATGCGGCATCATGACTCCATTGACCACGAATTCGTCCCACAACGTGAATCTGGTGTTTTTACATTGTGACTCGCTAAGCAGCTCGCCGTTTAAACACCACCAGTGTAGAAAAAGGGGGGGTCTTATGATGAATGGGGTCAAAAGACGGGTCCTCTACAGGACTGACACAATAAAAGACCCCTGGTCCGGATAGAAGACCCAAGGGGCTTGTATGCGGGGGGGTCTTCTTGCCGGGAGATTACGGTATATTCAAAACTCGAGTTATTGAGTTGAACTAATACATTTGAACCTAGGTCGACATAGGCTCGACTATTTCCGCATCTGTGACCCGAGTCGCTGCTCCTCCACTCACGAGAATCAGAGGTCACACAAAAGTTCGACTATCAAAGTTGAACTTTTACAGCTTTCCCGAGTCGCGTCCAGCTAACGAACGGTTACCTGGTGTGTGTTGAAGAGGCTAGGACCCTGATTTTCGAAGTTGCTCGTGCTGCGACTGTCGCCAAATTCGCAACTCCTCGTGTATGGTGAAGAGGACACATGACTGATGTTTTGTGCACACATGGTTTGTTTTGAAAGCTCGACCCAGGTTTAGTGTCCTACTTCATGTACAACGCTGTACAAGGACACAAGATGCATGGACGAAACTTTTAACGAGATTTGCGAATAGGGTTACCAGCAAAAGTTTGACCAATTTTTCGAACCTCTACAGCAAAAGACACGCGCCCTTGGTGGTTTTTTCACGGTTGATGCACATACCTCTTCTTGGGTTTAATGCACCGTTTTAAAGCTCCGCGCACCATATTGAACCTTGTGAGGTAGCGTGTGGGCCAACGTCTCTTGAACAGGTTTGTATAGCGATGTTTGGATCCCCAAAGCTGTGTGCCACCGTGGATTTCGATATGGCCACGTTTCCTTGCGCTCCACATCACTCTTCCTAGAATTGCGTCAGTCAAGGACAGATTTTCAGAATTCTAGGGCGTTTCCTGATGTTGTCGTCCAGCTTGGCAGCTCACTCCAGCGAATCACGGCAAACGAGGAGATCCAAAATCTTCTCACACGTGAATCCGACTCGGGTCAGCTAGATGGCACTTACACTTGTGTTCAGGAGCAACTTCGGCTCAATCTACTGCTCCGTTTGTAGTTGAGCGTGTATATAATGTGAAGGCTAGCGCTCACTATGGGAACTAGACCCGCTTCGACATTCACACCGAAGCACATCATTTTTCACAATTACGCCCTGAAATCATTCTGGCCTTTCTCTGGCAAGACAGTTGTGCTGGGCAATTCTGCTCTCCTCACTGGTCCATTTTCCAATTGCTTCAGCTCTTATGGAATCTGGAATCACTAAAAGGCTGGTCTTCTCCCTCTGCTGAAAGGTTCTTTCTACCCCAATCGTAGCAGAAGCAACTTCCGTTTCCACGCTCTTCTCGGCTACACAACTTCGTTGTTCTTTGAGCTTTCGTTTAGCCATGGAGGCCTTCTGCCTTGCTCGACCAGCCCTCGTGGTGGCTCCCCGCACCATTCGCACACTCCCAGCGAAGTCAGTGCGGTCAAAGGCGAGAGTGGTCTGCGCCATTAAGTTTCCCGGGTTCGGCTTCAATGCCAAGAATGAGAGTGAAGACAACGAGTCTTACGCCGGAGCCGACTCTGCCACGACGTGAGCTTCCAGGCTTTCGCCTGAAATGTCGATCAAAGCTTGACGCCACCGCGTTTTATTCTCCAATGCCCCGTTTCCTAAGCGGCAATGCCACTTTAGGAGTCCTTTCCGTAGTTTTCGATACTCAAATCTCGCTATTCTGTACCGTTTACCATCTTCAGTGTTTTCCCTGCGGAGGCGTGCGACGAGCTCGGAGGCGAGTTCTGCAATGCCGAGGGCGTGTTCGCTGAGGTGAAGCTGGAGTCAAAGCCCGAACCCGTCGTCAAGCAGGTCGAAGGGAGGGATGTCGGCACGGTCGACTACGACGGCCCTAAGACGTACGTTCGGAGTTGCAATGTGATTGGCATTCAGTCTCATTCTACCATGTCGAATGAATGCGATTTGCTGTCACATGAGGCCTGTCTATCAAGAAGCTCCTATGACGTATGTACAAATTCGCAGCCTTTTTTGCATTGGAGAATCCGATTTGCACTGAACGTGTGGACCATACTCGCCACGTGAGAACTTCGACACGAATCAGTCGTCCGCTTTTTGTGCTCAGGATTACGTGGTTTGGGCACCACAGTTTCAAAGCTCTCCTTAGCGAGCTTTCTCGTGGCTCTCAAACGGACTTGTTTCTCTCTACTTTTTGTTTCTTTCATGCAGCGTCTTCCCCGGAGAGGCATGCGACGAGCTAGGAGGAGAGTTCTGCGAGCCTGATTACCAGGAGGGCGTTGGTCCCGAGAAGAAGCTCTGAGCGTAAAATAAGCAGTTAAACTGGTTAGTATGAGAGGCATGATTGTAAATCCTTTTATTTATTGCGCAATTTCTCGATCTAAGTACCCGTCTTTTGGAGCCTTCGCTAGCAAACACGGCAACCAGGACCAACCGCGACCGTTTCTAGAGTCTCACCATGTCTTACAAAACCGTTCTCCCAAACTCATTTCTTTCTGCATTTACGCACCATTTATCCCTCACCTCTCTGTTTCCCTGAACAAGCCAGTTGTCCGCGACCTCTGCCTCCCCCATCTCCGGCTCAGCCTACGTATCCTATTCTCTCGACGCCCTATCATCACTTCCCCTCACATTCTACCCCACTCCCCTATCGAACCCTACCCTCCCGCCTCGCCGTCGCGCTGCCCATCGACTCGTGTTTCTCCATTGGTGAAAGTATAACCCCAGTGCAACACCGTTCACACACACAACCTGAGAAGTAAGACAGCACAGCACGCTATTACCTTGTACTAGTCTCCATATGGGTTCTGACACTCGAAATGCAAGTACTCAGGCTGCTGCTTAATTGAAAATTAAGTTAGGACCTCCGCAGACGAACGTTAATATGAATGAAACTGGTGGGAAACATGGCTGCCATGCCCTGAAGTCAATATGTAATGCAATTGCGGCTCTGGTCAAAATGCCTAATAAAGCTTTTCAGGGATGAGGGCTTAGTCAGTAGAAGCGCAAGCTAGACCAGAAACCACGGGCATGCATGCACGTTCACAGGTGCTTCTGTTCGGATTGAAATTTACACAAGAGAAGCGGGAATGATTTATAAGGTGGTGTCTTTTCCCTCACCTGAGAAGTCATGGCTGGTCATTTCCTCTTAGGGAGTGCCTTGCCTTCCATTTGGTGTTACCGGTAATTTCAGGATAAAAGCCGTGTCATTTGGAGACCCTGCTTGGACATACGTATATTCTATGCCTGATCGCAAACCTCTACAGACCCTGAATGTATGTAATCTGCGTCTTTAGGGATGCAGGAGCTAAGTAATTACATCTTGCATTTGTTAAAAAAAAAAAGAGAAGTCAGCCAGAAGGAAATCCGGAGCACAGCCTTGGATACTAATTCAACACAGATTCAGTTGATGACGCTACAAATCATCTGAGCCATACTGGTGTTGCCAGGATAATGGCAGTCATCATCATATTAGCCATATAGTGGGCACGAAGGCTCCTCGATGACACGGTTATTTCCACCCTAATCGAGATTAACACTACAGTGAGTCTCCCTGACATGGCACGACGCGGGAAGCCTTGATTTCACATTCTACAGACAGTTCACCCGACCTCGAAAATTGATTTCTCCCAACCACCCACACACCCCCATCCTCCCAGAGTCTGGCCGAGGACTAATTTCCATGGCTTGGCCTTCGAGCAAAAACTACCATGGCGGAGTTTTATCGCCGTCACACTCGCCTATTGTTGAACGCAGAAATTACGAATATCTAGCTGGATCATTCAGTTGCCTCGCCTCCTCTGAAGTGGACTGTGGCTGATCCCGATTCTGTACACACTCCTTCCTGATTCAGATATTTCGTCGACTTCAACTCTAGGTCTTAGTTGCAGGAGCTTCAAGCGAGACGTAAATTGGTCAATATGTTGGTGAGGACGTACCAGCGGAAACGCAGAGGGGTACCGAGCGGTTCAGATGACTCGTTTGCAGAGTCGGCGTCGCAGGACTCGCAGTCGTTCTTCTCGTCTCAGTCGCAGGAGTTTCAACTGAACGGCCTTCCCTCGTCACAGGTACGAGCCTATGGTTACCGCCTGCGATTGGCGTTCATTATGCATATATATATATATAAAGACGAATTATATTGGTAAAGATGCGCGATGACCCGTTTTTTCAGGCTTCTAACGCTCGATTGTCACGTGGTCTGTCTGCATTCGCGTCAACGGTCAATCTTGATGTCTGCTCATCGTTTTTATGCTTCGCAGAACTCTGATTGGTCGCTAGTAGGCAGCGATGATCCCGAGGCCATGCTGGAGCGTCCACGTTCGTTCCACTGCAATGCCAACCCCCCTGGTGGACTCTTCTCACCGGAATCCGAACCTCTGCACCACTCCTGTTCCGAACCTGATGCCTTTCGCGGGTTTCTGTCCCAGCCGACACGCTCCAGCCTCCGTCCCCCTGGCCCCTCTCGCACTAGAACCGAACCCAACCGAGCAGAACCGCGCCGGCGATCGGCAGCAAGCTGGCGAAGCCAGATGGACGGTGGAGATGATTCCAGCGGCTTTCTGAACCACGTAAAGATGAAGAAGGGCGGTAAAGGGAGCCAGAGTAAAGGAAGCCAGGGTCAGGGGAGAAAGCAAGGGAGGCGCGGCAAGGCAGAGGGCGAATCCCAAGAAGCAGAAGTAGAAACCCTAGGACAACGGAGGCCGGGCAATGGGAAGGGGAAACAAGATAGTGAGCGAGAGAGCGACGCGGAGGAGGACGAACTTCGCGAGCTGGAAGCGCTTTTCAAGTCTCCAGTGCACCGCAACACATTATTGACACAGAAGCACAGCAGCTCCCTCATGCATGCCGCAGGAACTGCAGCCGCAGCAGCAGTAGCAGCGGCAACAGCAGCCACAGCAGCAGCAGCAGCGTCAGCAGCTGGTGCATCCGTATTGGAATCACAGGAGCTGTATTCGCAAGATTCAGATCTCCCGGGGCCTAGAGGCTCGAGTTTTATGGAACCAGAGGAGTCAGACTTTCGGGGCCCTAGAGGGACGAGTCTGATGGAGGCGCAGGAGTCGGGTGAGATGATGGCGAGCCTGGATGAGGCCATGTTTGCACTGGATGGACTCAAGCTGCGCCAGCCAATCAGGGTGCAGAGGTCTGCTGCCACGTCACTGGCGTCCATCTGCTCGGCTGTGGACCGCCGTCGCCTGCTGCGCTCGCAGGGGTGGGTTGGTTGGTTTGACAATGAGGTGTCATGCTCACCTGAAAAATCTTGTTGCCTTCTGCACTCGCGAGTAGGTTGAGTTGTTCGCTTTAGAATTGCTGTTGAGGCTTAGGTCTCATGTTGTCATAACTCCACGGCTCACGCTTGCCTTGTTTTGGGATCTTTTAAAACTCGGTTTATGTTTTCCTATGTCTGTACCTCTGGTCCGGCTGTTTTCCCAGGCTAATAAAGCAGATAATGGATGCTCTTCTGCTTCTCCCAATAACGGATCACCCTCTTGCACTGGCCGCTGCAGCTAGTTTCTTCTTCGTCTCCTCCGATGTGAGTACTTCGAAATTCCTACCTACCAGCAAGCCTATCAATCGACCAACCTACCACCAGGGTTCTCTTGTAAAGATTCTGGTGGTGGTGTCTATCTGGCTGGCTGTGCTTTGATTAATTGTTTCTCTGCATGGCTATCTTCAATTTTGGCAGCCAGTTATTACTGGCAACAAAGCACCCTCCCTGTGCCACAGCTATCTTTGTTCTGTGCGGTACCGTTCTCTGACTCAGGACATGGAAAGTGACTTCCCAGACCTGCCGCACGCACTCAGCTTCCTCCTCGGCCTCTTAAAAGCACCACAGCCCCCCTGCCCCTCCATCGACTGTTAACTCTATCCAATATTCCCCTTGACACCCTCCCAACTCACCCACTCAGGACGTGGAAAGTGACTTCCCAGACCCCTCCCACGCGCTCAGCTTCCTCCTCGCCCTCCTCAAGCACCACAGCGCCGCCGTCCCTCCACCTGTCAGCCCAAGCCCCCGTCCCGCGCATGCGTCTGCTGCCTCTTGTGGCAAGTCTCCTCCTTCCCGGGTAGGCTTCCCCTGGCGGGAATGCCCTGTCAAGGGGATGGAGAGGCGGGAGGCGGAAGCTGCTGTAGCAGCAGAGAGTAAGGTCAGGAAGCTGTTTCCGAGAGGGGTTGGGGGGGTTCTGTGGGAGGGGGAGGAGGAGGAAGAGGAGGGGGATGGGGAGCAGGAGGAAAGGGGGAGAGGCTGTGGTGGTGGTTCTGGTGATGCTGCTGCTGCTGCTGCTGGTGCTGCTGCTGGTGATCCTGGCGATGGTGGTGGTGGGTCGTCGGATGTGACTGTTGTAGCGCTGGTGCTGGCCACGCTGAAGCGGATTTGCTCCTCTGTGATCGCCCTCCAAGGTCTTTCCCCGCCTTTGCCCTTGGCCACTCAATTTGCTGGGATGCAAATAATTGCGTTGCACCTGATGCTCTGGACGCATCAGGGTTGCCCTTTGGGAGTCGCCGCGCGAACAGCTCACTATCAAGGAGGATGTATCTTCTTCCTGTTGTTGGTTCAGTGTTGCTGGATGGGTGGATGGATGGATGGATGGATGGATGGATGGATGGATGGATGGATGGATGGATGGATGGATGGATGGATGGATGGATGGATGGATGGATGGATGGATGGATGGATGGATGGATGGATGGATGGATGGATGGATGGATGGATGGATGGATGGATGGATGGATGGATGGATGGATGGATGGATGGATGGTCTCCTTCCCTCATCTTTCCCTCTTCCTTTGCTCTTATTTCTTTGTTCTTTCCCTCTTCTTTTCCCCCCTCTTTCTCTGGCAGCAGCACCAGACAACACGCTGCCGCCCTTCTCCTCCAGTGGGCCCGGGCGGCATCAGCTCATGCGCGTTGGGCTTAAGGACGAAATGCGCCGCCTGGGAGGGCTGCACCTGGTGGCGGCTGTGGCTGCCAGGCACATGCTGCAATTCCCCTCTCTCTCCTCGTCCACACATGAGGTAAGGAATGCAAAGCAAAGGAGCTCTTTGCGGACTTGCCATCTCGGAGGGCTGCACCTGGTGGCAGCCGTGGCTGCCAGGCATCACCACTTCATTACTACTCCCTCACCTCTGACTCTGGCGTTTGTTTCCCCAGCCACATGCAGGCGGCCTTGGAGCGAAAGAAGCAGAGAGGGAGGCATGGGGAGACGCCAAAAGGCGGAGGCTGGGGAGCAAGGAACATCCTTGTGGATTTGAAAAGAAGCACCACTTGCAGCAGAAGCACAAGCGGATGGGTGGTACTGAAGCAACAGCAGCAGCCAATGAGGGCTTGACACATAACGGAAGAATCTCCACGGGTGTTGATGTGGCGACAAGCTGTTTGGGGGTGTTGGAGCATGTCACGTTCATGAGCCGTGATAACCAGGTGTGCCATGTGCCCCGTCTACTCGTAATATTTCCTCCTTTTTTTGAAGTCAATCAAAGCCAGTTTATATTTATATGTATACATATGTATATGTAGATACATACATATATAATGAAAAAACCTGCTGGAGTTCTGCTCACGGTTTTCCACCTTTTGTGTCTCCGATCAGTGATTCAATCTCAATGTTGTTCAACACCGCTCTTCTTCCCACCACAACGATCTATCCGTGGTCACTGATACTCTGCCTGGAGTTGATTTCGCATCGACTAAATAATGAGCCTATCTCTACTCACCTTCATCCATCCATGTATCCCTCCATCCCACCAGGACTATCTCATCCGCCTCTTATTGCCCACTGACACTCTGCCTGGAGCAAAGCGAAGAAAGTTGTCCGGCTGCCACACCGCCTCTCCCGCTGCCGTTCCCCTCATGGCTGCAGCAGCCTCTAGTAGGGCTTTCGGGGAAGGGAAGGGGGGCAGCAGCAGTGAACGGCCGTTTCTTGCTCTCCTGTTGGAGTGCCTGGAAGGGCTGGCTGGTGAGCTCATTCCTCTTGTCGACTAGAAAGTCGGCTCTTTGCTCGCGGTTTTTCTATTGGAAAGGTATTAATTGCTCTCTTGTTGCAGTGCCTGGAAGGGCTTGCATGTGAGCTCACTGTTGCTAAACAATAACCAGCAATTTGCTGCCTGATTAATACAACACGAGTATCTCTCTCCTCCTTCGTGCTTTGCTCCCGGGCTCTTTCTTTACTTTTCTGATTTTCTCCCTCCCGTAATATTTTTCCAACTTCTTAACCCCCTTTCGACCTTGCCAACTCCTCCCCCTCTTTTCCAACCACTTTCTCCTCCCACTTTCTCATCCCACGTCCCCTCCTGCAGGTGGTGGGGGCATTCCGACCTCGAAGGGCAAGGAGAGCGCTAGCACTTCAGAAACAGATTCTGAGGGGGAGGAGGAAGACGCAGCGGGAGGGGCAGTAAGGGCCGGTGGTGGGGGCGTGGTGATTCTGGGCGATGATGTGCCTCTGGACTTGGGGTGGGAGGAGGGGAGTGAGGAGGGTGAAGTGGAGAGGGGGGAGGGCGAGAAGGGAAGTGGGCAAAATGGTGGGGAGAGAGTGTGTGGGGTGGCCGCAAAGGGGAAGTCTGGTGGGGGAAGGAGAGGGGTCCAGGCAGGTGGCAAGGAGAGGGCATCGGCAGCCCCGTTTTCCTTCGACCCATGGGGGGAGGAGGGTACAGGGAGGGTTGCAGGGAAGATTGTTGGGAAGATTGCAGTGAGGGCAGGTGCAGGGAAGATTGCAGTGAGGGCAGGTGCAGGGAAGAGCAGCGGCGCTGATAAGGGGCCGCAGGGAAAGGTGGCTTTCAATGCAGGTGCACGTCGTAGTGCTGTGAAGCAGTTTGAGCAAAAGCAAGAACAGGCTGTAATGCTGGGAGAGGCAGTGGAGGGGGGTTATGATGAGGAGGAGGAGGGGTCGCGACATGGCGAAAATGGTGCTCTTCCCATGGAGGTGAGACATAGCAATGGTGGTGTGGTGCTGGGGGAAGATGTGCCGGCAGCAGAAGAGGAGGACGAGGAGGAGGATGGGAAAGAGGGAGAGTTTGGAACTCGCAAGGCTCGCAGTGGTGCAGTGGGTAGAGGAGGAGGCGTTGTATTGGGCGAGGCGGTAGGGGAGGAGCAGGAGGGCTCTGATGATGGGGATTCGGAGGAATCTGGATTGAGTGGCAGAGAAAGGCACAGGCGAGCATGCAGTGCGATCAAGAGTGGTTCTGGCGTGAGAGAGCGTGGTGATGGAGGGTTGGGGAGGAGTGAGGGCGTGGGGAAGGATCCATACGAGTTTCTAATGGACTCACAGGTGGAGGAGGAGCTATTATTGGGAGAGGAGTTATTAGTTGGGGGAGAATGGGGGGGGGTGAGGGGAGGAGGGGGGTGTGGGGAGGGGCAAGGTGGTGTGTGTGGGTGGGGGTTAAGACTGGGGGAGGAGGTGGAGGGAGGGAGCAGAGGGAACGATGGTGAGGGCGGTGAGTTGTGCAGGCAGGCGTGCGTGGGGGACCATACAAGGAAGGTACGAGGGAGGGAACAGAACGGGAGGTTGCAAAGTGGGAAGTTTCAAAACGGGAGGTTCCAGGGCAAGAAGGGGAGACACGGAGAGGGTGAGTACAGGCAGGGGCAGAAGAAATCTCGCAATGGAATCTCTACTGATTTAAGACCAGGCGATGGGGATGATGATGGCGAATGCCAAGGCGATGGCAGTTGCAAGGAGGGGCTGTCAGTGCGGTCGAGGGCAGGGCGGAGGTTTGTGCTGGCAGCATGCAAGCTGCTGATGAACGTCACCAACCACAGTGCAGAAGGGTGCGGAGCGGTGGCAGGGGCGCACGGGATTGCTGTGGTGGCGTCTCTGGCTGCGGCCTGCTGCTCCGACCTCTGCTGGCAGCATGCCCTCGCTGCTTCTGCTGAGGCCCGGTGTGACTCTGCAGGAAAGCCAGCTCTGGCAGCAGCTCCGGCGGTAGCTTCGGCAACTGCTCCGGCGGCAGCTTCGGCATTACATACAGGCTATGGGTCAGAAGGAACAAGCCCGTTTGTGGGGCATACGAGGTGGAAGGAGGGAGGAGAGGGGGAAGAGGGGTGGAGGGAGAGGGAGAGGGAGAGGGAGAGGGAGAGGGAGAGGGAGAGGGAGAGGGAGAGGGAGAGGGAGAGGGAGAGGGAGAGGGAGAGGGAGAGGGAGAGGGAGAGGGAGAGGGAGAGGGAGAGGGAGGCAGTGAGAGCTAGGGCGTGTGGGTTGGGGGATGAAATGCTGGGGAGAGGGAAAGGAACAAGTAACGGGGGAGGGGATGATAGGGAGGAATGTGCTACAGGTAAAATGGCTTGTGAGGGGGGAAATGTAAGGCGGCCAGGAAAGGAGGGGGCAGTGAGCGGGGAAGGCGGGCGTTGGGAGGGAGATGGTGACGTGCTGGTGGTGCTGCTGGGTCTGATCGTCAACCTGGTGGAAGCTGATAGTGACGCCAGGTATGGCCAAGCCTGAGAATGCTTGTTGTAGTACCGCCCCTATGTGTTCATGCACTTGTGCTGGTGTTGCAGTAGCAGAAACAGGTGTAATGCCCCTCGTGCTGGTTGTTCTGCTGTGTGTGATAGTCAGCCTTGTGGAGTTAATGATAGCAACGCCAGGTATGGCTATTGTGCGTGGTCCTTCTGGTGGAAGCCGGGGCGCCTCCAAGGTGTATTTTGAGGCGCCTCAAAATAGTCTCTAGTGGCGCCAGGTATGGCTATTGTGCGTGGTCCTTCTGGTGGAAGCCAATGGTGCTAGGGCGCCAGGTAGGCGCCTGCTGCTGGTGGCCGGCAGGCGCATGAAGGGTGACAAACCCTGCTGCTCTGAGATGAAGACACATACATCTCTGAGCTCCTGCTGCTCATACTCTGCTGATTGTTCAGTGGTTTGTGCATGTGTTCGTGCATCTGTGTGCGTGCTTCTAACATTCGCAGGTCCCTTCTGGCTGCAGCCACTTGCACGAGGCAAAAGCAGAGACGGCTGCGATCCAAGCAGCACAAGCGCCGTGGATACACCACCCAACACCAGAGGCTTCATGCAACCAGCACCACCAGCAGCGGGATGTGGGGCGAGGAGGAGGCAGGGGGGGAAGAGGAGAGCGTGTCTATGGTGTCACTCCTGTGTGCTGTCTTCACATCCCGCCAAACCTCCCAGCAGACGCAGAAGCAGCAGCAAAAGGAGAGGAAGGATTTTGCTGCCAAATGTCAGATTTCAGATCGTTCCAGCGACGAGGAAAGGACCGCAGTGACGAGAGGGAGTGAGGGTGCAGAAGAGATGGGAATGGCGGAGCAGAGGCGACGGGCTGAGAGGGAAGTGGAGGAACTGCAGAGGAGCGTACTGGGGCAGGGGGCGATGGTGTTGGAAGGGGAGATGATGGGAGGGACAGGAACAGGAAAGGAGATGGAGAAGGAGATAGGGGAGGCAATGGGAGAGGGTGAAATGGTGATGTCGATGATGGTGGAGGGGGCAGTGGAGGCGGAGCAGCTGATCATGGAGTCACACGCTGCTCTGCTGCTGGGGCTGCTGGCGCAACACAGGTGTGGGTTTGGCGGCATGGCATGCTTGTGTGTCGCATGGTGACTTGCTGGAGCAGCAGCACAGTTGGGTGTGTGATGGGATGCTTAAATTTGAGTCGATTGAGAAAAAGCAGAGCAACTGATCATGGAGTCACATGCTGCTGTGCTGCTGGGCATGCTGGCGCAACACAAGTGAAGTGAGTGTATGATCATGTCATGGCGCTGGTTGGAGAAAGGCTTTCCCTTTTCTCCCCCATTTCACCTCTCACCACCCCCACCACACCGTGAGCCAGAGTGTCACTCCATCTGCCGTCATCTGCCAGGTTGGTTTCATACTTCTCTAAAAAACAGGCACCCAGTGGCGCCTGTTTTTTATTCAATTAAAGAACTGCTCGTCCCTTTCCCCTCTCCCCCCCACCTACAGCGAGCCAGTCTGCCACTCCATCTGCAGCCAGCTGCCAGGCTCCTCTCTGCAGCCGCTGGCACCGGTGCTGCGCCAATTCATGGTGAGCCTGTAGTAAACTAGCGGCAAGAAAGAGTTGATGGCGGTGCTGGGTTGATGTTTGAGTTGAGTGGTGATAAGTTATTTTTACAAAAGATCAGTGGTGATTAGTCGTTCCACCACCTTTTGAAAAGAACCCTGATCAGTATGCCATGCCATTGCACACAACCAAGCTCCTGTTATCCGTCTCTATATCCCTCCCTTTCCACCACAATTTCGATAACTTCAGGCATTCCATGACAGTGTGGGAGCACTCACTAACGAGTCACGACAGCTGCTGCGCCAAGTCATAGTCTTCTGTGCTTCACACAAGCAGTAGTCACATGAAGGGAGTTGCTGAATGCGCGGGCTTAGATTTCCAGCATGGCAGTACAGACAGTCTGTGCGTGACAGTCTATTCTTTCATTCTTTTGTTCTTGATATGGTTGAAAGAATGAAAGAACGCAGCCATATCAAGAACAAAAAAATGTGGAGTCCCTTCCCTTATTGTGTTGAAACCCTTCTCAGTTACATCTTGATTTGGAGAACACAGGAATCCACCTTCATTTGCACCCTCCTCCCAACATCCTTTCTCCTGCCCCCTGTCCCTTACATTCCCCCCCCCCACGTCAAAATTCATGGCACAGCCCTCTGCCTGCCCCTTCGTGTCCCACGGAGCCATTTTCCTCTAAAACTTTTGCTGATACGAGGTTTTAGCGAGATGGCCAATTTACAGGCGTGGAGTACCAATCTGATACGAGGTGCCCCTGATAGGAGGTCGTAGGAACACGCTCTAAGAAAAGCATCCAGTATTACCGTACGTACTCAATTTCAGAACCCCATGGCACAGCCATCTGCCCGTCCCTCCGACCCCCCCCACAGCACGCCACTCCCTCTCTCCCTCACAATCACCTGCCCCTTTCCAAACACTTCCCTCGCCTCGCCCCTCACCACCTCCACCCGATGCCCCCTCCTTCTCAACTCCTCCGCCACGTCATCCCTCCCCACCCCCTCCTCAATCGCCACGTGGCTCTCTCTCACTGGCCCAGGCCCGTGCCCGGGGGGGTCGAGGGAGGGGAGGCCAGAGAGGCAGAAGCGGGGGCGGTCGAGGGCAGCCTGGGGGTTGAGGGAGAGCAGGGCGAGGCTGGTTACCACTTGTAGGTGGCCCTGGGGTTGCATGAATCCACCCATCACCCCGAACGTGCAGTGCAGGTCCCCTGCTGGCACCCCTGCATCTGCTCTTGACTCTTCGGCTCCTTCTCCTGCTGCTCCTGATGCTGCTGGTGCTCCAGCTGTTGCTGCTACTACTCCTCCCGCTGCTGCTGCTGCTCCTCTTGCTGATGCAGCTGCTGCTGCTGCGGGAGAGCGGGTATCCCCCCAGGTGGCGAGGCCAGGAATAATGGTGTGGTAGGGGCGTTTGCCAGGCGCCAGGCAGTTGGGATGGGACGGATCCAGGGAGAAGTTATGCCCGCGGTTCTGCAGGGGGAAGCCGCACCCTCGGGGGACAATCCCCGTGCCGAATCCCATGTAGTTGGAGTTGATCATGCTGCACGCATTGCCCTCCCCGTCCACCGCACAGAAATACACCGTATCGGTCCCAACCCCTCCCCATGCCCCAATCCCTGGCTCAACGATCCCTGCCCGGTTGAGATCAATCTCCCCAGCTCGTTTGGCTGCGTACTCTTTAGATAAAGCCTCCCCCAGAGGCACCTGGACGTGTTCCGGGTCAGCCACACACGTCAGCGCATCTGCAAACCCCATCCGCATCGCCTCAATCATCACATGCGCATAATCTGCCTCCCCCTTCACCCACCCCTCCTTCCGAGCCTCACCCGCAGGTTCGGGCTCCGCTCTCCGAGCCTCCCGGGCAGGTTCGGGAACGCCGTGCTTGGAGTAGTAAGCCTCGGTGATGTTGAGAGCGATGAGCGCAGCAAGGCCATGAGTGGGGGGAGGGACCTCCCAGATGGTGAGCCCGTGGAAGGTGGTGCTGATGGGGGGGGCGAAGGAGGAGGCGTGGGAGGCGAGGTCTTGTAGAGACAGCACCCCGCCCTGGGCCTGCACTGCTCTCACTATGGCTTCGGCTACTGGGCCCTTGTAAAAGCCATCCTTGCCTTGCTCTGGTGGGGGAATGGGGAAAGGCCCAGTAGGGAAGTATTTCAAGTATCAAGTTGCGCAGAAAAAGCACCCCCCCTTGGGCCTGCAATGCTGCCACCATGGCTTGGCTACCGGCCTGTGTAGCAGCCATCCTTGCTTTTCTTTAATGGGGGAAAAGGAGGTTAGTGTGGGGGAGGGGATAGAGGGGGTGGCATGAATGGAGCCGCGACATGGAAGTACTGCCCTGGGCCTGCATTGCTGCCGCCATGGCATGGGCACCGCCATGGCATGGCATGGCCACCGGACAAGTGCGGAAGCCATCCTTGCCTTGCTCTGTTGTGCGTGGGGGAGAGGAAAGGAGGGCTGTTGTGAATTGTGAAGAATGAGCTTGGGGGAGGGACTGACACTGGCACTGAAATGGACATAGACGCGGACGCACCTCCCAGCAGCCTCAGTGTGACTTTTCAGTCGACTCAAAAGTCACATCGGGACGATTGGCACTGGCACTGAAATGGACATAGACGCGAACGCACCTCCCAACAGCCTCAGTGTGGTGGCCATGCCCGGGTTCTTAAACACCTCGCCAGCCCTCGGAGCCCTCTCCCCGTCCACCAATAGCTCGCCGCCATGTGGCCCTCCCTGCTTCAACTGCCACGTGGGTTGGAGGGTGTTCCGCACAAAGTGTGTCAGTCCCATGCTCTACAGAATGGGGTGGGTGAACAAGGCAGACAGCACACAACATTTTCCACGCCTCACACACCGTTCTCCACGCCTCACACACTTGCCCCACGTCTCACCTCCCCTCCCCCACGCCTCACACACCTGCTTCACGCCTCGCTCCCACTGGCCAGCTGTCAGGGGCGGCACGGGCCAACCACCTTCCGCCAGCTGTACAGCCGGCTCGAGGGCCTCCTGGAGCGACACGTGGCGCGATCCGAAGCGTTGGATGGCGTCGACCCAGCAGGCGGCGGCGCCGGGAACGGTGACGGTGAAGGGGTGGAAGGGGGGGAGGGGGCAAGCTTGGGAGAAGCCGAGTGTGGCGAGGTGCGGGAGGGAGAGCGCAGCGGGGCAGCGGCCGTTGCCCTGAATGCTGTGCACTGTGCGGGTCGATGCACGGTAGAAGAGGAGAAACGCGTCCCCGCCTGTGTGGATTGGCGGAGGGGTGGGGGGGAAGGAGATTCAGCGAATGAGCAAGACATGGATGGGATGGGTTGCCCTGAATGCTGTGCACTGTGCGGGTTGATGCGCGGTAGAAGAGGAGGAAGGCGTCCCCGCCTGCAACACGAAATGAATTTGTGAGAACGACGAAATGGATGCGACGGGTTACGGACGGACTGAAGGATCTGCTGCGGAAGAAAATGATTGAAGCTAACCGTTTTGATTGCGCAACTGATCTGCACAAGCCTCAACGACCCGCCCATCATCAGCCACGAAACGAAGTCATCAATCCGTGCGAACCGTGAGATTACAAAGGTCGACTGACGATAAAGCCCTACCTAGTCCGGTGCTGCACGGTTCGCACACCGCAAGAGCCGCCGCCATGGCGACCGCCGCGTCCGCCGCGTTGCCGCCGTCCCGCAGAGTGCGGAGGCCGGCCTCGCTGGCGAGCGGCTGCGACGAAGCGACCATCCCCCGCGTTGCGAGGACGGGAGAGCGGCGCGACGGCCACGCATAGGGATCTCCGGTGAACATGGTGACTGGGGATCAGTTCGGCGCGAAACACGGTGTGGGGTTGCCTGGTGCTGCAATGTAACAACTCGGCGATGGGAATTGGGATATGACAAATGCTCTTCCTGTTGTCAGACTCTGTAAGCTGCTGTTGTGCGCTAGTTCAGCGATGCGGTGAATATTTCTAGAAACGTTAGTTTCACAAAGTGAACTGGTAATACCGTAGTAGGTATGGTGTGGACGACACTATTTGGGGCAACCACTCACAAAATTCACCATTAGATCCACTTGATGCCTTTTGATAGACATGCACTGCAGTAACCATTTTCGTAGCCGTATTCTATAGAAATGAGTTAGCATTTACAACCGGGAATAACACACTTATCAACACAGAAAGTAACCCGTTGGGATCTGGGATAGGAGGAACACCACACATATGGTGTAACATGTACAAATAAGCCCTTTCTTCCAAACACAAACATAAATCAGCTAACATCTTTCCTCCAACTCCCTGGCACAACCAAACTGCACAGCCTCCCTCCACAACCCCCCTCCCTCAAACAGTGCTTTTATTCATACAGGCGGCAGAAGCAGAAAGTAGAGCCCAGCTACACACTAAGCAGCCCCTCGTCCCTCACGCCCAGCATCACAATCTTCTCCGCCTCGAGAGCAATACTCTCATTAAAGCCGCACGGCACATACACTAGAGCCCAGCACTCCTCCCCACCGCCCCTCGCCCCTTCTTCACCCCCGGCATGAAAATCCTCTCCGCCTCCTTGGCAGTGCGCTCCTCGTCCTTCTTCCATCTCATCTCCTCCTCCACCTCCCTCTTCCTTCTCGCCTCCGCCATCTCCCTCTCCATCGCTCTCGCCTCCTCCCGCACCTTCTGCTTCTGCTGCAGCCTGCTTGTGAAACAAGGTTTGATTTGAGACGCCTAAGCACCAGCACACACTAGAGACCGGCGCGCCTGCCCAACGTCCCACGCCCCTTCTTAACCCCCGGCATGACAATCCTTTCTGCCTCCTTTGCAGTCCTCTCCTCATCCTTCCTCCGTCTCATCTCCTCATCCACCTCTCTCTTCCTTCTCGCCTCCGCCATTTCCCTCTCCATCGCACTCGCCTCCTCCTTCAACTTCAATTTCTGCTGCAGCCGGCTCTGATGACTCTCCTTCACACTGAAAAACATCGGCCCAGCCTCAGCCAACCATCTTGGCTCAACAGCCGTCACACACTGCATGTACTCCTTCGAAGTAAGCACCAGCTCGTGATAAACCACGTATTCCGGGGTGGTTCCAAGCCCGTAGAGTGCGCTCGTGGGGTGCAGGTGGCACGGGGTGCCGGTGCGGCAGCTCGCATACTCCCCCACGCCTTTCAGCTTCGCCGCGTGGTGGAAATACGCCGTGCAGATCGCCCGACGCACCACGTCCCAGTCCTGACGAGCACTAGACAGAGGAATCTTCTGCTGCTTGAGGATATCGGCTAGTTGTGCTCGCACTTCCCGGGCTTTCCTAAGGCCTTTCACGTGCAGGTAGTGGTCTGAGCACCAGTCGCCGCGATACCCGTTGGACTTCCACTGCTGGAAGACGTTCAGCAGGGTCAGATGGTCACTCTCGGGCACGAAAAACTTTTCCCGGGCAGCGTCGGACTCCTCTTCGCGGTCCTTGGGCCGGAAGAAAACTGAGGGCACGGAGAGCATGGCAACCATGGTCAACGTCTCGTTCACACACCCAAACTGATCCCCGGAGATCAGCAGCTTCGCCAACGCAGGGTCTAAAGGAAACTCCACCATCCGCCTCCCTGTCTTGGTCAGTGCTCCGGTGTTGTCCAGCGCTCCTAGGATCCACAGCTGGTACATGGAATTCAGAATGTTCTCCTGAGGAGGCGGGTCTAGGAAGTCGAAATCCAATAGGTTGTCAATGTTGAGGGATTTCAGCAGCAGCACGACATTCCCGAGGTTGGTGCGCTGGATTTCGGGCACCGGATTCGCCAGCATCTCGTTTGCGTACGCTGTTTCTGTGTACAGCCTGTAGCATGTTCCCGGACCTGTCCGTCCGGCTCGGCCGGCCCTCTGGTCGGCCGCGGCTCGGCTGATGGGGAAGACTTGCAGCGCGTCCATACCCATGCGGGGGTTGTAGACTTTGATCTTGCTGTAACCACCGTCGATCACGTACAAGATCCCATCAACGGTCAGCGACGTCTCGGCGATATTCGTCGCCACGATGCATTTCCTGGTACCTTCCTCGGCCTTCTGGAAAATCTTCGCCTGGAGATCGGCCGGCAGTTGGGAGTAGATGGGGAGGATGGAGAGGGGCGGCGGGGCGCGGGCAGCGCCGGCCGCCATTTGCTCGAGGCGGTCGGCAAGGGCGAAGCAGGTGGCTTCGATGTCTTCTTGTCCGGTCATGAAGATGAGGATGTCACCAGGTGGCATGGTGACGTGGATGGCTAGCGCCTGCTTTACGGCTGCGTCGACTGGGTCCTCACAGGGAGATTTGCTCCACATGATGCTTACTGGGAAGGTGCGCCCTGGGATGAAGAAGACTGGTACGCTGAGATGGTGGGGGAACAGAAAGTGGGGAAGGAAAAAGGGAGAGGAAGAGATGGGGGAAGGATGAGAAGAGGAAGTTGCTTGCAGCATATAATGATGACAGGGAAGGTGCACACTTGGGTATGAAGAACACAGTTAGGCTTAGGGCCAGAACGAGAAAGAGGAGAGAAAAATTGGTCGGGCAGAGAGGGGCGGGGGAGGGAGGGAAGGGATGGGTGGGTGTGGTGCGAGGTGGAAAGCAGAGGTCATGGAAATGGCAATGATGCGTGTCATCGCATCACATGTTAGCTGCCACGCATGCCCTCTCACACTGCCTGCTCAGCTCACAAGCACATGAAACGTGCCGCAAGAACATGTGCGATATCTGCTGCACGCAGCCCCAGCAGGTGCAGCCTGCACACCTCACCTGCCGAAGAAGTGCGAGAACTTGTCGGCGTTGAGCGTGGCGGAGGTGACAATGAGCTTGAAGTCCCTGCGCCGTGCCGCCACGTGCTTGAGCACCCCAAACAGCACGTCCGTGTTGAGTGAGCGCTCATGTGCCTCGTCCATTATGATGGCGCTGGGAGGAGGGGTAGGGGAAAGGGGGATGGGGAGGGGGAAACACAAGGGCATGAGTGAGGGATGCAGAAGCTGGAGAAGCGGGGAGGAGGGGGCAGCACATGCCTGCCACGTGCCACATGCTTGAGCACCCCAAACAGCAAATCCGTGTTCAGTGAGCGCTCGTGCGCCTCGTCCATTATATAATGGCGCTGGGGGAGGGGGGTAAGTGAGAGGAGCAGCAGCACATGCCACGTGCTTGAGCACCCCAAACAACACGTCCGTGTTGAGTGAGCGCTCGTGTGCCTCGTCCATTATGATGGCACTGTGGGAGGGGCATGAAGAGGAAGCGGGGTAGGGGGCGGAACAAAGCAGTGAGTCTAATGCATTGAGCACTCTGAACAGCCACATCCTCATCCCCATTCAGCGAGGGATCAAAGGAAGAGCATGGCCGTGTTGAGGGATAGCTGTAGCGAAACACGCCACTGACACGGCACTGACACGGCACTGACACGGCACTGACGCAACACTGACAAGACGCTGACGCGACACAGACGCGATACTGATACGAGTGAAAAAATATGGAGGGAAGGCAGAAGTATCCACCTGTACTGGTCGAGATCAGGCTCTCTGAGTGACTCCCTCAGCAGCACTCCCTCCGTCATGTACTGGTGGCGATGGGGGTAGAGAGGGATGCGACAAGGGAGAAGGAGAGAAGGTGAGAATACAGCTGGGAAGGGAGAAGAAGGTAATCAAGACCAGACGCTGGCTGCTAAGGACCACACCGTAACGCCAACACCACACAGCACCTCACATACAGCACATCCCAGCAGCACACAGCAGCACATGTAGCGCCTCAGACACGCACAAATTTCTCATCTCATTGGCTTGGCAGCACCACACAGCACCTCGGATCGAGAGTGCGCGCGCATTTAGTCCGTGCTGGTGCCTCGTCATCGAGAAATTAGATGGTCATCACTGGCAGGCAGCATGACAGCATGAAAGCATGACGCCTTTCTAGTCGACTCAAAAGTCACCTCGAGTGTGTTTAGTCCGTGCCGGTGCCTCGCCATGAGAAATCAGATGGACATGGGCGGAAGAATAACCGCATGGCAAACACCGCCCGTCGCCTCCCAACTTCCCCTTCCCTCTCACCCCACCTTCACGAGGACGTTGCTGCTGGTGACATCTTTGAACCGGATAACACGCTCCACGGTGGACCCAAGCTCGCACTCCTCCCACTCCCCCCCTCTCCCATCCCCGTTCCCCACCGCCCCTTACACCCACACTCCCCCTTCCCTCTCCATCTCACCCTGACGAGCATATTGCTGCTGGTGACACCTCGAAGCAAATCGAATACCCCACAGTGGACCCCAGCTCGCACCCACGATATCTCACTTCCTCCTCTCCTCTTCCACATCCCCCACTGCCCTTGTCCATTCCCTCTCATCTCACCTTGACGAGCGTGTTGCTGCTGGTCACATCTTCGAATCGGATGGCATACCCCACAGTGGAACCCAGCTCGCACTCCATCTCGTCTGCCACGCGCTTCGCCACACTCATTGCTGCTACCCGCCGCGGCTGCACCTCCCTCTCCGTTGCCCTGCCCGCACTGCTCCCCCCACCCTCATTCTCCCCTTCCCCACCGCAAGTGCCCGTTCCACTCCACGTGCACCCCTCTCACCTTCACAAGAGTGTTGCTGCTGGTCACGTCTTCAAAGCGAACGGCAAAGCCCACGGTGGACCCCAGCTCGCACTCCATCTCATCCGCCACACGCTTCGCCACACCCATTGCTGCTACCCTCCGCAGCTGCAGTCCCCTGTACCCTCCCCTGCCCACTGACCCACCCACCCCAACCACTCCAACTCTCCCCTTCCACACTATCTGCCCCTCCCACCCACTCCACTGGCACCCCTCCCACCCACTCCACTGGCACCCCTCCCACCCACTCCACTGGCACCCCTCCCACCCACTCCACTGGCACCCCTCCCACCCACTCCACTGGCACCCCTCCCACCCACTCCACTGGCACCCCTCCCACCCACTCCACTGGCACCCCTCCCACCCACTCCACTGGCACCCCTCCCACCCACTCCACTGGCACCCCTCCCACCCACTCCACTGGCACCCCTCCCACCCACTCCACTGGCACCCCTCCCACCCACTCCACTGGCACCCCTCCCACCCACTCCACTGGCACCCCTCCCACCCACTCCACTGGCACCCCTCCCACCCACTCCACTGGCACCCCTCCCACCCACTCCACTGGCACCCCTCCCACCCACTCCACTGGCACCCCTCTCACCTTGACGAGAGTGTTGCTGCTGGTCACGTCTTCAAAACGGATGGCATACCCCACAGTGGACCCCAGCTCGCACTCCATCTCATCTCTACCTCCCTCTCCCGTTCCCCATTCCCCACTGCCCCTTACAGCCACACTGCCCCTTCCCCTTCCACCCCACCTTGACGAGCGTGTTGCTGCTGGTGACATCCTCAAAGCGAATGGCATAGCCCACAGTGGACCCCAGCTCGCACTCCATCTCGTCCGCCACACGCTTGGCGACACTCATCGCTGCCACCCTCCGTGGCTGTGTGCACCCCACCATGCCGTACGTGGTGTAGCCGTCCTCGTGCAGGTACTGGTGGGGAGGTAGGTGTGGGGATAAGGGTTACGGATAAAGCTGTTAGGACATACAAGCAATCCATGGTGTGTGGCTGCGTGCACCCCACCATGCCGTACGTGGTGTAGCCGTCCTCGTGCAGGTACTGTCAGGTATGGAGAGGAGAGGTGGAGGGGGGAGGGGAGGCAGGCTTTGGGTTAAGGGTTCAGGTTTCGATGAAGGAGCTGCAAGCACCCTACCATGGCATGCCATGCACCCTACCATGGCATGCGGCATGTCGTGTGTTCGCAGTTCCTCCTCATGCAGATACTGCGGACGACCAGATAACGCAGGCACAAAACAAACAAGTCGGATACTAAGGGGGACGACGGGAAAAGAGGGCGTGTGAAACGGTGTTTGAGAAACAGCGCCGCAGCACATCGAATTGCAATACATAGCCACACAGAGAGTAATGAATGGCAAGCCCATCAAGTTGTTGGGGCCGACCCTTAGCAACCCCTGCAAATGCCAAGCCCACCAGCACAGCACCCAACCGCGCTTTCAAACTTGTTACGAGTCATTCCGGGCTGCACACTCACCTGTGTCATCTGCGTTGTTTTGCCGGAGCCCGTCTCGCCCACCACCACCACAATCTGGTTCTCGCGAATCACCTGCAGTGGTGGTGAGGCACGGCACACATTATGCAAAGAGAGGCATGATGGCATGAGGGACACAGAGATGACGAGCAGCAGGGAGGTATGAGAAGGGGTGATGACAGGCTTATTGCAAACTGACCAGAGGCACAGGCACGGCCGTAAGCGTAGCAAAGCACTCGTTCATAACCGCTAGTCCCAGCCGGAATATTTGGGGGCACATACATCCCTTGTCAAATGTCTCAAACCTAGACTCACCTGCAGCAGCTCATCCCTGACGGAGCAGATGGGCAGGTACATGCGCTGCTCCGCGATGGACTTGTTCTTGGCGAAGTCACTGCCAGCGCTGCTCGTGCTTTGAGAGGTAGATGAGAGCATGTATGTACCTCAGTGGTAACTCTCACCTGCAAGAGCTCATCCCTGACTGAGTAGATGGGCAGGTACATGCGCTGCTCGGCTATGGACTTGTTCTTGGCGAAGTCACTTGCCGCCCCACCCGTGCTCTTCATGTGGTCGGCAAACTTCACATTGTCCTTATAGTCCACCTCGCCCTCCTCGTCCACCTTGGCTGTATCCGCGTCCACCTGGTGGGGAGGGTAGCGTGAGGGTTTGAGGTTTTGAAAGGTTGAAGGTTCAAGGGATTAGGGCTACGCCTGTCAACTTCACATTGTCCTTATAGTCCACCTCGCCCTCCTCGTCCACCTTGGCTGTATCCGCGTCCACCTGGTGTGATAATTCAGGGTTCGGGGTTCAGGGGTTTAGGGCATCAGCCTGCAAACTTCACATTGTCCTTATAATCCACCTCTCCTCGTCCACCTTTGCCGTGTCTGAATCCACCTGGTGTGAGGGGCAGCATGAGAGGGTTTGAGTTCTTTTCATAGAATTGATACTGGAGCTCCTGACATGTGGCATGTGTGTGTGCGTGGCATGTTGCATGTGGCATGTGGCATTTGCTGTCTGACATGTGGCATGATATGATGTGGCATACTGCATGTGGCATGATGTGGCGGCATGATGCATGTGGCATGCGACATGTAGCATGTCGCAGGTGGCATGTGCATGCCACATGCGAGCCACGTACATGCACCACTGACACACTTCACACTGACACACTTCACACTGACACACTTCACACTGACACACTTCACACTGACACACTTCACAGGTGTCCACCCACCTTTTCGCATTCCCACATTCCCATGCATGCTTCAAAGCCTATGGTACTCACATCAGCCGCAGATTTCTTGGCGCCCAGAATATTCCCCAGCTTGCTTCCTGCGAGCTCTCCCAGAAGTTCTGCTTTTGAGTCGACTCAAAAACAGACTCATCACAATGCCTATGGTACTCACATCAGCGGCAGACTTCTTGGCGCCGAGAATGTTCCCCAGCTTGACACATATCAAAACTTTTGAGACGTCCCAGACTCAATGCCTATGGTACTCACATCAGCGGCAGACTTCTTCGCACCCAAAATGTTCCCCAGCTTGCTTCCTGCGAGCTCCCAGAACTTCTGCCTGCTCTTGTTCTGCTGCTGCTTCTCCCGGATCTGCGCGGGCACAGGAGGGCGGGCAGGACAGGACCACAGGAAACTGGATGGCGAGAAACAGACACATCTGAGGACAATCCCTTGCACTGAGTTCAAGAACCCAGCAGACTCCAGGCTGAATGCGTTTCTTAAGATTCTAAAAAAACGAGTTCGAGAACCCAGCAAAATCCACGCACATCCATAGCAGGTTAAAAATGGTTATGGGACAACTGAACACACCACCCTCAGGTCCCTCTCTGCCTTCACCACCCACACCGCTCTGACTTCACCACCCACACCGCTCTGACTTCACCACCCACACCGCTCTGACTTCACCACCCACACCTCTCTGACTTCACCACCCACACCTCTCTGACTTCACCACCCACACCTCTCTGACTTCACCACCCACACCTCTCTGACTTCACCACCCACACCTCTCTGACTTCACCACCCACACCTCTCTGACTTCACCACCCACACCTCTCTGACTTCCCTCCCACACCTCTCTGGCGAGAGCAGAGGCCTTGCGAGCGATGATGGCCATGTCTGATGTGGGGTCTTTGAGTGGCATCACCCGCTCCTAGCAATAACCAGCACAGCACACCCCTGACCCCCGTACCCTCACTGCGCATACTCTTTGACTTTGACTCAACCAACACCGCCCACGCACCTCTCTGACTAGCGCGGAGCCCTTGCGAGCGATGATGGCCATGTCGGACGTGGGGTCCTTGAGCGGCATCACCGGCTCCTTACCTTCACTTCACCAGCACAGCACACCCCCTGCCCGCCACCATCAGCACCTCCTTGAACCCAACATCCACGCACCTCTCTGACTAGAGCAGAGCCCTTGCGAGCGATGATGGCCATGTCCGAGGTGGGGTCCTTGAGCGGCATCACCGGCTCCTGCTGCTTCGTGAACACTATGCGCCCGTCCAGGAACGGTGGCTTCGTGTCTGCTCACGCACATATGGGGAAAGGGCGGAGACACTCTTTTGAGAATTCTCAAAAGTCATATGGGGAACGGGCGGAGACACTCTTTAGAGCAGGCCACATGCACCTTCTTGTGCCCCTTCGGCCCAGCGCAAGTTGCTGTTTCAGAGAACCTGTGGGATGGACTGACAACGCAGATCGAAGAAGAGAGGGGAGACTAGGCATGCACAAAGCGGGATGTACAAATCCGTCCGACCGCCTTTTCTATTCTCACAACATGGAAGAGAGACGCTCCTCACCGTGCACGAGCAGCAGCACACGGTTCTCATCCTCATCGTCAATATCCGTGGAGAGCTCTGTAGCGTTGCGCACCACTCCCGACCGCATGAGTTGGCGGTCCTCCCACGACGCCTGGTCCGCCGACAGCTGGGTGAGGCGCTTGCTGGCCGCCAGCGACATGGCCGACCCGTCCGACCGCACCATGCGCTGCTGCCGCGCCGCTGCCTCCTTCTTGCGCTCTTCTTTCTTTTCAAACGCCTGCTCGTCCCCGAAGCCTCCGAATGGGTTGGCGCCCTCGCCTGAGTCGAAAACACTGCCCGCCTCCTCTGAGTCGTACCTGGGACGGTGGGTGGGTGGGTGGGGGGGACGGAGGGCGGAATCAAGGGAGGGAGGGAGGGAGGGAGGGAGGGAGGGAGGGAGGGAGGGAGGGAGGGAGGGAGGGAGGGAGGGAGGGAGGGAGGGAGAGTGTAAGGGAGAGACAGCTGCGTGAGGCGCTTGCTTGCCGCCGCCAACAGGTTAAAGCCCTCGCCTGAGTCAAACACACTGCCCGCCTCCTGAGTCATACCTGAAAGGTACAGACAGTTGCAACTTGTAAATGAATAATGGGGTCGAACTCGTTTTCTGATTCTGTTGCAGTGTAAAGACAGTGTTTCTACTACTTTTGTTACACGATGTTTCTTCTTCTGCCTTCCTCAGGCTACAGATACCCTCAACCCCTAACCCAGAGACCTGACTCACCAGGACCGGTCAGTGTGCCTCTCCGCCTCCTCCATCTCCCTGCGTAAGCCCTCATCCTCCTCCCTCCCCCCCCCCCTTACCATGAACATCCACAATTCAACCGCGCCCGCTCTGATTCCCTGCCGATAGATATCCTCACCTCACCATCTAACCCAGGCACCTGACTCACCAGGAGCGGTCGGCCTGCCTCTCTGCCTCCTCCATCTCCCGCCGCAAGCCCTCATCCTCCTCTGCCGCTGCTCCCCCTCCCTCCCCCGCCTCCCTGTCAGCACGGTAGTCCGTGTCCCACTCGCTCTCCTGCTGCGATGGCGCCTGGGTGCGTGCAAGGTTGCACAAGGGTGTGTGAGCAAGGTGACTTCTGAGTCGACTCAAAAGTCAACGCGTGCAAGGTTGCACAAGGGTGTGTGCAAGGCAAGGTGAGAGTGGCGAAAACGGGGCTGCACGACGAGCGAGACAGAGGATGAGCATAGAGTTGAGGAGAAACAGCCAGTGAAGTGAATATCGTTAGTTGTTCAAACGGGGAGAACAGGGGCAGAGGCTAAGGGGTGGAAGCAGCAGCAGAAGAGCGGCAGAGGAATGGTGGCCACACAAGAGAAAGGCCAAAGGACAGAGGTAGTTCACACCAACCTTCCTCTCTGCCACCTCACAATCTACTCCTCCAACACTCGTCCCATTCCATCTGTCACTTACCAAACATCCCTTATTCACTAACCCCACCCTTCCATGAACAGTCACCCTCCCACCTTGCCTCATCCCACTGTCCATCAGCAGCACCTCAGAAGTTGAAGAAATGGCTTGGAACTGAACCTTCCTTCCCTCCCACACTTTATCCCCCCAGCCACTCTACTCCCAGCCAGATTGTCCCACGAGGCCTTCTTCCACAGTGCTTCAGTAACGGTCTCCTAAGGATAAACTGAACCTGAGCACCCTTCCCAGCAGTCCACTCTCTATTCTCTGATCGTCCCACCTGCCCTCCCGCAGTGCTTCGGCGTGTGCTTGCAACGCCCTCCGAAGCTGACGAGTCAGCTCGGAACCGAAGCTTGTGAGACCGCCGAGCCCTGCCCCCCTCTGCCTGCACGCTTCCCTCCCTCTCCTCCCCGTCCCGACCCTGCGAGACAGGCGTGGCCGAGCCTGCCCTCACAGGTATGGGAGATGGGGACGGGAGGTCCCACACTGAACCTGGTGGAAAGGGAAGTGGGAAATCCAGGAATAACGCATTAGGTGAACAATCGAGGATGAGGAATACAGAGGATAATCCACGTTACTAATCCAAGTTAAAGAGCGAAGCGAAGGGGCAGAAGGGACAACGGGAGGGTATGGGTGAGGAGGGAGAGGGGAGTTGAGTTTTGAGTCGACTCAAAACTCGACTCATTACACGAGGGTATGGGTGAGGAGGGAGAGGGGTCGGCTTAGAACACCCATCCCCAATAGAGGGCCTGTTGCCGCATCCCCCGCCATCCCAGGGTGACAACAGGCGCTAGTCCGATCCGACGGCGAGGGCGGCACAAAGGAGCAGGAGCGAGAGGCACACACACACTCACATCCACACACACAGACATTCATATTCATACATAGACCCAAGCAGACTCACCCTCAACAGAGGGTGTGCTGCCTCCCCCACCATCCCAGGGCGACGGCAGGCGCGAGTCCGAGGGCGAGGGCGGCACAAAGGATGGTTCCGGGCGGTAGGCACACACAGACAGACATAAATCCACAGCCACTCACCCCCAATAGAGGGCGTGCTGCCCCCCCCTCCACCATCCCAGGGCGACGGCAGGCGCGAGTCCGAGGGCGAGGGCGGCACAAAGGACGGCTCGCAGCGGTAGGGCGCAGGGGAGGGGGCGGGTGAGGGCGTCCAGCGGGGGGAGGGGGAGGGCGATGGCATGTCCCACTTGGAGGCCCTGCTGCGCGGCGTGCTGCCCCTGTCCCTGTCTCCGTCTCTGCCTCTGTCTCTATCCCTGCCCTCTCTGGCAGGCGTGCTGTCAGCATCCCTTCGTGGAGTGCTGTCAACGTCCCAGCGTGATCTGGAGGAGCCTGATGGGACAAGAGGGAAGACCGAAACGAAGAGAATTGGGTGGGGAGGAGGTGGAGTGGACGGATGGGTGGGGAAAAGGTTGCCTAACACGGATGAACTACTGCGGTTGACGAAGCAGCACATGACTTTCTCTATCATTCGAGACAGTATCAGCAAGGAAGGAATACCTTAACTCACACGCAGAGGATAGGTCGAACCCTGTTTAGTACAGAACATACATTGACTTCTCCCTTCGCACATAAGCATCACTCGCACACTCACCGTGTCGATATGAGCCCCTGTCGTAGTCCCTGTCCCTGCCTCGATCGCCGTCCCGCTCTCCCCCTCTTCTCTCTTGGGCGCCTCAAAAGCATCACTCACTCACTCACTCACTCACCGTGTCAATATCATTCACTCACCGTGTCGATATGAACCCCTGTCGTAGTCCCTGTCCCTGCCTCGATCACCGTCCCGTTCTCCCCCTCTTCTCTCCCTGTCTCTGTCACTGCCCTCTCTGCCCCTCTCTCTCCTGCTGCTGTCTCTCGAATCCCACCTGCTCCCCCTTCTCCCGTCCCCTCTTTCCCCATCGCCTCTCCTCCCATCCGCATATTCTCTGCTCCCAACATCTGTAGCTTGGAATTAACAAGGAGGAAGCGCAGAGAGCAGCAGAGGGGTGGGAGGAATGAGGAGGAGATGAAGAAAACGGAACAATAGAACTGGAGCACAGCAGAAAACAAAAAAAAAAAAAATCCGTGAAAACCGACTGGCAGGCTGGCGCAATATTGATGCATTCCATTTACAATCGAATTTTCAGGCCCTTCACAAATCAGGTTCACAACAACTTATTTAGGCTACACCGAATCCAGATCATCAATCTGTATCTGATCAACCTCCTTTCTTGACTGACACCCACCCACCTCCTCCATTGGTCACCAAACTAGCAGAGCCTGCCCTGTCAGCAGCACCATTTGCCACGTCAGCAGGCTCCACTCGCGTTCTTTTAGCGCCTCGGCTTGCCTCGTCAGCCTGCATCGAGAGAAGGATGTGGTGGGGAGGGGGAGACGGAAGGAGGAAAAGAGGGGAATGAGGGAGAGGGAGAGGGGCATGATGGCGTTGCTTTTGTAGCACTAGGGTAGTCTCTATAGCCCATGCATGCCTTACACTTGCTGTACCGTTTATTATATTCAATGAGAAGGACCGTTAGAGAGAGAGAGGGGAAGAAAAGGCAGTAAATCATACTCTAAAGTAACAAAACTTGTATAATCGATCACAGTCTTTCACAAAACCATGACTTGACGACCGGACGCACCTCGGTTGCCCCAGCCCCAGTAGCAGTGCCCCTTCAGCTGCATGCACTGTGTTCGAGAGAGATGCATGCATATGCACCATGTACACAACACAACACTACACAAGACAAGCATACCTCGCGTGCGCCAGCAGCTGTGTCCGCTCGTGTATCTCTGTCCGCGTGTGAGGGGGCGCCTGAGAGGTCTGGTGGGGGCAAAGACACATGGTTGGGTTGGGTTGGGTGGGCGAAGGGCATGGGTTTAAAAATAGAGAAATGTTCAGGTGCTATGTGGATGAGTTGGGTGTTCAGGTGCTAAGCGGATGAGTTGGGTGTTACAGACTTAGTTGGAATGTTAAAGTAGGCTACATGGCATGACAATCGGCCAGGAGGCATGGAAATCGTCCAGGTGGCAAGGAAATAGACCAGGTGGCATGGAAATAGGCCAGGTGGCATGGAAATCGGCCAGGTGGCATGGGATTCGTCTAGGTGGCTGGTAGTATGACACGACATGGTGACTCACCTGTAACCGTTGACACGTGTGTGGGCGTATCATCACCCCGCGCCACACGATACCGTCGCCTCTCCTTGCTCCCCCCTCCACCGCTCTTGTCCCCCGCACTCCCTCCTCCCCCTCCCTCTCCATCCCCTTTCCCCCCTCCCCCTGCGACTCCGTCCGCTACCCATTTTCCGCTTCCTCCCGCCTTCCCCTCGCCCCCCGCCTTCTCCCCCTCATCCTCCCCCTCTTCCGCGAATCTTGCCGCTGCTACAGTAACCGGCGGTTTCTCAGGGATTCCCGCGGCTGCTCGCTTGGCTCGGGCGAGCGCGTCCAGACCTGGGGATTGCCGACGAAGGTGGGAAGAGGGGGGCGGGGGTGGGGGAGGGGAGCGGGGTTGAAGGTTGGTTGACAGCTGAAGGCAAAAGAGGAGCTGAGAGCAAGTACGGTACAGGCGGCACATACCGCAAAATACACCTAAGCCAAAAAGCAGGAACGAGACCATGCCGTTTTGCACAAATAGGACAGGAAAAGTCACGCGCTATCATGCATAACAACCCCGGGAATCATCGCATCTGATTTCAGACCTAGAATCCGCTACACAGCGTAGACCTAAAAAAGGTAACGGACGGCGCGCCGCTCACCCAAAACAGATTTTCGCTCGGCCGGGGCCTTAAAGAGCAATCGTTCTCCTCCCAGCCCTCCTGCCGGCTGCAACCCTCCTCTCTGCAACCCCCCTTTCTGTATGCCTCCTCCGGCACCGCCATCTCCTTCTCCAGAATTTGATCCTTTGAGCGTCTCTTCTGACCCTTCCAGTCGAGAAACCAGCCCGGAAAACCCGGAGAGCATGGTGGAATTCGCAGGATTGTAACAAGCTTTCGGCTTGGCTAATCTAATCGCGATGTTAGACGGAACTATTCGCGTCCACTTATGTGTTAAAAAAAGGGTCTGTATGGTGTTAAAATTGAAGGGACGAAACGCGTCAAAGCAAGAAATCTGGCTAGGAAACGGAAAGAGAGAGCGAGAACCTAGAGAGTCGGGATGATAGGTCGTGCAGACATCCCAAAACAAGGGCATAGTCTAAGAGTCGAACCGATACATTTGTAGCAAGTTTGTTGATTCTAGTTAGTACGCCTTTAGCCACCACAAAGTGCTGGTCAATATAGCTCATTCATCACAAATGGTAGTCTTTTCATGCGATTCCCTATTAGATGTGCTGCGATAAGTAGGATTATACATCTATATGTTCAGCAAGAAGTCTCATTCGTATACAATCACTTGTTTGCGTATTGATTGGTTGTGTTTGAGAAATTGTTGTTGCTTCCCATGTATGGGTAAACCCTCCTTGATTCCTTCCTATATTTACAAGCGAATCCACCAGAGACGAGTCATACTTCAAGGGAGGAGATTAGTTCTGTCACTCTGCGGCTTGTCAGAACCCTTCACATAGTACAAAAAGTATCTTCAAGGTATCCGAGTGGAATCTTCCCTGTGACGCGTCATTGCATCTTCAACCTCGCCTCGGCCCTTCCCCATGGACGACGATGGATTGCACGACGAATGCTCACCCCTCATTCGCTCTCCGGTATCCTCTCGGCAATCCCCAGACCATGTCCGTCGCTCTTCGCGAGACTGTTGCGATCTTGCCCGTACCCCGATCATCGAACCCTTACTCGAAACTTGGGATCCACGGTCAGAGACCACCGCAACAGTCAGCGATGACTATACCACGGGATCGACGACCGCCTGCCACGTGGCACAGCCGTTCACAGGTCACAGCGCATGTCCTGGTCACGAAACGGCAGTCGTTCTTGATGACGTGGACCGACAGGAAGCTTCCACGAAGGGGGAGCAGCCGTGGCGATGGCCATGGTCATGGTTACCAGTGTGGATAGGACGGAATGTCATCTCAGCCATAGTACGAACTACAGCCTCCGGTACAGGGAGTACTACTGAGACTGATACAGGGACTAGTACAGGGACTACCACTACCGAGTATACGACAGGTACTACGACAGGGACCATTGCAGGGTCTGGAGGGCTGTGTTTGTGGGACGAGTGGCGGTGGGTGTACTCGCGGGACGGACTTAAAGCCCTGGCTCTCGGCCAGCTCATGTCGCTGCTGCTCACCGTCACTGCCACGTGTTCCGCCCTGCTTGCCGCCAGAGGTACGCTGAAATGATGACACGTGGACGTGTGTGATTTTTAATGACGCGTGGCGTGTGGATATCTGGCTTCTGTCTGTGTCAGCCTGTGCTGGCTCATGTCACTTGTGGTTGTGCTGACATCCGAGTTGCTGCTGATTGGTGGTTTGGAGTGTTGCCACGTGGCAGGAGTGAGCATCCCCACGACCCAATCACTTCTCAACTACTTGCTACTTGCCGCCGTGTATGGCGCCGTGCTGCTGCACCGCAAGGCACCCCTCACTGTAAGCCTTCTGTTCAGTGATTCAAGAGACAGCCCTCCCTGCCCTGTAAGCACGCCTACGCACTGTCGACTCACTATTACCGTGGCTCTCTGTAGCTGTCCTCATTATTTCTCCTATTTGGTTCCAGCACTCTTGCCAAGTTCTTCAACGGTTATTTTTCTTGGGTTAATATTTGTGGTTGATTTTTTATGCGCCCTCGGGGATCCTGTCAGGTGCCACACCACTACCACCCACCACTACCACCCACCACTACCACCCACCACTACCCACCCACCACTACCACCCACCCACCACTACCACACGCCATTTCAGGTGCCATGGCGTGTGCTCCTGCTCGCGTCCTTCCTAGACGTTGAAGGGAACTACTTTGGTCAGTTCTCGTATCATGCCCGCCTTGTGCTGATCTTACTGGCCCTTGATCCCTCGCATCTCCATCTCATTCTCTCCTCCCTCTCATTGCACGTGCGTCGCCTTATCTTTCCCTTTCCTTTCGCTTCAGTCGTGCTCGCCTTCCCCTTCACCTCCTCGACGCGAGTCACTCTCCTTCACTTCTTCCTTGCCCATTTTCCTAATTCACCCTTGCTGTTTTTGACACCCCTTAAAAAAAAAACAGGCCCTTCACCTCCTCGACTCTCCTTCGCTGACTCTCGCCGCTTTCCTTCCATCCCCACGCTGTCCCTCATTCCTCTCCCCACCCTCCGTCCGTCCCTCCACCCTCCAGTCGTGCTTGCCTTGCGCTTCACCTCATTGTCCTGAGTCACTCTGCTGGACTGCTGGGCCATCCCTCTCTCATCGACCCTTGCTGCCTCTTCATCTCTTTCCCTCCTTCCCCACGCTATCCCTCCCTCTCCAGTCGTACTCGCCTTCCGTTTCACCTCATTAACGCGAGTCACTCTGCTGGACTGCTGGGCCATCCCGGCAGCGATGCTGCTCGCAGCGCTCTGCCTCTCCACGCGCTACCATGCTTCCCATGTCATCGGTGCGCTGCTCTGCACGGGCGGCCTCGCCGTGCTGCTGCTCTCCGATGCAGGTGAGAGCTAAGAGGGTCTTCCTTCTTAGTGAGAGCTAAGAGGGTCTTCCTTCTTAGTGAGAGCTAAGAGGGTCTTCCTTCCTTCTTAGTGAGAGCTAAGAGGGTCTTCCTTCTTAGTGAGAGCTAAGAGGGTCTTCCTTCTTAGTGAGAGCTAAGAGGGTCTTCCTTCTTATCCTAGCAGCCTTTCTGCCCCTACATTCATACACCACCACGACTTTTGAGGCGCCTCGTAAATCATCCACACACTGTCATGTCTTTTGAGGCAGCAGAGCAGCAGCAACGCCCCCAGCCCTCCCCTCACGCTCCTTGCAGCTCTGCCCCCACCTCTCACACCTCCCTTGATTCTCTCCGACGTCCTCCTCCCCTCCTCTCCCCACCGCCCTCCCTCACTCACTCACTCACTCACAGGCCCATCCAAGCACGGAGGCAGCAGCACTGCCAGTGGCAGCGGTAGCGGCAACGCGACGTTGGGGAACATGCTTGTGCTACTCGGTGCCACTCTCTATGCGGCTTCCAATGTGACTGTGGTGAGCGTTGCAACGGCAATGCCACTCTATATCCACTTTTAGACTGTGTCTGGTGTGAGTGTGGGGTGAGAGAGTGTGTGGTGAGAGTGTGATGTGTGCGTGGTGAGTGCGTGGTGAGTGCGTGGTGAGTGTGATGTGAGCATTCCCCCCCCAACACTCTTTCTTGGATATCCATACACGCCCATTCTCTGCATGGATGAAGCCCTACCCCCACACTCTTTCCCTTTCTCTTGTCTGCTTTGAGTCGATTCAAAAGCCGATGGCCACGCACACGCATTCTCGTCATGGAGTAAGCCCTGCCCTGCCCCCACGCGCTTTCTCTTTCTCTAGTCTCAAATGCCCCACCCTCTCTCAGGAGAACCTCGCTTATCCAGTGGAGACAACCAAGCTGCTGGCTTTCATGGGGTGCACGAGATGGCTTTTGAAAAGCTAAAAATAGTCGCACTTTTTCCTTTTTTAGAATGCCTCTCCTCTCCTCTCCGTCACAGGAGTACCTCGCTCATCGAGTGGAGACAACAGAGTTGCTGGCCTTCATCGGTTGCGCGGGGTCCCTGATTAGCTTCACACAGCTGTAAGCACACCATCTCCGCACCTCATTAGTAGCACACGTCTGTGAGAGCACCGTCGCCATCCAACCCTTGTATCCCACTTGGATACCTCCATTGTGCCAACTTATAAATCAATCAAGTGCTTCAAATCCAATCCCTTTGTAGGCACATGGGTACGCCATTGAGTGTGTGAAGTGTGTGCATTGTGCGTGCACATGGGCACAGCACAGCACAGCACCGCACAGCACCGCACAGCACAGCACCGCACCGCACAGCACAGCACAGCACACGTGTTTTTTTTAAACGGCTCGGAACTCATCGTTGCCATCCATCCGTTGTATGGCATGGGGATACATCAGTCAGTCCATGTGTGCATTGTGTGCAGACATATATGGCTGGTGTTTTGTGACTTGTCTGTCCTTGTGCACACATCTTGCTCCCCATTGCACCCATCTATTCCACCCTCACACCCATCTGCCCAATGCAGCCTCCTCCTGGAGGGAGCAGACCTGCACTCCCTCCGCTTTGATGCCCACACTGTATGCTCACATAGCTGGATGCCACACTCCCTCACCACGTACTTTCTGTCACTATTCACTTTTCCTCACTACCTACACTCTACGACTGCATCTTCTAGAATCTCACACTCTTTGTGACTCTCTACTCATCTGATATCAAGGCTACCCTATCACCTAGCTCCCTAGCCTGCTGCTAGTTTCCCACGTAAAATATAATGGCCAAGTTCCGCTTGGCTGTACGGATAGCTTCTAGTTGTTTTACATCCACAAGTGTGCATCGATACTCTATGTATAGATGTCGCATATCCATGTTTCCTCCTATGCCACCCTTCCCATTCCCCTCTGCTCATCCCATCTCCCTCGTCCGCTACTCAACCCGCAGGTCCTCCCCATGGTGCTCTTCTCCATCGCCCTCTTCGCCTTCTACTCCCTCACTCCCTTCATGCTCCGTGTAAGCTAAGCTCCCCACACACCATTTTTGAGGCGCCTCAGAAATTGCGGGTAATGAGACGACTTTTGAGGCGCCTCAAAAATTGCGGGTAATGAGACGACTTTTGAGGCGCCTCAAAAATTGCGGGTAATGAGACGACTTTTGAGGCGCCTCAAAAGCCCTCACTCCCTTCATGCTCCGTGTAAGCTAAGCTCCCCACACACCATTGCTCTAGACATATCTGAGGAAAAGTTTTTTCTTGTTACTTCTCAGAAACGCAACCATCCACTACCCAGCCTATCATTTGTGTGCTTAGCCTCAACACCTTGAACCACTTCACCAGTACTATCTTCACAAGCTTTACTCAGTCCATCTCTCCCACTCCAACCCCACTTGCCTCCCCTTCCTCCTTCCCTTTCCTCATCTTACCCAGCTGGGCGGCGCAGCTCTCTTCAACCTCTCCCTTCTCACATCAGACCTCTGGGCGGCGGGAGTGGCGGCTCTTGTCTTTAATCAGCCTGTGAGTCTGCGCTTCCAAGTCTTAAGGACTTAGTCTTGCTTTTAGAGGCTCTATACAACTGGCTTGTCAGCTCTAGGACTGTCTCCTTTCTGAAATCAGTCACTGAGTTTGAGCTTTGAGTTTGAGCCATGAGTCAACCTTACGAGTGGCAAGTCCCGCCTCCATATCACGAGACCTGTCTCTGATCCTCATCATCTCATGCCAAGTTCTTCATGGCTCTAGCTAATGCACTGCACATGTAACGCAGGTCTGTCCTTGCAGTGTCATTTGTGTTGCCAAGCTGCATATGTTTGCTGTGCAAGCACACTGACCAGTCTTTTTCATTTCTGTTTCTTTGCAGGTTGAAAGCATTTATTTCATTTCTCTCGCAGTGGTTTCAGTGGGCCTAGTAATCTTCAGTTTGAGATGAAGTGCACAAAACAAGCATAAGCTGTATGTATGTTGTGCACTTCATCTAGGTTCAGAAGTTAAATTGTCCAGATTTGTTATAGCGCGTATGACTGCTAAGCGATTGGCGGGAAAACCTTGTTGCTGTGTCGGCTGGCCGGGCATTCTGGGCAAGGTATGTACAGGATTATGTTTTGAGATACTATAACTCTTACTCTTCTGACCCCTTCGAATACTCCCCGGACTGAGAAGTAGAGCACGGAACTCGTTCTCCTGCAGGGCTACTTCCGGTTTGGAACATGTCAGAAAGGACGTTAGCTGGTAACGCTAGGTTTTGAGCTGAAAGCTAGACGTTTAGAATAGTGGGCAGGATGGGGATCAGCGTAGTGCATTATGTTGAGCACCTCCACATCATTCCAAGTAGAGTCGGATCAGATTTTCATGTTTTCTTCAACCCGTTTCAGGGTGTATGCCTAGAAAACGTATTTTTCAATCTCCAGCCCCAAATTCTGACAGGCGGCTTGAGACTCCACCGCAGCGCTCCGATGTCAGCGAGCCAATTTCGCAATCTATGTTTCGTTTGGCGCTCCGACAACAGCAATTATTTTCCCTCGCTATGTATGAGTGAGCATCGATCCTCATGATGCGTTTCACGCCAACTTCACCTCAAACGAGAGGAAGGCAACATCGAAACAGAAAGCTACAAGACGCTCTGTACATTCCACAGCACCCCAACTGACGCTTACTAAGCTCCTTGCGGCAGTATCGGGGCTGCGCGGTATTCATCGATCCAACCATTATTAGAGGTGTTCGGAGAGTGGCGTGAGCAGCCTTACTAATCAGCAGCAGCCTTCTCAGCTTGAAGACGCAGGAGCTCCGAGTGTACATACCGTAGATTGTGAAGCAAACTTGGCAGTTTGACACTGACCTCAGACTGGCTGTCTCCGAGTCGAGTGCAGTCTTGCTCTGTCGTTTCAATAATTCGCACCCAAACAAGGCCCTGCCTCCCATCGTCAGCAAATGCATACGAGTGAATAGTCACCTCGTGTTCGATCTCAAATCCGGAGCACCGTGTTGGTCAGTAGGAGCATGCCACGCAAGATGGGCCTGCGTGTTCGCCCTCTCGCCATTGGCATTCTTTTCGCGTGCATCGCTGTTTCAGGTGCGATCCCTACAGGTAACCCCAAAGGTGACCTGACAGGTGGTCCCTCACGTGATCCCACAGCCCCACAGGGTATCCCACAGGTGACCCCACAGATGACCCCTCAGGTGATCCCACAGGTGACTTCGCAGATGATCCGGCAAGTGGCCCCGCCGGTGATTTTCTTTGCGTCGCTGTGTTTCCATAGAGACTCTAGAACCTCGAAGGTGGCTCAAAGCCGTGGCACTGCCGCCCCCCCGCAAGCGACCCTGAGGGGCCTTCGAAAGTACAATTAGCTCGGTTCGGCACACAGCAGTGTTAAGCGCCTCGTCTCTACGTTTGCGATCATTCAGCTATGTCGGTTCCCTGCTCATTCCGCAACCACCCCGTGGCCGCATGGCCGGCGTTTCAATCGGCGCGCAGTGTTCCACGTCTCGTCGAATTCCTAACAGTCGAGTCCCTCACTTCCTTGTTCCATCGGCGAACAGGCGCCTCTGGAGTAAGAGCGCAGCCGTCGCTCCGGTGGCGCAAGGCGCTCAACGTGTCGACCGTGTTCAACACCGCCAAGTTCGGAGCAGGCACTCAGAACACACGCAGCGGCTTCATCGGCCTCCCCTACAGTATGTCCCTGCCCTACAAAACGCCCCCGGCCCTTCCCTCCCCTCTCGCCTCTCTCGACCATCTCACCCTTCTCACCCCTCTCTCCCCTCTCGCCTCTCTCTCTCCTCTCGCCCCTCTCGTCCCTATCCTCCTGTCGCCGCTGTAGCAATCCTGGTTGCAAACACGTGCGGCCTCCCATCTTGCATCATCCCGCTTCTTTTCTCGTAAGCTCCGCCCCTCCCGCCACCATCAGCCGGCTTTCAATCCCAGCGGCTTTTGAAGCGGTCCAAAAAGGCCATTTTGAGCCACCTAGTAAAGCTCAGCACAGTCCACCACCAGGATCCATGTTTCGATCACTGAGACTTCTCTCCCCACCGATCATTTCCGCCTGTTGAACGAAAGGCGGGTTGAGCTGACGGCGGGGTGTCTTGAAGGCCGTTACATTCTTGACTCCCTTTCCCCCTTTCCCCGCCTTTTCTTCTTTGCAGGGGAGGTATTTGCGAAGCTCACAGGCAAGGCCATTCCGGGCTCCAAAGGGGACAAAGGAGCACACGGATGGCTCGATATCAACATCTACAAGTGAGTGCGCTTCTACAGAGTACGATTTTTCAGTCGACTCAAAAATCTTCTACAGAGTTCGTACGAGCTACATGTCAAAGCAGGACAATGGTTGCCCTTCGCAGCGCATGCACCCTGGAACCGTCCATGTTTCTCATACAATCCATACCAGCTCTGGGTGACTTTTGAGTCAGATTCATGCATCCAGGTACCTTCCTAGGTTCACATGCAACCCATATCAGCTCAGGTTTCCCTTAACCCTCTTTCCATCCCGCAACCCCGCCCGCCCTTCACTCTACATCCTATCCTTGCACTAGCCTTTCTATGACTAATAAATATCCCATTTACTTTCTCTTTTGTACTCTATCCCATTTGGTTTCTTTCTCGCTTCCGATCCGATCTCATGGCATCTCCAACAGATGGAACCGCGAGTACAACATTCGCTTCTTCACTTCCACCTTGGGACTGTCGCGCAACGAGGTGCCTCTCTCAGTCAGCATCCACCGCGGAAACCCTAAACGCGACGGCACGGGCGACACCAACATGGTTCTCTCCTTCGACTCGCTACAAGCAGCCTTGGATGCAAGTACAGGTTACACCTCTACAGCACAATCGACCCTTACGTTTCCGTGGTTGGCTGTTGACCCGACGCCCATGCAGCGGTTACGCGGTTACAAGGGATACGGGTTTATGCAAGAGGGTACAGTGCGGAAGGTGCAGGGTGTACAAATAGGCTCAACGGGCAAGTCGCTGCACAGGTTACTGGATGAGCTTATAAAGAGGCCGGGGAGGTTCTATGTGGTGGTGAAAACGCCCTCGTTTCCTGATGGGGCTGTGCTTGGTCACATGCAAGGCTCGCTGGTTACAAAGTTACTGCACTGAGTATGGAGGGATGTGTGGTTACAAAATGATCCCACTCATTGCCGAAGGCTCTATGGTTACAGAGTCTCAGCAGCACTGGATATGCTCGGCTATCAAGTGGGCACGAACATGCCACAGGAATAGGCATTGAAGGGCCAGACCTTAACTACACAATGGAGTCAAGACGTGGTGTTTAACCTTGGAGGACCCCCAACCTCAATAGGAGGTTCGGCTAGAAAGTCAGCAGGCGCAGGGCAGATTGCCACCCGGCTTTGCAACTGGAGTCTGGCGCTTAGAACCTTTCCTGCCAGATACGGCATGGCTGGCTGTGGGACTGTGACATGACATGACAGCCACAGTGCGTTTCAGAATAGCTAGGCAAGAATGATTGAACTAGCAGAAGTTTGGGTACAAATATGAAACCCTAGTTGGGGTTGTACCCCATATTGGCTACCCCACTACAGCCTACAAGCATAATACAGTTTAACACACCCCCATAGGCAAAGTGGGGGAGAACAAAGGGTCACAAGACCAGTCCAGCAAAGCAAAGCAAAGCCCAGGGTGGATCACAACGTCACCACACTCCGAGCACAAGTAAAGGCCACAAGGCCAGTTCACATGCAGTGCTAGATATAGTACAAGACAAGCAGCACAGTGATCAAAACCTAACAAGCAAGCAACAAGATATATATAAAGTACAGTACAAAGAATGTCAAGCAGTGAGCAAGTGAGGAAACGTGGACACAAGGCCTAAAGAAGTACAGTGCCGCTGATGATCACTAGGCGGGAGCGCCTTGGTGAAGATATCAGTAGTGTTGGCCTTCGAGTCCACGTACACAAGCCGAAGCTGACCGCGCTGCTGAAGCTCTCGAGCAAGAAAGTAGCGAAGAGCAATGTGCTTCGTCCTGTGCTCCAGTCTGTGCTCCTGACACAAGGCAAGAGCCGCCTTGTTGTCACCGTACAGAACTGGAGGAGAACTAGGCCGCTCTCCCAAGTCAGTCAGCAGGTAGGTGAGCCAGCGTAACTCCTGTGCAGCCATGGCTGTGGCGTAGATCTCAGCCTCACAACTAGAGCCGAGAACAGAGGAAGAGCGGGTGGACCGCCACGAGACAGAACCAGAGCCAAGGCTGAAGGTGTAACCCTGTGACGACCGCTGCGTAGCCAGGTCGTCCACCCAAGAAGCGTCCGAGTGACCAGTGAGGACAACTCTGTCACGTCCTCCAAGCACCAGCCCCATGCCTGATGTACTGCACAGGTAACGCAGCACCCTCTTAGCAGCCTCCCAGTGCTCTCGCCTGTGTCTCCCAGGCGCAACGTAACGAGCAAGGATGCTAAGAGGGTACGCGAGGTCAGGTCGCGTGCAAGTCATCAGGTACATGAGGCAGCCTACAAGCTCTGGGTACGGGCCACTCGGCTCTACGGACTCGTCCGAAGGTGGAGCTGAGAGCGAGTGGCTGGTAGCCAGAGGTGTGGCCTGTGGTGAGGAGAACTGGAAGCCGAAGCGCTGAAGGACCTGCTGCACCATGTGTGACTGAGTCAGGGTGATGGTGCGGCGAGCTCTGTCCCGGGTGATCTGCAAGCCAAGGTAGCTACGCAGTTCACCCAGGTCAGTGCAGGTGTGTCTCTTCTGCAGCTCCGACTTCACACGAGCGAGTGCCTCAGTGTCAGCAGTAGCAAAGACCAAGTCGTCGACGTACACGAGAATGTAGAACGGCGGCAGCGACGTGTCTGTGCGCAGAAACAGCGACGGGTCAGCAGTAGACGGCGCGAACCCAAGAGCCGCAAGTGTAGTCCTCAGTGTGTCGTGCCACTCACGTGGCGCCTGGCGGAGACCGTAGACTGGCCGGCGGAGACTCCACTGGGTACCAGGGGGAAACGACCCAGTAAAGCCAGGTGGGCGGCGCAGCCAGATCTCCTCGTGCAGGCTGCCCTGCAGGAACGCTGTGCTGAAGTCAAGAGAGTGAAGCTCGTAGTCACGCTGAGCAGCAACGTGCAGCAGAACCCGAAGAGTGGTCATCTTCGGGGTGGGGGAGAAGGTCTGGAAGAAGTCGACCCCCTGACGCTGACTGAAGCCTCTAGCAACGTAACGAGCCTTGAAGACAGGCGGAGAACCTGGCGGCCGCTTCACCCTGAAAATCCACATGCCATCGACGATGTTCGCCCCAGGAGGGGGAACCTCGTCGACGTAGGTGCCTGTGGACTTCCAGGATGCCATCTCTGCGTCCATGGCTGTCTGCCACTGAGAGGAGTAGGGACCCGAGATCGCCTCTGCGTAAGTGCGCGGAGTGGGGATGTCTAGTGCATCCGGGTCTCCCTCAGGGGCAAGCAACCAGGCCACGAGATGAGGTACAGCAACCGCAAGACAGTCAAAGTCCTCCTGCCTGTCCTCAAAGAGCACACTCACCCCCGACGGACGGAGGACAGACAGACGCAGACTCAGACCCAGCAACAAGGCTAGCAGCGTAGTCTAGACGACAGGCAGCAGCAAAGTCAACCAACTCAGCGACCAGAGCAGACGCAGCCGAGGACTCAAAGGTAGGGTCAGTGACAACAATAGCGAGGAGACGCGTGACTGTAGGGTGCTCAGCGCGATACCGGTCAGACTCAGGGTCCGGAACGGCAGGCAAAGAGGACGCAGGAGGAGACGGTAGAGGGACACGCCGAGGAGCAGTAGAGGGACGCAGAGTCATGTAGTGAGTGCCTGGGACAGGAGGAGGACGCTCACGACGGACACGACTACCAGTGCGAGCAGGACGAACAGGCGACACAGGACGAGACTCAGGCTCACGACGCTCTGTAAGACCTCCTGTGGGACCAGCGTAAGGAGAGGGAGCAGGGAGAGGCGAGGCAGGCGGTAACTGTGACTGCGGCTGGACAGGCGGAGGACACTCTACGGAGGGAGGAGGACAAGGAGGAGGAGCCTGCCCAAGAACCTGCTGAAGGAGCGGTACGAAGTACGGTCGCGGCCGCGCAGCGTCTCCAGAAGCAGAAGAGACTCCAGCGGCCGGGTCCTCAGGACCAGCAGGAGCTCCAACGTCCGGGTCCCCAGCACCAGCAGCAGCGCCACCGCTCGGGTCCTCAGCTCCAGCAGCAGCTCCACCAGGCGGGTCTGCACCAGCAGCAGCGCCACCCCCAGAGTCGGCAGCTCCAACTCCGCTAGCACCGCCAGCGCCAGAGTCCCCAGCTCCAGCAGCTCCAGTCGCAGTGCTCCCAGAACAACCAGTCCCGGCAGCTCCAGTACCCCCAGTACGAGCACCCCCAGGACGAGCAGCCCCAGCACCCCCAACTCCAGCCGAGCCACTAGGACGGCGAAAGCGCCGGACGTACCAGTCACGAAGCTGCTGCGGTGTGAGAGACTGCTCAGCACCCCGAACCGGAGCACCCCCAGACGCAGTAACCCGAGGCTCCGTAGGCTCAGTAGCAGCACCCCCAGGCTCAGTACCCGCAGGCTCAGTACCCGCAGGCTCAGCACCCCCAGTCGCAGCACCCCCAGGCTCAGCACCCCCAGGCGGCAAACTCTCAGGCACAGTACCCTCAGCTCCAGCACCCGTAGTCCCAGCACTCCCAGGCCCCGCACCCGCAGGCTCAGCACCCCCAGGCTCAGCACCCCCAGGCTCCGTACTCTCAGGCACCGTACCCTCAGCTCCAGCACCCTCAGTCCCAGCACCTGCAGCCCCAGCACCCCCAGGCCCAGCACCCCCAGGCTCAGCACCCCCAGGCTCAGCACTCCCAGCAGCACCACCCGCAGCAGCACCTGAGTCACCTGTGAACTCGACAGGCTCAGCGACGGGAGGAGGGTCTACCTGAGAGACACCTGAAGGAGCAGGACCCTGAGGGGGAAGGGGGTCTACCGGAGGGGGACCAGGAGCAAGGAAAAGCGGCGGGGGAGGGAGGGGGGCAGTGCGGTAGGGGAAGAGACGGTAAAAAGGGACCGACTCGTCAAAGGTGACATCCTGAGAGGCGAAGACCCGGCGCGAGGTGGGGTGGTAAAACTGCCAGCCAGGCGCGTCAGGGACAAAGCCAAGGAAGATACAGGGAAGCGTGCGGGAGGAGAGCTTGTCCGCGGACGTATCGCGGACAAGGGCACGAGCACCCCACACCCGGAAGCGCGACGCATCGCCAACCTCCCCCGTCCAACGCAGTGTGGGCGAGGTCTCCGGCAAGGAGACACGGGGCCAGAGGTTGAGCTGATGCGCGGCGTACCGGACAGCAAACGGCCACAGAAAATGGGGAGCCGCCGCGTGGACCAAGGAGGTACGAGCGACCTCCATGACCAGGCCAATGCGGCGCTCAGCAACCCCATTCTGCTGTGGGGAGTCCGGAAGCGTGAAGGTCTGCTCGATGCCCTCCGCCTGACAGAAGGTCCTCAAGAGATCGGAGGAAAACTCACCACCTCTGTCAGAGTGCAGACGCAGGACAGGAAGATCCGTCCGGAAACGGCGGCGGAGCTGGAGACGAACCGTGCGGATCCAAGGGATCAGAACAGCAGGGACCTCACCCTTGGTGCGCAAGGGGAAGACCGTGGTGTAACGCGAGTAGTCGTCGACAACCAGCAAAAAGTACCGCTCACCGCCCTGACCACGAACGCGGGCTGGGCCCCACACGTCCAGGTGGAGGGTCTGCAGAGGAGCCTCTGTCGGGGGGAACGAGGAGGAGTGAGGAGCGGCGCGCTGCCGCCCCTCGACGCAAGGAAGGCAAGGCGGCGCAGGCGAGGCAGGGAGGGGAGGGAGGGACCTGGGAAGACCAGACACAAGGTGGCGACGGTGCATGCCACGAAGGCGTGGCAAGGAGGGGTGACCCAGGCGGTGGTGCCAGAGAAGAGTCTGGTGCGACAGGGAACGACACTCACAGGCGTGGGCTACCAGACCTGACGCGGACACCTGACCGACAGCAGCGACCTGAGGAGACGCAGTGGTCAGTGTGTAGAGACTCGACCCCGGCCGACGGGTAAACGTAGCCAGGTGACGGCCGGTCCTGGAGCACGTGCAGATCGCCACACGCTGTCCGCCAGGGGTAAAGGTGTCAACCCACTGATCCTGGAGGACAGCGTTGCTCACCAGGTTCGTCGAGAACGAGGGGAGGTGGAAACCCGAAAACGAGCCAGACGGAACCGCCGGACAAGGGAGCACAGTGGTGGACTGGGCAAGGACTGGGCCCCCAGAGGGGTCAGCCAAGGAGACTGGTACCGGTGCAGGAAGCGGTGTGAGCTCAGTACTGTCACGAAAGAAACAGCGGGAAGCACCTGAGTCAAGGGTGAAGGTGTGACAGGCCTCAGCCGGTGCAGTACCTGAGAGAGCAGTCTCTGTGGGTGCTGTACCTGAGAGAGCAGACTCGCAAACAGCCGGGACAGCACTGGAGGGAGCAAGTACAGGGGGCACTATACCAGAGAGAGCAGACTCACTAGTACCCAGGGCAGCGGGCTCTATACCTGGGTCAGGCGGCACACACAAGTAACAGTCTCCCTCGGCACTAACAGTCAATGCATACATGGCAGCAATAATAGCATCATAGTCAAGAGCAAAGACATCAACACCAGCCCTCATGAGCTCAGCCCAGCGGGGGCGCTCAACATCCGCGCCCATCTCCTCACGCCAAGCGTCGTCAAGGCGGGAGAAGCAGCGGTACGGGGTGTGGAACCTCCCACACGTCTGTCCCTTGCGGTCACCTGTGCGAATGACATAAGAACAGCGGCCACTGCCCCCCGACGTCCCACGCTGAGCAAGCCACTCACGAAGCTGCTGGGTCGTCTGGGGACGCTGCTGCTGCTGGGAGCTCTGGCCCGAGCCAGTGCCTCCACTCCGACCGCCGCCGCCACCACTACCACCGCTCCGACCGCCACCGCCACCACCGCCACCACCGCCACCGCCGCCACCGCCGCCGCCGCCACTACTGCCACTGCTTCCGCCGCCGCCCCCGCCTCCACCACCGACCCCACTCCCACCAGCGCTCCCGCCACCGCTCCCTCCAGCACCGCCTCCCCCCCCACCTCCCCCACCTCCTCCCCCCCCAGCGCCACCACCACCACCCTTGCCCCCCTTGCCCTTGCCGGTGCGGCGCCTCCCACCAGGAGCAGAAGCAGCGCCAACAGACTCAGCACCAAGGAAGTCAACAGCAGCAGCAGCAGCGTAGGAGGGAGCGAGGGGAGAGGGAGAACACCCCTCAAAGATGGGGGTGCGAGGAGCGCCACGAGCAGCACCAACAGCTACAATGCTCTTTTCGGCCGCGAGCAGCTGCTCCTCTAGGAGGGCGACTGTGAGCTCAGTGGGACAGCGAGCAAGGAAGTGGTCTCGAACTGAGCGGAGGGTGTCAGGGAGACGGGTGACTATGAAGTGGAGTGTCCAGTACAGTGGAGGGGGGTTCTTAGCGCAGAACTCGGTGGGAAGGGCGGCACGCAGGCGAGCATCACTAGTGCGAAGGTGGGTGATAAGATCGGCGACTGTAGTAAAGGTGGACAGATCGGGGAACAGGTACGGCAGCATGAGGCGGCTAAGCTCGGCTGTGGCAGGCGAGGAGTAGCGAGCAACGACAGCATCGTACAGGGCCTTAGCGGATTTGCAGTCGCCAAAATGCTCGAGCTCAGCTAGCGGCAGGTGACTACGAATGGCTAGGCGAGCAGCTGCGTCACGAGTCTGCCAGTGGGAACGAACACTAAGCTCGGCTGTGGCAGCAGGAGCAGCGGCAGCACCAGACGCGTAGTCATAGAGGGAGATGTGGTCCGTGCTATTGCTCATAAGATACAACTGCAGGTCGTCGAGCCAGGAAGTGAACTGCACGGGACGGCCCTCAGCATCGAAGGAAAGAACGCGAATAGAGGCCATAGCTCAGGCGTGAGGGCACAGCAGAGCAGCGGCAGCAGCAGAGGGGACGCAGCAAGCGGGCAGTGAGGCAGCGGGCGGCGCTGCGAAGCAGGTAGCGGGCGGGCGGGCGGCGCTGCGAGCGGGCAGCGAAGCGGGCGGGCCGCGAAGCGGGCAGCGAGCGGGCGGGCGGGCTGCGAAGCGGGCAGCGGGGCGAGCGGGCTGCGAAGCGGGCGGGCCGCGAAGCGGGCAGCGAGCGGGCGGGCGGGCTGCGAAGTGGGCGGGCCGCGAAGCGGGCAGCGGGGCGAGCGGGCTGCGAGGCGGGCGGGCCGCGAAGCGGGCAGCGAGCGGGCGGGCGGGCTGCGAAGCGGGCGGGCCGCGAAGCGGGCAGCGAGCGGGCGGGCGGGCCGCGAAGCGGGCAGCGAGCGGGCGAGCGGGCTGCGAAGCGGGCGGGCCGCGGAGCGGGCAGCGAGCGAGCGGGCTGCGAAGCGGGCGGGCCGCGAAGCGGGCAGCGAGCGGGCGGGCGGGCTGCGTGGCGGGCGGGCCGCGAAGCGGGCAGCGAGCGGGCGGGCGGGCTGCGAAGCGGGCAGCAGGACGAGCGGGCTGCGAGCGGGCGGCTCGGCGGGCGGGCGACACTGCGAGGGGCGCGCGAGGGCGCTAGTGAGGGGCGCGCGAGGGCGCTAGCAAGGGGCGCGCGAGGGCGCTAACGAGGGGCGCGCGAGGGCGCTAACGAGGGTGCGCGCGAGGGCGCTAACGAGGGGCGCGCGAGGGCGCTAACGAGGGCGCACGAGGGCGCTACGAGGCTAGGGCACGGGGTAGCGTGGTAACCGCATGCGAGCGGTGGTGGGCCCTTAAAAAAAAAACGGTCGGTAGGTCCTAGGGACCTCCTGCTCTGAATACCATTTCAGAATAGCTAGGCAAGAATGATTGAACTAGCAGAAGTTTGGGTACAAATATGAAACCCTAGTTGGGGTTGTACCCCATATTGGCTACCCCACTACAGCCTACAAGCATAATACAGTTTAACACAGCGCACATCAACAAGCCAGCCACCACAATACCGTACATGACCTCCTTTGTGCCTAGTTAACTCTTTACAAGACATGTGCGTCTTACCGTACCATCAGTGAATGACAGACCCTAATGCTGGGGGCTTTCGCATTTATATTCCGCAAAGACTGAGGGTCATTTTCCTGCAACACGTAGTCCATTGAAGCTGGAGTGTGTTGTACCTATATAACATGCTGCCACAGGTTGTTCACGGACAGAACACAGTACAGGAACTAAGTACTGTTGGAAACAGTAAATCCTAAAGCGCCTCTGTCGTGTCGAAACATCACACCAGAAGCGAGGCGAACTATATTAAGGCACACGCGAGTCAACCCTCGGAGGTTGAAAGAGGTTGCTGGAGGTTACGCGAAAGTCAAAGGTCAGCGACCTTTGACCTGACAAGTACAGCGCGACAGCAAGGACACACAACTGACTCGCTACAGAGCAGTTGCCCGAGTCGTCACTGTATCGAACCGCAACAGCAACAGTAAAGTAGTTATAACTGTATCCTTTTCATATTCCTTGTACTCATATATAATGCTTGTATCCCTTTGCTTCATCAACTTACTTTGCCCTCACACACTAGCGCAAGGTGGTTCACAACTTCTTCAGTAAAGCCGGCGCCTAGAATGGCAAAGGTTCAGAATTACTGAACTTGAAAAGGGTTGTGCGAAGGTTGACGAGAGGAAAATTCGCAAGCGGCAGGTGGCGAAGGACTAATGCTCCAGTTTATCGCAATACACTGTATTGAACAAGCACCAACGACAAAACAAAACTCAACCACTCTCACACAGCACACCACTCAAATTTCGCTCAAGTCCACAAGCACTCTCTTAAAGCGTGCGTAAGTAGTACCAGTTGATAGAAAGAACATCAGTTTACGAAACTAAGCATCCAGACTAAGATAGCTAGGTATAACATGTGAGAACATATACGGTGCCGCCAGAATCGTGAAGAATCCGAGGACCGAGGGAGGGAATGTGGCGCGAACGATGCGAGTGTGAAGCACGGAGATAATGAGCGGCACGGGATGAGAAAGTAGAGAGTTGTCGACCTCGTTTCCCACTCCCGTCGCCCTCGCTTCCCCCTCCCGTCGCCCTCTCTTCCCCCTCCCGTCGCCCTCGCTTCCCCCTTCCGTCGCCCTCTCTTCCCCCTCCCGTCGCCCTCGCTTCCCCCTTCCGTCGCCCTCGCTTTCCCCCCCCGTCGCCCTTCCATCCCCCTCCCATCCCCCTCGCGTCCCCCTCCCCTTGCGCTCCCATCCCCCGGACAAACGAAATGGACAAGAAGGGAAACGGATCCGGAGGAACCGGAGGGAAGGACATGGGGGGGGAAGGGGGGAGGGACAAGGGTCTTGGGATTGAGGCTGGGCGGGCTAAGAGGAAGGGAGGGAAGGACAAGGAGTCAGGGATTGAGGGGCAAGGGGAGGGAGGACACGGGGGAAAGGGAGGGAGGGGGGAGGGGGAAAACGGTGGGAAGGTCAGCGGGGGAAGGGAGGGAGGGACAAGGGACTTCAGGACAGGGTGGAAAGGCGGGAGAAACATGGGCGAAAAGGGAGACACGGGGAAAGAAAGGGGGGGCAGTGGGGGAACGGGGGAAAGTACAAGGGGGGAAACGAGAGTGGTGGGAAGCGGACTTGGCGAAAATGACGAAACGGGATGCAGTGCTCGGTGGAATGCAATGGGATGCGGAGGGTACGGCGAGGAGAGAAAGGAGGGAAGAACAAGAGAGGAAAGAAGGGAAGGGCAAGGGCACGAGACGGGGAGGGGAAGGGAACGAGACGGGGAGGGGAATGGAGCGAGACGGGGAGGGGAAGGGAACGAGACGGGGAGGGGAAGGGAACGAGACGGGGAGGGGAAGGGAACGAGACGGGGAGGGGAATGGAACGAGACGGGGAGGGGAAGGGAACGAGACGGGGAGGGGAAGGGAACGAGACGGGGAGGGGAAGGGAACGAGACGGGGAGGGGAAGGGAACGAGACGGGGAGGGGAAGGGAACGCGGCGGGGAGGGGAAGGGAACGGGACGGGGAGGGGAAGGGAGCGCGACGGGGAGGGGAAGGGAACGAGACGGGGAGGGGAAGGGAACGAGACGGGGAGGGGAAGGGAACGAGACGGGGAGGGGAAGGGAACGCGGCGGGGAGGGGAAGGGAACGGGACGGGGAGGGGAAGGGAGCGCGACGGGGAGGGGAAGGAAACGAGACGGGGAGGGGAAGGGAACGAGACGGGGAGGGGAAGGGAACGAGACGGGGAGGGGAAGGGAACGAGACGGGGAGGGGAAGGGAACGAGACGGGGAGGGGAAGGGAACGAGACGGGGAGGGGAAGGGAACGAAACGGGGAGGGGAAGGGAACGAGACGGGGAGGGGAAGGGAACGAGACGGGGAGGGGAAGGGAACGAGACGGGGAGGGGAAGGGAGCGCGACGGGGAGGGGAAGGGAACGAGACGGGGAGGGGAAGGGAACGAGACGGGGAGGGGAAGGGAACGAGACGGGGAGGGGAAGGAAACGAGACGGGGAGGGGAAGGGAACGAGACGGGGAGGGGAAGGGAGCGCGACGGGGAGGGGAAGGGAACGAGACGGGGAGGGAAGGGAACGAGACGGGGAGGGGAAGGGAAAGAGACGGGGAGGGGAAGGGAGCGCGACGGGGAGGGGAAGGGAACGAGACGGGGAGGGGAAGGAGCACGACGGGGAGGGGAAGGGAGAACGACGGGGAGGGGAAGGGAGCACGACAGGGGAGGGGAAGGCAGCACGACGGTGAGGGGAAGGGAGCGAGACGGGGAGGGAAAGGGAGCGCGACGGGGAGGGGAAGCGAGGGCGACGTGCAGGAAAAAAACAAAATAGCCACGAAAAGGGAGAATGACGAGAAGGCAATATGTGTCGGGAATGACGGAAGGGAGCGCCACGGGTAGGGAAGGGGGCGCGACGGGCAGGGAAGGGAGCGCGACGGGCAGGGGAAGGGAGGGCGACGAAAAGACGGTGATGGGAGGCGACGGTACCGCCGCGACGATGGAAATGGCATTTGCCGCCGTGACGCTATTGATGGTCGTGACCGTCACGACATTGGGAACGGAAGTGACATTGGCCGCGAAAGATGGAACTGGAGTGCCCTGAACTGCCTACGGTCGGAATGGTGGTTGACGACCACCATTCCGACCGTCACAAGAGCTCTTAGTCAAGGCGAGTCGTGTGTTACGGCGGCAGTCCTGAAAAAAAGTGACGCGAGTTTGTGACCTTGTGAGGGAATGGGAGTGACGGGGAGGGCGAGATAAATAGGAGGGACAATACGAACGGGCGAGACGGGATGAACGAGCGGGAATGAGTGCGCTAGCAGACACGTTCGCTTTCTAAGCTATGGAGCCTCCTAGATATCGAGTCTAGTATGGTCAGTTTCACTTACAAGTTTGCTAAAGTATGAGAGGGTTGATAATTTTGCCTGTGTTCATCTCAGCCAATCAGAATCCCCCTCCCAGAAACTGTTTCCGGTGGTTGCGAGGGTGGGAAAGCCCCAACCAGGTTACCCTGTTTCTGGCGATTTCAGCTTCAAGAATCTTGAACTTGATCCCTTGCCATTCTAGACTCGGGCTTTAAACGCTTCCGCTATTACAATTGTTCTACCCCGAATTTACCCCTGCAAAAGATCCTAAGGGCTTTTTCTCAGCCCAACAAGTACTAGGAGAGGAAGGTCTGGCGGGCGGACCACTCAACCGAGTACACTACATGGGCATACTGCATGCATGCTTCCTTCTACTGCAACACTCCTGTTCCGTCATCCAATTCCTGCTGCACCCTGCTGAACTGCATCGAACTGACTCACATTTTATTTGAACTGTACAACAAGATTCGCAGGACAACACTGGAAGCTGGCCTTGGAAGGCCCGCCTTGGAAGGGTTGGGGGGGGGGGGGGGGGGTAGTATTGGTGATGCGCGGTGGTTGCGGGAACACTTGAATGTCTCATGCGCGGTGGTTGTGGCGAAGGAAGCGCAGGGCAGCATAGGCAGTGACGCGGCAGAAGATGCAGAAGCAGAGGAGGAAGAGCCAGTCCCAGTGCACGGCACTGCGCGCCGACTTGGTGGCCACGAGGAAGTTCCACAGATACTCGGGGCCGCTGATGGGGTTGAGGTCATGCGCGGTGTTTGATGGGAACACTTGAAAGCCTTATGGGCTCATGCACGGTGGTTGTGGCGCAGGAAGCGCAGGGCGGCAAATGCAGTGATGCGGCAAAACACACAGAAGCAAATCAGGAAGAGCCAGTCCCAGTGCACGGCACTGCGCGCCGACTTGGTGGCCACGAGGAAGTTCCACAGATACTCGGGGCCGCTGATGGGGTTGAGGTACCACTTGCATGGGCAGCTGTCGCAGGCTGTGCCGGGGCAGCCCGGAAGGGTGCACTCCGGTGCAGAGGTGTTGCAGTAGTAGGATGTTGCTGTGAGGCCGTTCAGAGCGTACTGGGTGGGTGGGGAGAAAGGGGGGGGATGCGGGTAGAGGGGAGGGGAGGAAGTGGGGCAGAGGAGAGAGGGATGGTGAGAGGGAAGGAGAGACCTAGGGGTGCTGGCCACTGATGGGGTTGAGGTGCCACTTGCACGGGCAGCTGGCGCAGATAGGGGCGGTGCTGGGGCAGCCCAGAATGGTGCACTCCGGTGCAGAGGTGTTGCAGTAGTAGGACCTTGCTGTGAACAGTATTAGCAAGTGATGCGATGCGTGAACAGTATTAGCAAGTGGTGTGAGACGTGAAGCAGCAACTAGTGCAACAAGACAAACCTGGGTGGACCTTAATGCAACGAACCTGGATGGGGTTGGTCCAGTACACAGCGAGAAAGAAGTTTTTGGTGAAGGCGTAGGGCAGGAAGAAGCCGCACGTCGCCACCCATGCTGTGATGAGGAATGAGATCACCACTGCCGCGTACTGTGTGTGTGTGGGGCGTGTGGAAGGTAAGGAAAAGAAAAAGTATGGGGTTGGAGATGAGGGAGGGGTATGTGGCTTGTGAACACCAAGGGCAGGAAGAAACTACATGCTGCCACCCATGCCATCCATGCTGTGATGAGGAACGAGATCACCACTGCCGCGTACTGTGGGTGTGGGGCGTGGGGAGGGAAAGGGAAGGGAAGAGAGAGGGTATGCGGATAAGGATCGTCTGGCTTGTGAATGTGAAGGGCTTAGGGCGGGAAGAAGCTGCAAGTGGCCACCCATGCGGTGACGAGGAACGAGATTACCGCATCACTTTTGAGTCGACTCAAAAGATTACTGCATCACTGCTGCAGGAGATTGCCCTTGCTGCAGCAGCTTACTGCGCGTGTTGGGAGTGGCGAAGGGTAGGGAAGGGAGGAGGGGAATGGCGATGAGTGTTGTGGTGTGTGGCTTGGGAATGCAAGGGGTAGGAAGATGTGGCACGATGCCGGGACACCAACCCATGCAGCGGTGCGAAATTGTCGGTTAGGGAACGAGTTTTGAGGTGCCTTAACAGCAGCACGATGCCTGGGCACCCATGCGGTGACAAGGGATGGGATGGGCACCCATGCCGTGGCAAGGGATGGGAAGCACCACTGCTGCGTGCTGTGGGTGAGTCGATTTTCGAGTCGACTAAAAAATCTAGTTTCGAGGCGCCTCATTACTTTGAGTCGTCTCAAAAATCGACTCATCACACAAGGGATGGGAAGCACCACTGCTGCGTGCTGTGGGTGTGAGGAAGACCGCGGGGGGTGAAGGTGGGGTAGAGGGGTGTTGGGGGGTAGGGGGGACGTGGAAGTGTGCCTGCGTGGTCATCAGTCACCCATGCTGTGATGTGCCATGAATGACAGATAGACTTTTGAGACGTCTCAAAAGTCACGCATGCTGTGATGTGCCATGAATGACAGGTAGACTTTTGAGACGTCTCAAAAGTCACCCATGCTGTGATGTGCCATGAATGACAGATAGACTTTTGAGACGTCTCAAAAGTCACCCATGCTGTGATGTGCCATGAATGACAGATAGCACCACCGCAGCAGCGCGCAGCAGCGGGAAGTGTGGGGGGACGTGGTGAGGTGTGTGTGGTGAGATGTGTGTGGTGAGATGTTTGTGGGCTCACAGGAGATGCTGAGGAGGGAAAAGGAGCACCTTGGGTTGGAGGAGCAGCACGGAGAGTAGCACGGAGAGTAGCACGGAGAGCAGCACGGAGAGCAGCACGGAGAGCAGCACGGAGAGCAGCACGGAGAGCAGCACGGAGAGCAGCACGGAGAGTAGCACGGAGAGCAGCACGGAGAGCAGCACGGAGAGTAGCACGGAGAGCAGCACGGAGAGCAGCACGGAGAGTAGCACGGAGAGCAGCACGGAGAGCAGCACGGAGAGCAGCACGGAGAGCAGCACGGAGAGCAGCACGGAGAGCAGCACGGAGAGCAGCACGGAGAGCAGCACGGAGAGCAGCACGGAGAGTAGCACGGAGAGTAGCACGGAGGAGCAGCAAGCCAAAGTAGGTGGTGATGGAAAGGGCAGCAAGGAACTGCGTCAGGCCAAAGGCAGAGAACGCCCCTGCACTGCCCCACTGGCAGCCCTGGCAGCGGCAAGCTGGTTGACACGAATTCTCAGACGCCAGCTTGTCTCACCTTGGGCTGGGGGAGGACCACGGAGAGCAGGAAGCCAAAGTAGGTCACGGAGAGGGCGGCGAGGAACTGCGTCAGGCCGAACGCAAAGAACGCCCCTGCACTGCCCACCGCCAGCCCTGCCAGTGGCGCTGCCACGGACACGAGCGCGAGGGAGGTGAGCAGCAGGTAGGGGATCTGTGCGGGGAAGGGAAAGGCGGGAAGGAGGAGGGGGGAAGTGGGGGATGTAGCGGGTTATAAAGGGGCGCCAGCCCTACCAATGGTGCCGCCACGGACACGAGCGCGAGGGAGGTGAGCTGCAGGTAGGGGATCTGCGTGGGGAAGGGAAAGGGGAGAGGGGGGAATAGGGGGGTATAAAGAAAAGCCAAGTGCTGGCTGAAAACACGCTCCTGCGTGCACGAGCAACCACTGCCTCTCTTCAACCACCGTGTACCCCAGCGAGTTGACTTTTGAGTCGACTCAAAAGTCAACAACCAACCACCGCCTCACCGCAACCACTGCCTCACTGCAACCACTGCCTCACCTCAACGACGGTGTAGCCCAGCGTGTAGAGAAATGCTAAGTGCTGGTTGTACACACGCACCCACGAAACCAGTTCCTACTTTGCGGTCTCTGCACGCTTAAACAAACAAGCAACCACTGCCCCACCTCAACCACTGCCTCACCTCAACCACGGTGTAGCCCAGCGTGTAGAGGAATGCAAAGTGCTGGTTGTAAACGCGCTCCTGGGCGAACACCTTCTTGGTCTGATTCACCAGCCCCACCGCCGTTCCTCCGTGCAGCGTCGTGCCGAACGCCAGCACTGCAAAGGGGAAGGCCTGTGCTGTGGTGGCCTGTAGGAAGGGAGGAATGAGAGAAGGGAGAGAGGGTGTGCGCACGGCACGGGGGATGCAAGAGTGAGCAGATGAGCACTGCAAAGGGGGAACGAGCAGATGAGCACTGCAAAGGGGGAACGAGCAGATGAGCACTGCAAAGGGGGAACGAGCAGATGAGCACTGCAAAGGGGGAACGAGCAGATGAGCACTGCAAAGGGGGAACGAGCAGATGAGCACTGCAAAGGGGGAACGAGCAGATGAGCACTGCAAAGGGGGAACGAGCAGATGAGCACTGCAAAGGGGGAACGAGCAGATGAGCACTGCAAAGGGGGAACGAGCAGATGAGCACTGCAAAGGGGGAACGAGCAGATGAGCACTGCAAAGGGGGAACGAGCAGATGAGCACTGCAAAGGGGGAACGAGCAGATGAGCACTGCAAAGGGGGAACGAGCAGATGAGCACTGCAAAGGGGGAACGAGCAGATGAGCACTGCAAAGGGGGAACGAGCAGATGAGCACTGCAAAGGGGGAACGAGCAGATGAGCACTGCAAAGGGGGAACGAGCAGATGAGCACTGCAAAGGGGGAACGAGCAGATGAGCACTGCAAAGGGGGAACGAGCAGATGAGCACTGCAAAGGGGGAACGAGCAGATGAGCACTGCAAAGGGGGAACGAGCAGATGAGCACTGCAAAGGGGGAACGAGCAGATGAGCACTGCAAAGGGGGAACGAGCAGATGAGCACTGCAAAGGGGGAACGAGCAGATGAGCACTGCAAAGGGGGAACGAGCAGATGAGCACTGCAAAGGGGGAACGAGCAGATGAGCACTGCAAAGGGGGAACGAGCAGATGAGCACTGCAAAGGGGGAACGAGCAGATGAGCACTGCAAAGGGGGAACGAGCAGATGAGCACTGCAAAGGGGGAACGAGCAGATGAGCACTGCAAAGGGGGAACGAGCAGATGAGCACTGCAAAGGGGGAACGAGCAGATGAGCACTGCAAAGGGGGAACGAGCAGATGAGCACTGCAAAGGGGGAACGAGCAGATGAGCACTGCAAAGGGGGAACGAGCAGATGAGCACTGCAAAGGGGGAACGAGCAGATGAGCACTGCAAAGGGGGAACGAGCAGATGAGCACTGCAAAGGGGGAACGAGCAGATGAGCACTGCAAAGGGGGAACGAGCAGATGAGCACTGCAAAGGGGGAACGAGCAGATGAGCACTGCAAAGGGGGAACGAGCAGATGAGCACTGCAAAGGGGGAACGAGCAGATGAGCACTGCAAAGGGGGAACGAGCAGATGAGCACTGCAAAGGGGGAACGAGCAGATGAGCACTGCAAAGGGGGAACGAGCAGATGAGCACTGCAAAGGGGGAACGAGCAGATGAGCACTGCAAAGGGGGAACGAGCAGATGAGCACTGCAAAGGGGGAACGAGCAGATGAGCACTGCAAAGGGGGAACGAGCAGATGAGCACTGCAAAGGGGGAACGAGCAGATGAGCACTGCAAAGGGGGAACGAGCAGATGAGCACTGCAAAGGGGGAACGAGCAGATGAGCACTGCAAAGGGGGAACGAGCAGATGAGCACTGCAAAGGGGGAACGAGCAGATGAGCACTGCAAAGGGGGAACGAGCAGATGAGCACTGCAAAGGGGGAACGAGCAGATGAGCACTGCAAAGGGGGAACGAGCAGATGAGCACTGCAAAGGGGGAACGAGCAGATGAGCACTGCAAAGGGGGAACGAGCAGATGAGCACTGCAAAGGGGGAACGAGCAGATGAGCACTGCAAAGGGGGAACGAGCAGATGAGCACTGCAAAGGGGGAACGAGCAGATGAGCACTGCAAAGGGGGAACGAGCAGATGAGCACTGCAAAGGGGGAACGAGCAGATGAGCACTGCAAAGGGGGAACGAGCAGATGAGCACTGCAAAGGGGGAACGAGCAGATGAGCACTGCAAAGGGGGAACGAGCAGATGAGCACTGCAAAGGGGGAACGAGCAGATGAGCACTGCAAAGGGGGAACGAGCAGATGAGCACTGCAAAGGGGGAACGAGCAGATGAGCACTGCAAAGGGGGAACGAGCAGATGAGCACTGCAAAGGGGGAACGAGCAGATGAGCACTGCAAAGGGGGAACGAGCAGATGAGCACTGCAAAGGGGGAACGAGCAGATGAGCACTGCAAAGGGGGAACGAGCAGATGAGCACTGCAAAGGGGGAACGAGCAGATGAGCACTGCAAAGGGGGAACGAGCAGATGAGCACTGCAAAGGGGGAACGAGCAGATGAGCACTGCAAAGGGGGAACGAGCAGATGAGCACTGCAAAGGGGGAACGAGCAGATGAGCACTGCAAAGGGGGAACGAGCAGATGAGCACTGCAAAGGGGGAACGAGCAGATGAGCACTGCAAAGGGGGAACGAGCAGATGAGCACTGCAAAGGGGGAACGAGCAGATGAGCACTGCAAAGGGGGAACGAGCAGATGAGCACTGCAAAGGGGGAACGAGCAGATGAGCACTGCAAAGGGGGAACGAGCAGATGAGCACTGCAAAGGGGGAACGAGCAGATGAGCACTGCAAAGGGGGAACGAGCAGATGAGCACTGCAAAGGGGGAACGAGCAGATGAGCACTGCAAAGGGGGAACGAGCAGATGAGCACTGCAAAGGGGGAACGAGCAGATGAGCACTGCAAAGGGGGAACGAGCAGATGAGCACTGCAAAGGGGGAACGAGCAGATGAGCACTGCAAAGGGGGAACGAGCAGATGAGCACTGCAAAGGGGGAACGAGCAGATGAGCACTGCAAAGGGGGAACGAGCAGATGAGCACTGCAAAGGGGGAACGAGCAGATGAGCACTGCAAAGGGGGAACGAGCAGATGAGCACTGCAAAGGGGGAACGAGCAGATGAGCACTGCAAAGGGGGAACGAGCAGATGAGCACTGCAAAGGGGGAACGAGCAGATGAGCACTGCAAAGGGGGAACGAGCAGATGAGCACTGCAAAGGGGGAACGAGCAGATGAGCACTGCAAAGGGGGAACGAGCAGATGAGCACTGCAAAGGGGGAACGAGCAGATGAGCACTGCAAAGGGGGAACGAGCAGATGAGCACTGCAAAGGGGGAACGAGCAGATGAGCACTGCAAAGGGGGAACGAGCAGATGAGCACTGCAAAGGGGGAACGAGCAGATGAGCACTGCAAAGGGGGAACGAGCAGATGAGCACTGCAAAGGGGGAACGAGCAGATGAGCACTGCAAAGGGGGAACGAGCAGATGAGCACTGCAAAGGGGGAACGAGCAGATGAGCACTGCAAAGGGGGAACGAGCAGATGAGCACTGCAAAGGGGGAACGAGCAGATGAGCACTGCAAAGGGGGAACGAGCAGATGAGCACTGCAAAGGGGGAACGAGCAGATGAGCACTGCAAAGGGGGAACGAGCAGATGAGCACTGCAAAGGGGGAACGAGCAGATGAGCACTGCAAAGGGGGAACGAGCAGATGAGCACTGCAAAGGGGGAACGAGCAGATGAGCACTGCAAAGGGGGAACGAGCAGATGAGCACTGCAAAGGGGGAACGAGCAGATGAGCACTGCAAAGGGGGAACGAGCAGATGAGCACTGCAAAGGGGGAACGAGCAGATGAGCACTGCAAAGGGGGAACGAGCAGATGAGCACTGCAAAGGGGGAACGAGCAGATGAGCACTGCAAAGGGGGAACGAGCAGATGAGCACTGCAAAGGGGGAACGAGCAGATGAGCACTGCAAAGGGGGAACGAGCAGATGAGCACTGCAAAGGGGGAACGAGCAGATGAGCACTGCAAAGGGGGAACGAGCAGATGAGCACTGCAAAGGGGGAACGAGCAGATGAGCACTGCAAAGGGGGAACGAGCAGATGAGCACTGCAAAGGGGGAACGAGCAGATGAGCACTGCAAAGGGGGAACGAGCAGATGAGCACTGCAAAGGGGGAACGAGCAGATGAGCACTGCAAAGGGGGAACGAGCAGATGAGCACTGCAAAGGGGGAACGAGCAGATGAGCACTGCAAAGGGGGAACGAGCAGATGAGCACTGCAAAGGGGGAACGAGCAGATGAGCACTGCAAAGGGGGAACGAGCAGATGAGCACTGCAAAGGGGGAACGAGCAGATGAGCACTGCAAAGGGGGAACGAGCAGATGAGCACTGCAAAGGGGGAACGAGCAGATGAGCACTGCAAAGGGGGAACGAGCAGATGAGCACTGCAAAGGGGGAACGAGCAGATGAGCACTGCAAAGGGGGAACGAGCAGATGAGCACTGCAAAGGGGGAACGAGCAGATGAGCACTGCAAAGGGGGAACGAGCAGATGAGCACTGCAAAGGGGGAACGAGCAGATGAGCACTGCAAAGGGGGAACGAGCAGATGAGCACTGCAAAGGGGGAACGAGCAGATGAGCACTGCAAAGGGGGAACGAGCAGATGAGCACTGCAAAGGGGGAACGAGCAGATGAGCACTGCAAAGGGGGAACGAGCAGATGAGCACTGCAAAGGGGGAACGAGCAGATGAGCACTGCAAAGGGGGAACGAGCAGATGAGCACTGCAAAGGGGGAACGAGCAGATGAGCACTGCAAAGGGGGAACGAGCAGATGAGCACTGCAAAGGGGGAACGAGCAGATGAGCACTGCAAAGGGGGAACGAGCAGATGAGCACTGCAAAGGGGGAACGAGCAGATGAGCACTGCAAAGGGGGAACGAGCAGATGAGCACTGCAAAGGGGGAACGAGCAGATGAGCACTGCAAAGGGGGAACGAGCAGATGAGCACTGCAAAGGGGGAACGAGCAGATGAGCACTGCAAAGGGGGAACGAGCAGATGAGCACTGCAAAGGGGGAACGAGCAGATGAGCACTGCAAAGGGGGAACGAGCAGATGAGCACTGCAAAGGGGGAACGAGCAGATGAGCACTGCAAAGGGGGAACGAGCAGATGAGCACTGCAAAGGGGGAACGAGCAGATGAGCACTGCAAAGGGGGAACGAGCAGATGAGCACTGCAAAGGGGGAACGAGCAGATGAGCACTGCAAAGGGGGAACGAGCAGATGAGCACTGCAAAGGGGGAACGAGCAGATGAGCACTGCAAAGGGGGAACGAGCAGATGAGCACTGCAAAGGGGGAACGAGCAGATGAGCACTGCAAAGGGGGAACGAGCAGATGAGCACTGCAAAGGGGGAACGAGCAGATGAGCACTGCAAAGGGGGAACGAGCAGATGAGCACTGCAAAGGGGGAACGAGCAGATGAGCACTGCAAAGGGGGAACGAGCAGATGAGCACTGCAAAGGGGGAACGAGCAGATGAGCACTGCAAAGGGGGAACGAGCAGATGAGCACTGCAAAGGGGGAACGAGCAGATGAGCACTGCAAAGGGGGAACGAGCAGATGAGCACTGCAAAGGGGGAACGAGCAGATGAGCACTGCAAAGGGGGAACGAGCAGATGAGCACTGCAAAGGGGGAACGAGCAGATGAGCACTGCAAAGGGGGAACGAGCAGATGAGCACTGCAAAGGGGGAACGAGCAGATGAGCACTGCAAAGGGGGAACGAGCAGATGAGCACTGCAAAGGGGGAACGAGCAGATGAGCACTGCAAAGGGGGAACGAGCAGATGAGCACTGCAAAGGGGGAACGAGCAGATGAGCACTGCAAAGGGGGAACGAGCAGATGAGCACTGCAAAGGGGGAACGAGCAGATGAGCACTGCAAAGGGGGAACGAGCAGATGAGCACTGCAAAGGGGGAACGAGCAGATGAGCACTGCAAAGGGGGAACGAGCAGATGAGCACTGCAAAGGGGGAACGAGCAGATGAGCACTGCAAAGGGGGAACGAGCAGATGAGCACTGCAAAGGGGGAACGAGCAGATGAGCACTGCAAAGGGGGAACGAGCAGATGAGCACTGCAAAGGGGGAACGAGCAGATGAGCACTGCAAAGGGGGAACGAGCAGATGAGCACTGCAAAGGGGGAACGAGCAGATGAGCACTGCAAAGGGGGAACGAGCAGATGAGCACTGCAAAGGGGGAACGAGCAGATGAGCACTGCAAAGGGGGAACGAGCAGATGAGCACTGCAAAGGGGGAACGAGCAGATGAGCACTGCAAAGGGGGAACGAGCAGATGAGCACTGCAAAGGGGGAACGAGCAGATGAGCACTGCAAAGGGGGAACGAGCAGATGAGCACTGCAAAGGGGGAACGAGCAGATGAGCACTGCAAAGGGGGAACGAGCAGATGAGCACTGCAAAGGGGGAACGAGCAGATGAGCACTGCAAAGGGGGAACGAGCAGATGAGCACTGCAAAGGGGGAACGAGCAGATGAGCACTGCAAAGGGGGAACGAGCAGATGAGCACTGCAAAGGGGGAACGAGCAGATGAGCACTGCAAAGGGGGAACGAGCAGATGAGCACTGCAAAGGGGGAACGAGCAGATGAGCACTGCAAAGGGGGAACGAGCAGATGAGCACTGCAAAGGGGGAACGAGCAGATGAGCACTGCAAAGGGGGAACGAGCAGATGAGCACTGCAAAGGGGGAACGAGCAGATGAGCACTGCAAAGGGGGAACGAGCAGATGAGCACTGCAAAGGGGGAACGAGCAGATGAGCACTGCAAAGGGGGAACGAGCAGATGAGCACTGCAAAGGGGGAACGAGCAGATGAGCACTGCAAAGGGGGAACGAGCAGATGAGCACTGCAAAGGGGGAACGAGCAGATGAGCACTGCAAAGGGGGAACGAGCAGATGAGCACTGCAAAGGGGGAACGAGCAGATGAGCACTGCAAAGGGGGAACGAGCAGATGAGCACTGCAAAGGGGGAACGAGCAGATGAGCACTGCAAAGGGGGAACGAGCAGATGAGCACTGCAAAGGGGGAACGAGCAGATGAGCACTGCAAAGGGGGAACGAGCAGATGAGCACTGCAAAGGGGGAACGAGCAGATGAGCACTGCAAAGGGGGAACGAGCAGATGAGCACTGCAAAGGGGGAACGAGCAGATGAGCACTGCAAAGGGGGAACGAGCAGATGAGCACTGCAAAGGGGGAACGAGCAGATGAGCACTGCAAAGGGGGAACGAGCAGATGAGCACTGCAAAGGGGGAACGAGCAGATGAGCACTGCAAAGGGGGAACGAGCAGATGAGCACTGCAAAGGGGGAACGAGCAGATGAGCACTGCAAAGGGGGAACGAGCAGATGAGCACTGCAAAGGGGGAACGAGCAGATGAGCACTGCAAAGGGGGAACGAGCAGATGAGCACTGCAAAGGGGGAACGAGCAGATGAGCACTGCAAAGGGGGAACGAGCAGATGAGCACTGCAAAGGGGGAACGAGCAGATGAGCACTGCAAAGGGGGAACGAGCAGATGAGCACTGCAAAGGGGGAACGAGCAGATGAGCACTGCAAAGGGGGAACGAGCAGATGAGCACTGCAAAGGGGGAACGAGCAGATGAGCACTGCAAAGGGGGAACGAGCAGATGAGCACTGCAAAGGGGGAACGAGCAGATGAGCACTGCAAAGGGGGAACGAGCAGATGAGCACTGCAAAGGGGGAACGAGCAGATGAGCACTGCAAAGGGGGAACGAGCAGATGAGCACTGCAAAGGGGGAACGAGCAGATGAGCACTGCAAAGGGGGAACGAGCAGATGAGCACTGCAAAGGGGGAACGAGCAGATGAGCACTGCAAAGGGGGAACGAGCAGATGAGCACTGCAAAGGGGGAACGAGCAGATGAGCACTGCAAAGGGGGAACGAGCAGATGAGCACTGCAAAGGGGGAACGAGCAGATGAGCACTGCAAAGGGGGAACGAGCAGATGAGCACTGCAAAGGGGGAACGAGCAGATGAGCACTGCAAAGGGGGAACGAGCAGATGAGCACTGCAAAGGGGGAACGAGCAGATGAGCACTGCAAAGGGGGAACGAGCAGATGAGCACTGCAAAGGGGGAACGAGCAGATGAGCACTGCAAAGGGGGAACGAGCAGATGAGCACTGCAAAGGGGGAACGAGCAGATGAGCACTGCAAAGGGGGAACGAGCAGATGAGCACTGCAAAGGGGGAACGAGCAGATGAGCACTGCAAAGGGGGAACGAGCAGATGAGCACTGCAAAGGGGGAACGAGCAGATGAGCACTGCAAAGGGGGAACGAGCAGATGAGCACTGCAAAGGGGGAACGAGCAGATGAGCACTGCAAAGGGGGAACGAGCAGATGAGCACTGCAAAGGGGGAACGAGCAGATGAGCACTGCAAAGGGGGAACGAGCAGATGAGCACTGCAAAGGGGGAACGAGCAGATGAGCACTGCAAAGGGGGAACGAGCAGATGAGCACTGCAAAGGGGGAACGAGCAGATGAGCACTGCAAAGGGGGAACGAGCAGATGAGCACTGCAAAGGGGGAACGAGCAGATGAGCACTGCAAAGGGGGAACGAGCAGATGAGCACTGCAAAGGGGGAACGAGCAGATGAGCACTGCAAAGGGGGAACGAGCAGATGAGCACTGCAAAGGGGGAACGAGCAGATGAGCACTGCAAAGGGGGAACGAGCAGATGAGCACTGCAAAGGGGGAACGAGCAGATGAGCACTGCAAAGGGGGAACGAGCAGATGAGCACTGCAAAGGGGGAACGAGCAGATGAGCACTGCAAAGGGGGAACGAGCAGATGAGCACTGCAAAGGGGGAACGAGCAGATGAGCACTGCAAAGGGGGAACGAGCAGATGAGCACTGCAAAGGGGGAACGAGCAGATGAGCACTGCAAAGGGGGAACGAGCAGATGAGCACTGCAAAGGGGGAACGAGCAGATGAGCACTGCAAAGGGGGAACGAGCAGATGAGCACTGCAAAGGGGGAACGAGCAGATGAGCACTGCAAAGGGGGAACGAGCAGATGAGCACTGCAAAGGGGGAACGAGCAGATGAGCACTGCAAAGGGGGAACGAGCAGATGAGCACTGCAAAGGGGGAACGAGCAGATGAGCACTGCAAAGGGGGAACGAGCAGATGAGCACTGCAAAGGGGGAACGAGCAGATGAGCACTGCAAAGGGGGAACGAGCAGATGAGCACTGCAAAGGGGGAACGAGCAGATGAGCACTGCAAAGGGGGAACGAGCAGATGAGCACTGCAAAGGGGGAACGAGCAGATGAGCACTGCAAAGGGGGAACGAGCAGATGAGCACTGCAAAGGGGGAACGAGCAGATGAGCACTGCAAAGGGGGAACGAGCAGATGAGCACTGCAAAGGGGGAACGAGCAGATGAGCACTGCAAAGGGGGAACGAGCAGATGAGCACTGCAAAGGGGGAACGAGCAGATGAGCACTGCAAAGGGGGAACGAGCAGATGAGCACTGCAAAGGGGGAACGAGCAGATGAGCACTGCAAAGGGGGAACGAGCAGATGAGCACTGCAAAGGGGGAACGAGCAGATGAGCACTGCAAAGGGGGAACGAGCAGATGAGCACTGCAAAGGGGGAACGAGCAGATGAGCACTGCAAAGGGGGAACGAGCAGATGAGCACTGCAAAGGGGGAACGAGCAGATGAGCACTGCAAAGGGGGAACGAGCAGATGAGCACTGCAAAGGGGGAACGAGCAGATGAGCACTGCAAAGGGGGAACGAGCAGATGAGCACTGCAAAGGGGGAACGAGCAGATGAGCACTGCAAAGGGGGAACGAGCAGATGAGCACTGCAAAGGGGGAACGAGCAGATGAGCACTGCAAAGGGGGAACGAGCAGATGAGCACTGCAAAGGGGGAACGAGCAGATGAGCACTGCAAAGGGGGAACGAGCAGATGAGCACTGCAAAGGGGGAACGAGCAGATGAGCACTGCAAAGGGGGAACGAGCAGATGAGCACTGCAAAGGGGGAACGAGCAGATGAGCACTGCAAAGGGGGAACGAGCAGATGAGCACTGCAAAGGGGGAACGAGCAGATGAGCACTGCAAAGGGGGAACGAGCAGATGAGCACTGCAAAGGGGGAACGAGCAGATGAGCACTGCAAAGGGGGAACGAGCAGATGAGCACTGCAAAGGGGGAACGAGCAGATGAGCACTGCAAAGGGGGAACGAGCAGATGAGCACTGCAAAGGGGGAACGAGCAGATGAGCACTGCAAAGGGGGAACGAGCAGATGAGCACTGCAAAGGGGGAACGAGCAGATGAGCACTGCAAAGGGGGAACGAGCAGATGAGCACTGCAAAGGGGGAACGAGCAGATGAGCACTGCAAAGGGGGAACGAGCAGATGAGCACTGCAAAGGGGGAACGAGCAGATGAGCACTGCAAAGGGGGAACGAGCAGATGAGCACTGCAAAGGGGGAACGAGCAGATGAGCACTGCAAAGGGGGAACGAGCAGATGAGCACTGCAAAGGGGGAACGAGCAGATGAGCACTGCAAAGGGGGAACGAGCAGATGAGCACTGCAAAGGGGGAACGAGCAGATGAGCACTGCAAAGGGGGAACGAGCAGATGAGCACTGCAAAGGGGGAACGAGCAGATGAGCACTGCAAAGGGGGAACGAGCAGATGAGCACTGCAAAGGGGGAACGAGCAGATGAGCACTGCAAAGGGGGAACGAGCAGATGAGCACTGCAAAGGGGGAACGAGCAGATGAGCACTGCAAAGGGGGAACGAGCAGATGAGCACTGCAAAGGGGGAACGAGCAGATGAGCACTGCAAAGGGGGAACGAGCAGATGAGCACTGCAAAGGGGGAACGAGCAGATGAGCACTGCAAAGGGGGAACGAGCAGATGAGCACTGCAAAGGGGGAACGAGCAGATGAGCACTGCAAAGGGGGAACGAGCAGATGAGCACTGCAAAGGGGGAACGAGCAGATGAGCACTGCAAAGGGGGAACGAGCAGATGAGCACTGCAAAGGGGGAACGAGCAGATGAGCACTGCAAAGGGGGAACGAGCAGATGAGCACTGCAAAGGGGGAACGAGCAGATGAGCACTGCAAAGGGGGAACGAGCAGATGAGCACTGCAAAGGGGGAACGAGCAGATGAGCACTGCAAAGGGGGAACGAGCAGATGAGCACTGCAAAGGGGGAACGAGCAGATGAGCACTGCAAAGGGGGAACGAGCAGATGAGCACTGCAAAGGGGGAACGAGCAGATGAGCACTGCAAAGGGGGAACGAGCAGATGAGCACTGCAAAGGGGGAACGAGCAGATGAGCACTGCAAAGGGGGAACGAGCAGATGAGCACTGCAAAGGGGGAACGAGCAGATGAGCACTGCAAAGGGGGAACGAGCAGATGAGCACTGCAAAGGGGGAACGAGCAGATGAGCACTGCAAAGGGGGAACGAGCAGATGAGCACTGCAAAGGGGGAACGAGCAGATGAGCACTGCAAAGGGGGAACGAGCAGATGAGCACTGCAAAGGGGGAACGAGCAGATGAGCACTGCAAAGGGGGAACGAGCAGATGAGCACTGCAAAGGGGGAACGAGCAGATGAGCACTGCAAAGGGGGAACGAGCAGATGAGCACTGCAAAGGGGGAACGAGCAGATGAGCACTGCAAAGGGGGAACGAGCAGATGAGCACTGCAAAGGGGGAACGAGCAGATGAGCACTGCAAAGGGGGAACGAGCAGATGAGCACTGCAAAGGGGGAACGAGCAGATGAGCACTGCAAAGGGGGAACGAGCAGATGAGCACTGCAAAGGGGGAACGAGCAGATGAGCACTGCAAAGGGGGAACGAGCAGATGAGCACTGCAAAGGGGGAACGAGCAGATGAGCACTGCAAAGGGGGAACGAGCAGATGAGCACTGCAAAGGGGGAACGAGCAGATGAGCACTGCAAAGGGGGAACGAGCAGATGAGCACTGCAAAGGGGGAACGAGCAGATGAGCACTGCAAAGGGGGAACGAGCAGATGAGCACTGCAAAGGGGGAACGAGCAGATGAGCACTGCAAAGGGGGAACGAGCAGATGAGCACTGCAAAGGGGGAACGAGCAGATGAGCACTGCAAAGGGGGAACGAGCAGATGAGCACTGCAAAGGGGGAACGAGCAGATGAGCACTGCAAAGGGGGAACGAGCAGATGAGCACTGCAAAGGGGGAACGAGCAGATGAGCACTGCAAAGGGGGAACGAGCAGATGAGCACTGCAAAGGGGGAACGAGCAGATGAGCACTGCAAAGGGGGAACGAGCAGATGAGCACTGCAAAGGGGGAACGAGCAGATGAGCACTGCAAAGGGGGAACGAGCAGATGAGCACTGCAAAGGGGGAACGAGCAGATGAGCACTGCAAAGGGGGAACGAGCAGATGAGCACTGCAAAGGGGGAACGAGCAGATGAGCACTGCAAAGGGGGAACGAGCAGATGAGCACTGCAAAGGGGGAACGAGCAGATGAGCACTGCAAAGGGGGAACGAGCAGATGAGCACTGCAAAGGGGGAACGAGCAGATGAGCACTGCAAAGGGGGAACGAGCAGATGAGCACTGCAAAGGGGGAACGAGCAGATGAGCACTGCAAAGGGGGAACGAGCAGATGAGCACTGCAAAGGGGGAACGAGCAGATGAGCACTGCAAAGGGGGAACGAGCAGATGAGCACTGCAAAGGGGGAACGAGCAGATGAGCACTGCAAAGGGGGAACGAGCAGATGAGCACTGCAAAGGGGGAACGAGCAGATGAGCACTGCAAAGGGGGAACGAGCAGATGAGCACTGCAAAGGGGGAACGAGCAGATGAGCACTGCAAAGGGGGAACGAGCAGATGAGCACTGCAAAGGGGGAACGAGCAGATGAGCACTGCAAAGGGGGAACGAGCAGATGAGCACTGCAAAGGGGGAACGAGCAGATGAGCACTGCAAAGGGGGAACGAGCAGATGAGCACTGCAAAGGGGGAACGAGCAGATGAGCACTGCAAAGGGGGAACGAGCAGATGAGCACTGCAAAGGGGGAACGAGCAGATGAGCACTGCAAAGGGGGAACGAGCAGATGAGCACTGCAAAGGGGGAACGAGCAGATGAGCACTGCAAAGGGGGAACGAGCAGATGAGCACTGCAAAGGGGGAACGAGCAGATGAGCACTGCAAAGGGGGAACGAGCAGATGAGCACTGCAAAGGGGGAACGAGCAGATGAGCACTGCAAAGGGGGAACGAGCAGATGAGCACTGCAAAGGGGGAACGAGCAGATGAGCACTGCAAAGGGGGAACGAGCAGATGAGCACTGCAAAGGGGGAACGAGCAGATGAGCACTGCAAAGGGGGAACGAGCAGATGAGCACTGCAAAGGGGGAACGAGCAGATGAGCACTGCAAAGGGGGAACGAGCAGATGAGCACTGCAAAGGGGGAACGAGCAGATGAGCACTGCAAAGGGGGAACGAGCAGATGAGCACTGCAAAGGGGGAACGAGCAGATGAGCACTGCAAAGGGGGAACGAGCAGATGAGCACTGCAAAGGGGGAACGAGCAGATGAGCACTGCAAAGGGGGAACGAGCAGATGAGCACTGCAAAGGGGGAACGAGCAGATGAGCACTGCAAAGGGGGAACGAGCAGATGAGCACTGCAAAGGGGGAACGAGCAGATGAGCACTGCAAAGGGGGAACGAGCAGATGAGCACTGCAAAGGGGGAACGAGCAGATGAGCACTGCAAAGGGGGAACGAGCAGATGAGCACTGCAAAGGGGGAACGAGCAGATGAGCACTGCAAAGGGGGAACGAGCAGATGAGCACTGCAAAGGGGGAACGAGCAGATGAGCACTGCAAAGGGGGAACGAGCAGATGAGCACTGCAAAGGGGGAACGAGCAGATGAGCACTGCAAAGGGGGAACGAGCAGATGAGCACTGCAAAGGGGGAACGAGCAGATGAGCACTGCAAAGGGGGAACGAGCAGATGAGCACTGCAAAGGGGGAACGAGCAGATGAGCACTGCAAAGGGGGAACGAGCAGATGAGCACTGCAAAGGGGGAACGAGCAGATGAGCACTGCAAAGGGGGAACGAGCAGATGAGCACTGCAAAGGGGGAACGAGCAGATGAGCACTGCAAAGGGGGAACGAGCAGATGAGCACTGCAAAGGGGGAACGAGCAGATGAGCACTGCAAAGGGGGAACGAGCAGATGAGCACTGCAAAGGGGGAACGAGCAGATGAGCACTGCAAAGGGGGAACGAGCAGATGAGCACTGCAAAGGGGGAACGAGCAGATGAGCACTGCAAAGGGGGAACGAGCAGATGAGCACTGCAAAGGGGGAACGAGCAGATGAGCACTGCAAAGGGGGAACGAGCAGATGAGCACTGCAAAGGGGGAACGAGCAGATGAGCACTGCAAAGGGGGAACGAGCAGATGAGCACTGCAAAGGGGGAACGAGCAGATGAGCACTGCAAAGGGGGAACGAGCAGATGAGCACTGCAAAGGGGGAACGAGCAGATGAGCACTGCAAAGGGGGAACGAGCAGATGAGCACTGCAAAGGGGGAACGAGCAGATGAGCACTGCAAAGGGGGAACGAGCAGATGAGCACTGCAAAGGGGGAACGAGCAGATGAGCACTGCAAAGGGGGAACGAGCAGATGAGCACTGCAAAGGGGGAACGAGCAGATGAGCACTGCAAAGGGGGAACGAGCAGATGAGCACTGCAAAGGGGGAACGAGCAGATGAGCACTGCAAAGGGGGAACGAGCAGATGAGCACTGCAAAGGGGGAACGAGCAGATGAGCACTGCAAAGGGGGAACGAGCAGATGAGCACTGCAAAGGGGGAACGAGCAGATGAGCACTGCAAAGGGGGAACGAGCAGATGAGCACTGCAAAGGGGGAACGAGCAGATGAGCACTGCAAAGGGGGAACGAGCAGATGAGCACTGCAAAGGGGGAACGAGCAGATGAGCACTGCAAAGGGGGAACGAGCAGATGAGCACTGCAAAGGGGGAACGAGCAGATGAGCACTGCAAAGGGGGAACGAGCAGATGAGCACTGCAAAGGGGGAACGAGCAGATGAGCACTGCAAAGGGGGAACGAGCAGATGAGCACTGCAAAGGGGGAACGAGCAGATGAGCACTGCAAAGGGGGAACGAGCAGATGAGCACTGCAAAGGGGGAACGAGCAGATGAGCACTGCAAAGGGGGAACGAGCAGATGAGCACTGCAAAGGGGGAACGAGCAGATGAGCACTGCAAAGGGGGAACGAGCAGATGAGCACTGCAAAGGGGGAACGAGCAGATGAGCACTGCAAAGGGGGAACGAGCAGATGAGCACTGCAAAGGGGGAACGAGCAGATGAGCACTGCAAAGGGGGAACGAGCAGATGAGCACTGCAAAGGGGGAACGAGCAGATGAGCACTGCAAAGGGGGAACGAGCAGATGAGCACTGCAAAGGGGGAACGAGCAGATGAGCACTGCAAAGGGGGAACGAGCAGATGAGCACTGCAAAGGGGGAACGAGCAGATGAGCACTGCAAAGGGGGAACGAGCAGATGAGCACTGCAAAGGGGGAACGAGCAGATGAGCACTGCAAAGGGGGAACGAGCAGATGAGCACTGCAAAGGGGGAACGAGCAGATGAGCACTGCAAAGGGGGAACGAGCAGATGAGCACTGCAAAGGGGGAACGAGCAGATGAGCACTGCAAAGGGGGAACGAGCAGATGAGCACTGCAAAGGGGGAACGAGCAGATGAGCACTGCAAAGGGGGAACGAGCAGATGAGCACTGCAAAGGGGGAACGAGCAGATGAGCACTGCAAAGGGGGAACGAGCAGATGAGCACTGCAAAGGGGGAACGAGCAGATGAGCACTGCAAAGGGGGAACGAGCAGATGAGCACTGCAAAGGGGGAACGAGCAGATGAGCACTGCAAAGGGGGAACGAGCAGATGAGCACTGCAAAGGGGGAACGAGCAGATGAGCACTGCAAAGGGGGAACGAGCAGATGAGCACTGCAAAGGGGGAACGAGCAGATGAGCACTGCAAAGGGGGAACGAGCAGATGAGCACTGCAAAGGGGGAACGAGCAGATGAGCACTGCAAAGGGGGAACGAGCAGATGAGCACTGCAAAGGGGGAACGAGCAGATGAGCACTGCAAAGGGGGAACGAGCAGATGAGCACTGCAAAGGGGGAACGAGCAGATGAGCACTGCAAAGGGGGAACGAGCAGATGAGCACTGCAAAGGGGGAACGAGCAGATGAGCACTGCAAAGGGGGAACGAGCAGATGAGCACTGCAAAGGGGGAACGAGCAGATGAGCACTGCAAAGGGGGAACGAGCAGATGAGCACTGCAAAGGGGGAACGAGCAGATGAGCACTGCAAAGGGGGAACGAGCAGATGAGCACTGCAAAGGGGGAACGAGCAGATGAGCACTGCAAAGGGGGAACGAGCAGATGAGCACTGCAAAGGGGGAACGAGCAGATGAGCACTGCAAAGGGGGAACGAGCAGATGAGCACTGCAAAGGGGGAACGAGCAGATGAGCACTGCAAAGGGGGAACGAGCAGATGAGCACTGCAAAGGGGGAACGAGCAGATGAGCACTGCAAAGGGGGAACGAGCAGATGAGCACTGCAAAGGGGGAACGAGCAGATGAGCACTGCAAAGGGGGAACGAGCAGATGAGCACTGCAAAGGGGGAACGAGCAGATGAGCACTGCAAAGGGGGAACGAGCAGATGAGCACTGCAAAGGGGGAACGAGCAGATGAGCACTGCAAAGGGGGAACGAGCAGATGAGCACTGCAAAGGGGGAACGAGCAGATGAGCACTGCAAAGGGGGAACGAGCAGATGAGCACTGCAAAGGGGGAACGAGCAGATGAGCACTGCAAAGGGGGAACGAGCAGATGAGCACTGCAAAGGGGGAACGAGCAGATGAGCACTGCAAAGGGGGAACGAGCAGATGAGCACTGCAAAGGGGGAACGAGCAGATGAGCACTGCAAAGGGGGAACGAGCAGATGAGCACTGCAAAGGGGGAACGAGCAGATGAGCACTGCAAAGGGGGAACGAGCAGATGAGCACTGCAAAGGGGGAACGAGCAGATGAGCACTGCAAAGGGGGAACGAGCAGATGAGCACTGCAAAGGGGGAACGAGCAGATGAGCACTGCAAAGGGGGAACGAGCAGATGAGCACTGCAAAGGGGGAACGAGCAGATGAGCACTGCAAAGGGGGAACGAGCAGATGAGCACTGCAAAGGGGGAACGAGCAGATGAGCACTGCAAAGGGGGAACGAGCAGATGAGCACTGCAAAGGGGGAACGAGCAGATGAGCACTGCAAAGGGGGAACGAGCAGATGAGCACTGCAAAGGGGGAACGAGCAGATGAGCACTGCAAAGGGGGAACGAGCAGATGAGCACTGCAAAGGGGGAACGAGCAGATGAGCACTGCAAAGGGGGAACGAGCAGATGAGCACTGCAAAGGGGGAACGAGCAGATGAGCACTGCAAAGGGGGAACGAGCAGATGAGCACTGCAAAGGGGGAACGAGCAGATGAGCACTGCAAAGGGGGAACGAGCAGATGAGCACTGCAAAGGGGGAACGAGCAGATGAGCACTGCAAAGGGGGAACGAGCAGATGAGCACTGCAAAGGGGGAACGAGCAGATGAGCACTGCAAAGGGGGAACGAGCAGATGAGCACTGCAAAGGGGGAACGAGCAGATGAGCACTGCAAAGGGGGAACGAGCAGATGAGCACTGCAAAGGGGGAACGAGCAGATGAGCACTGCAAAGGGGGAACGAGCAGATGAGCACTGCAAAGGGGGAACGAGCAGATGAGCACTGCAAAGGGGGAACGAGCAGATGAGCACTGCAAAGGGGGAACGAGCAGATGAGCACTGCAAAGGGGGAACGAGCAGATGAGCACTGCAAAGGGGGAACGAGCAGATGAGCACTGCAAAGGGGGAACGAGCAGATGAGCACTGCAAAGGGGGAACGAGCAGATGAGCACTGCAAAGGGGGAACGAGCAGATGAGCACTGCAAAGGGGGAACGAGCAGATGAGCACTGCAAAGGGGGAACGAGCAGATGAGCACTGCAAAGGGGGAACGAGCAGATGAGCACTGCAAAGGGGGAACGAGCAGATGAGCACTGCAAAGGGGGAACGAGCAGATGAGCACTGCAAAGGGGGAACGAGCAGATGAGCACTGCAAAGGGGGAACGAGCAGATGAGCACTGCAAAGGGGGAACGAGCAGATGAGCACTGCAAAGGGGGAACGAGCAGATGAGCACTGCAAAGGGGGAACGAGCAGATGAGCACTGCAAAGGGGGAACGAGCAGATGAGCACTGCAAAGGGGGAACGAGCAGATGAGCACTGCAAAGGGGGAACGAGCAGATGAGCACTGCAAAGGGGGAACGAGCAGATGAGCACTGCAAAGGGGGAACGAGCAGATGAGCACTGCAAAGGGGGAACGAGCAGATGAGCACTGCAAAGGGGGAACGAGCAGATGAGCACTGCAAAGGGGGAACGAGCAGATGAGCACTGCAAAGGGGGAACGAGCAGATGAGCACTGCAAAGGGGGAACGAGCAGATGAGCACTGCAAAGGGGGAACGAGCAGATGAGCACTGCAAAGGGGGAACGAGCAGATGAGCACTGCAAAGGGGGAACGAGCAGATGAGCACTGCAAAGGGGGAACGAGCAGATGAGCACTGCAAAGGGGGAACGAGCAGATGAGCACTGCAAAGGGGGAACGAGCAGATGAGCACTGCAAAGGGGGAACGAGCAGATGAGCACTGCAAAGGGGGAACGAGCAGATGAGCACTGCAAAGGGGGAACGAGCAGATGAGCACTGCAAAGGGGGAACGAGCAGATGAGCACTGCAAAGGGGGAACGAGCAGATGAGCACTGCAAAGGGGGAACGAGCAGATGAGCACTGCAAAGGGGGAACGAGCAGATGAGCACTGCAAAGGGGGAACGAGCAGATGAGCACTGCAAAGGGGGAACGAGCAGATGAGCACTGCAAAGGGGGAACGAGCAGATGAGCACTGCAAAGGGGGAACGAGCAGATGAGCACTGCAAAGGGGGAACGAGCAGATGAGCACTGCAAAGGGGGAACGAGCAGATGAGCACTGCAAAGGGGGAACGAGCAGATGAGCACTGCAAAGGGGGAACGAGCAGATGAGCACTGCAAAGGGGGAACGAGCAGATGAGCACTGCAAAGGGGGAACGAGCAGATGAGCACTGCAAAGGGGGAACGAGCAGATGAGCACTGCAAAGGGGGAACGAGCAGATGAGCACTGCAAAGGGGGAACGAGCAGATGAGCACTGCAAAGGGGGAACGAGCAGATGAGCACTGCAAAGGGGGAACGAGCAGATGAGCACTGCAAAGGGGGAACGAGCAGATGAGCACTGCAAAGGGGGAACGAGCAGATGAGCACTGCAAAGGGGGAACGAGCAGATGAGCACTGCAAAGGGGGAACGAGCAGATGAGCACTGCAAAGGGGGAACGAGCAGATGAGCACTGCAAAGGGGGAACGAGCAGATGAGCACTGCAAAGGGGGAACGAGCAGATGAGCACTGCAAAGGGGGAACGAGCAGATGAGCACTGCAAAGGGGGAACGAGCAGATGAGCACTGCAAAGGGGGAACGAGCAGATGAGCACTGCAAAGGGGGAACGAGCAGATGAGCACTGCAAAGGGGGAACGAGCAGATGAGCACTGCAAAGGGGGAACGAGCAGATGAGCACTGCAAAGGGGGAACGAGCAGATGAGCACTGCAAAGGGGGAACGAGCAGATGAGCACTGCAAAGGGGGAACGAGCAGATGAGCACTGCAAAGGGGGAACGAGCAGATGAGCACTGCAAAGGGGGAACGAGCAGATGAGCACTGCAAAGGGGGAACGAGCAGATGAGCACTGCAAAGGGGGAACGAGCAGATGAGCACTGCAAAGGGGGAACGAGCAGATGAGCACTGCAAAGGGGGAACGAGCAGATGAGCACTGCAAAGGGGGAACGAGCAGATGAGCACTGCAAAGGGGGAACGAGCAGATGAGCACTGCAAAGGGGGAACGAGCAGATGAGCACTGCAAAGGGGGAACGAGCAGATGAGCACTGCAAAGGGGGAACGAGCAGATGAGCACTGCAAAGGGGGAACGAGCAGATGAGCACTGCAAAGGGGGAACGAGCAGATGAGCACTGCAAAGGGGGAACGAGCAGATGAGCACTGCAAAGGGGGAACGAGCAGATGAGCACTGCAAAGGGGGAACGAGCAGATGAGCACTGCAAAGGGGGAACGAGCAGATGAGCACTGCAAAGGGGGAACGAGCAGATGAGCACTGCAAAGGGGGAACGAGCAGATGAGCACTGCAAAGGGGGAACGAGCAGATGAGCACTGCAAAGGGGGAACGAGCAGATGAGCACTGCAAAGGGGGAACGAGCAGATGAGCACTGCAAAGGGGGAACGAGCAGATGAGCACTGCAAAGGGGGAACGAGCAGATGAGCACTGCAAAGGGGGAACGAGCAGATGAGCACTGCAAAGGGGGAACGAGCAGATGAGCACTGCAAAGGGGGAACGAGCAGATGAGCACTGCAAAGGGGGAACGAGCAGATGAGCACTGCAAAGGGGGAACGAGCAGATGAGCACTGCAAAGGGGGAACGAGCAGATGAGCACTGCAAAGGGGGAACGAGCAGATGAGCACTGCAAAGGGGGAACGAGCAGATGAGCACTGCAAAGGGGGAACGAGCAGATGAGCACTGCAAAGGGGGAACGAGCAGATGAGCACTGCAAAGGGGGAACGAGCAGATGAGCACTGCAAAGGGGGAACGAGCAGATGAGCACTGCAAAGGGGGAACGAGCAGATGAGCACTGCAAAGGGGGAACGAGCAGATGAGCACTGCAAAGGGGGAACGAGCAGATGAGCACTGCAAAGGGGGAACGAGCAGATGAGCACTGCAAAGGGGGAACGAGCAGATGAGCACTGCAAAGGGGGAACGAGCAGATGAGCACTGCAAAGGGGGAACGAGCAGATGAGCACTGCAAAGGGGGAACGAGCAGATGAGCACTGCAAAGGGGGAACGAGCAGATGAGCACTGCAAAGGGGGAACGAGCAGATGAGCACTGCAAAGGGGGAACGAGCAGATGAGCACTGCAAAGGGGGAACGAGCAGATGAGCACTGCAAAGGGGGAACGAGCAGATGAGCACTGCAAAGGGGGAACGAGCAGATGAGCACTGCAAAGGGGGAACGAGCAGATGAGCACTGCAAAGGGGGAACGAGCAGATGAGCACTGCAAAGGGGGAACGAGCAGATGAGCACTGCAAAGGGGGAACGAGCAGATGAGCACTGCAAAGGGGGAACGAGCAGATGAGCACTGCAAAGGGGGAACGAGCAGATGAGCACTGCAAAGGGGGAACGAGCAGATGAGCACTGCAAAGGGGGAACGAGCAGATGAGCACTGCAAAGGGGGAACGAGCAGATGAGCACTGCAAAGGGGGAACGAGCAGATGAGCACTGCAAAGGGGGAACGAGCAGATGAGCACTGCAAAGGGGGAACGAGCAGATGAGCACTGCAAAGGGGGAACGAGCAGATGAGCACTGCAAAGGGGGAACGAGCAGATGAGCACTGCAAAGGGGGAACGAGCAGATGAGCACTGCAAAGGGGGAACGAGCAGATGAGCACTGCAAAGGGGGAACGAGCAGATGAGCACTGCAAAGGGGGAACGAGCAGATGAGCACTGCAAAGGGGGAACGAGCAGATGAGCACTGCAAAGGGGGAACGAGCAGATGAGCACTGCAAAGGGGGAACGAGCAGATGAGCACTGCAAAGGGGGAACGAGCAGATGAGCACTGCAAAGGGGGAACGAGCAGATGAGCACTGCAAAGGGGGAACGAGCAGATGAGCACTGCAAAGGGGGAACGAGCAGATGAGCACTGCAAAGGGGGAACGAGCAGATGAGCACTGCAAAGGGGGAACGAGCAGATGAGCACTGCAAAGGGGGAACGAGCAGATGAGCACTGCAAAGGGGGAACGAGCAGATGAGCACTGCAAAGGGGGAACGAGCAGATGAGCACTGCAAAGGGGGAACGAGCAGATGAGCACTGCAAAGGGGGAACGAGCAGATGAGCACTGCAAAGGGGGAACGAGCAGATGAGCACTGCAAAGGGGGAACGAGCAGATGAGCACTGCAAAGGGGGAACGAGCAGATGAGCACTGCAAAGGGGGAACGAGCAGATGAGCACTGCAAAGGGGGAACGAGCAGATGAGCACTGCAAAGGGGGAACGAGCAGATGAGCACTGCAAAGGGGGAACGAGCAGATGAGCACTGCAAAGGGGGAACGAGCAGATGAGCACTGCAAAGGGGGAACGAGCAGATGAGCACTGCAAAGGGGGAACGAGCAGATGAGCACTGCAAAGGGGGAACGAGCAGATGAGCACTGCAAAGGGGGAACGAGCAGATGAGCACTGCAAAGGGGGAACGAGCAGATGAGCACTGCAAAGGGGGAACGAGCAGATGAGCACTGCAAAGGGGGAACGAGCAGATGAGCACTGCAAAGGGGGAACGAGCAGATGAGCACTGCAAAGGGGGAACGAGCAGATGAGCACTGCAAAGGGGGAACGAGCAGATGAGCACTGCAAAGGGGGAACGAGCAGATGAGCACTGCAAAGGGGGAACGAGCAGATGAGCACTGCAAAGGGGGAACGAGCAGATGAGCACTGCAAAGGGGGAACGAGCAGATGAGCACTGCAAAGGGGGAACGAGCAGATGAGCACTGCAAAGGGGGAACGAGCAGATGAGCACTGCAAAGGGGGAACGAGCAGATGAGCACTGCAAAGGGGGAACGAGCAGATGAGCACTGCAAAGGGGGAACGAGCAGATGAGCACTGCAAAGGGGGAACGAGCAGATGAGCACTGCAAAGGGGGAACGAGCAGATGAGCACTGCAAAGGGGGAACGAGCAGATGAGCACTGCAAAGGGGGAACGAGCAGATGAGCACTGCAAAGGGGGAACGAGCAGATGAGCACTGCAAAGGGGGAACGAGCAGATGAGCACTGCAAAGGGGGAACGAGCAGATGAGCACTGCAAAGGGGGAACGAGCAGATGAGCACTGCAAAGGGGGAACGAGCAGATGAGCACTGCAAAGGGGGAACGAGCAGATGAGCACTGCAAAGGGGGAACGAGCAGATGAGCACTGCAAAGGGGGAACGAGCAGATGAGCACTGCAAAGGGGGAACGAGCAGATGAGCACTGCAAAGGGGGAACGAGCAGATGAGCACTGCAAAGGGGGAACGAGCAGATGAGCACTGCAAAGGGGGAACGAGCAGATGAGCACTGCAAAGGGGGAACGAGCAGATGAGCACTGCAAAGGGGGAACGAGCAGATGAGCACTGCAAAGGGGGAACGAGCAGATGAGCACTGCAAAGGGGGAACGAGCAGATGAGCACTGCAAAGGGGGAACGAGCAGATGAGCACTGCAAAGGGGGAACGAGCAGATGAGCACTGCAAAGGGGGAACGAGCAGATGAGCACTGCAAAGGGGGAACGAGCAGATGAGCACTGCAAAGGGGGAACGAGCAGATGAGCACTGCAAAGGGGGAACGAGCAGATGAGCACTGCAAAGGGGGAACGAGCAGATGAGCACTGCAAAGGGGGAACGAGCAGATGAGCACTGCAAAGGGGGAACGAGCAGATGAGCACTGCAAAGGGGGAACGAGCAGATGAGCACTGCAAAGGGGGAACGAGCAGATGAGCACTGCAAAGGGGGAACGAGCAGATGAGCACTGCAAAGGGGGAACGAGCAGATGAGCACTGCAAAGGGGGAACGAGCAGATGAGCACTGCAAAGGGGGAACGAGCAGATGAGCACTGCAAAGGGGGAACGAGCAGATGAGCACTGCAAAGGGGGAACGAGCAGATGAGCACTGCAAAGGGGGAACGAGCAGATGAGCACTGCAAAGGGGGAACGAGCAGATGAGCACTGCAAAGGGGGAACGAGCAGATGAGCACTGCAAAGGGGGAACGAGCAGATGAGCACTGCAAAGGGGGAACGAGCAGATGAGCACTGCAAAGGGGGAACGAGCAGATGAGCACTGCAAAGGGGGAACGAGCAGATGAGCACTGCAAAGGGGGAACGAGCAGATGAGCACTGCAAAGGGGGAACGAGCAGATGAGCACTGCAAAGGGGGAACGAGCAGATGAGCACTGCAAAGGGGGAACGAGCAGATGAGCACTGCAAAGGGGGAACGAGCAGATGAGCACTGCAAAGGGGGAACGAGCAGATGAGCACTGCAAAGGGGGAACGAGCAGATGAGCACTGCAAAGGGGGAACGAGCAGATGAGCACTGCAAAGGGGGAACGAGCAGATGAGCACTGCAAAGGGGGAACGAGCAGATGAGCACTGCAAAGGGGGAACGAGCAGATGAGCACTGCAAAGGGGGAACGAGCAGATGAGCACTGCAAAGGGGGAACGAGCAGATGAGCACTGCAAAGGGGGAACGAGCAGATGAGCACTGCAAAGGGGGAACGAGCAGATGAGCACTGCAAAGGGGGAACGAGCAGATGAGCACTGCAAAGGGGGAACGAGCAGATGAGCACTGCAAAGGGGGAACGAGCAGATGAGCACTGCAAAGGGGGAACGAGCAGATGAGCACTGCAAAGGGGGAACGAGCAGATGAGCACTGCAAAGGGGGAACGAGCAGATGAGCACTGCAAAGGGGGAACGAGCAGATGAGCACTGCAAAGGGGGAACGAGCAGATGAGCACTGCAAAGGGGGAACGAGCAGATGAGCACTGCAAAGGGGGAACGAGCAGATGAGCACTGCAAAGGGGGAACGAGCAGATGAGCACTGCAAAGGGGGAACGAGCAGATGAGCACTGCAAAGGGGGAACGAGCAGATGAGCACTGCAAAGGGGGAACGAGCAGATGAGCACTGCAAAGGGGGAACGAGCAGATGAGCACTGCAAAGGGGGAACGAGCAGATGAGCACTGCAAAGGGGGAACGAGCAGATGAGCACTGCAAAGGGGGAACGAGCAGATGAGCACTGCAAAGGGGGAACGAGCAGATGAGCACTGCAAAGGGGGAACGAGCAGATGAGCACTGCAAAGGGGGAACGAGCAGATGAGCACTGCAAAGGGGGAACGAGCAGATGAGCACTGCAAAGGGGGAACGAGCAGATGAGCACTGCAAAGGGGGAACGAGCAGATGAGCACTGCAAAGGGGGAACGAGCAGATGAGCACTGCAAAGGGGGAACGAGCAGATGAGCACTGCAAAGGGGGAACGAGCAGATGAGCACTGCAAAGGGGGAACGAGCAGATGAGCACTGCAAAGGGGGAACGAGCAGATGAGCACTGCAAAGGGGGAACGAGCAGATGAGCACTGCAAAGGGGGAACGAGCAGATGAGCACTGCAAAGGGGGAACGAGCAGATGAGCACTGCAAAGGGGGAACGAGCAGATGAGCACTGCAAAGGGGGAACGAGCAGATGAGCACTGCAAAGGGGGAACGAGCAGATGAGCACTGCAAAGGGGGAACGAGCAGATGAGCACTGCAAAGGGGGAACGAGCAGATGAGCACTGCAAAGGGGGAACGAGCAGATGAGCACTGCAAAGGGGGAACGAGCAGATGAGCACTGCAAAGGGGGAACGAGCAGATGAGCACTGCAAAGGGGGAACGAGCAGATGAGCACTGCAAAGGGGGAACGAGCAGATGAGCACTGCAAAGGGGGAACGAGCAGATGAGCACTGCAAAGGGGGAACGAGCAGATGAGCACTGCAAAGGGGGAACGAGCAGATGAGCACTGCAAAGGGGGAACGAGCAGATGAGCACTGCAAAGGGGGAACGAGCAGATGAGCACTGCAAAGGGGGAACGAGCAGATGAGCACTGCAAAGGGGGAACGAGCAGATGAGCACTGCAAAGGGGGAACGAGCAGATGAGCACTGCAAAGGGGGAACGAGCAGATGAGCACTGCAAAGGGGGAACGAGCAGATGAGCACTGCAAAGGGGGAACGAGCAGATGAGCACTGCAAAGGGGGAACGAGCAGATGAGCACTGCAAAGGGGGAACGAGCAGATGAGCACTGCAAAGGGGGAACGAGCAGATGAGCACTGCAAAGGGGGAACGAGCAGATGAGCACTGCAAAGGGGGAACGAGCAGATGAGCACTGCAAAGGGGGAACGAGCAGATGAGCACTGCAAAGGGGGAACGAGCAGATGAGCACTGCAAAGGGGGAACGAGCAGATGAGCACTGCAAAGGGGGAACGAGCAGATGAGCACTGCAAAGGGGGAACGAGCAGATGAGCACTGCAAAGGGGGAACGAGCAGATGAGCACTGCAAAGGGGGAACGAGCAGATGAGCACTGCAAAGGGGGAACGAGCAGATGAGCACTGCAAAGGGGGAACGAGCAGATGAGCACTGCAAAGGGGGAACGAGCAGATGAGCACTGCAAAGGGGGAACGAGCAGATGAGCACTGCAAAGGGGGAACGAGCAGATGAGCACTGCAAAGGGGGAACGAGCAGATGAGCACTGCAAAGGGGGAACGAGCAGATGAGCACTGCAAAGGGGGAACGAGCAGATGAGCACTGCAAAGGGGGAACGAGCAGATGAGCACTGCAAAGGGGGAACGAGCAGATGAGCACTGCAAAGGGGGAACGAGCAGATGAGCACTGCAAAGGGGGAACGAGCAGATGAGCACTGCAAAGGGGGAACGAGCAGATGAGCACTGCAAAGGGGGAACGAGCAGATGAGCACTGCAAAGGGGGAACGAGCAGATGAGCACTGCAAAGGGGGAACGAGCAGATGAGCACTGCAAAGGGGGAACGAGCAGATGAGCACTGCAAAGGGGGAACGAGCAGATGAGCACTGCAAAGGGGGAACGAGCAGATGAGCACTGCAAAGGGGGAACGAGCAGATGAGCACTGCAAAGGGGGAACGAGCAGATGAGCACTGCAAAGGGGGAACGAGCAGATGAGCACTGCAAAGGGGGAACGAGCAGATGAGCACTGCAAAGGGGGAACGAGCAGATGAGCACTGCAAAGGGGGAACGAGCAGATGAGCACTGCAAAGGGGGAACGAGCAGATGAGCACTGCAAAGGGGGAACGAGCAGATGAGCACTGCAAAGGGGGAACGAGCAGATGAGCACTGCAAAGGGGGAACGAGCAGATGAGCACTGCAAAGGGGGAACGAGCAGATGAGCACTGCAAAGGGGGAACGAGCAGATGAGCACTGCAAAGGGGGAACGAGCAGATGAGCACTGCAAAGGGGGAACGAGCAGATGAGCACTGCAAAGGGGGAACGAGCAGATGAGCACTGCAAAGGGGGAACGAGCAGATGAGCACTGCAAAGGGGGAACGAGCAGATGAGCACTGCAAAGGGGGAACGAGCAGATGAGCACTGCAAAGGGGGAACGAGCAGATGAGCACTGCAAAGGGGGAACGAGCAGATGAGCACTGCAAAGGGGGAACGAGCAGATGAGCACTGCAAAGGGGGAACGAGCAGATGAGCACTGCAAAGGGGGAACGAGCAGATGAGCACTGCAAAGGGGGAACGAGCAGATGAGCACTGCAAAGGGGGAACGAGCAGATGAGCACTGCAAAGGGGGAACGAGCAGATGAGCACTGCAAAGGGGGAACGAGCAGATGAGCACTGCAAAGGGGGAACGAGCAGATGAGCACTGCAAAGGGGGAACGAGCAGATGAGCACTGCAAAGGGGGAACGAGCAGATGAGCACTGCAAAGGGGGAACGAGCAGATGAGCACTGCAAAGGGGGAACGAGCAGATGAGCACTGCAAAGGGGGAACGAGCAGATGAGCACTGCAAAGGGGGAACGAGCAGATGAGCACTGCAAAGGGGGAACGAGCAGATGAGCACTGCAAAGGGGGAACGAGCAGATGAGCACTGCAAAGGGGGAACGAGCAGATGAGCACTGCAAAGGGGGAACGAGCAGATGAGCACTGCAAAGGGGGAACGAGCAGATGAGCACTGCAAAGGGGGAACGAGCAGATGAGCACTGCAAAGGGGGAACGAGCAGATGAGCACTGCAAAGGGGGAACGAGCAGATGAGCACTGCAAAGGGGGAACGAGCAGATGAGCACTGCAAAGGGGGAACGAGCAGATGAGCACTGCAAAGGGGGAACGAGCAGATGAGCACTGCAAAGGGGGAACGAGCAGATGAGCACTGCAAAGGGGGAACGAGCAGATGAGCACTGCAAAGGGGGAACGAGCAGATGAGCACTGCAAAGGGGGAACGAGCAGATGAGCACTGCAAAGGGGGAACGAGCAGATGAGCACTGCAAAGGGGGAACGAGCAGATGAGCACTGCAAAGGGGGAACGAGCAGATGAGCACTGCAAAGGGGGAACGAGCAGATGAGCACTGCAAAGGGGGAACGAGCAGATGAGCACTGCAAAGGGGGAACGAGCAGATGAGCACTGCAAAGGGGGAACGAGCAGATGAGCACTGCAAAGGGGGAACGAGCAGATGAGCACTGCAAAGGGGGAACGAGCAGATGAGCACTGCAAAGGGGGAACGAGCAGATGAGCACTGCAAAGGGGGAACGAGCAGATGAGCACTGCAAAGGGGGAACGAGCAGATGAGCACTGCAAAGGGGGAACGAGCAGATGAGCACTGCAAAGGGGGAACGAGCAGATGAGCACTGCAAAGGGGGAACGAGCAGATGAGCACTGCAAAGGGGGAACGAGCAGATGAGCACTGCAAAGGGGGAACGAGCAGATGAGCACTGCAAAGGGGGAACGAGCAGATGAGCACTGCAAAGGGGGAACGAGCAGATGAGCACTGCAAAGGGGGAACGAGCAGATGAGCACTGCAAAGGGGGAACGAGCAGATGAGCACTGCAAAGGGGGAACGAGCAGATGAGCACTGCAAAGGGGGAACGAGCAGATGAGCACTGCAAAGGGGGAACGAGCAGATGAGCACTGCAAAGGGGGAACGAGCAGATGAGCACTGCAAAGGGGGAACGAGCAGATGAGCACTGCAAAGGGGGAACGAGCAGATGAGCACTGCAAAGGGGGAACGAGCAGATGAGCACTGCAAAGGGGGAACGAGCAGATGAGCACTGCAAAGGGGGAACGAGCAGATGAGCACTGCAAAGGGGGAACGAGCAGATGAGCACTGCAAAGGGGGAACGAGCAGATGAGCACTGCAAAGGGGGAACGAGCAGATGAGCACTGCAAAGGGGGAACGAGCAGATGAGCACTGCAAAGGGGGAACGAGCAGATGAGCACTGCAAAGGGGGAACGAGCAGATGAGCACTGCAAAGGGGGAACGCTGCAGATGAGCACTGCAAAGGGGGAACGAGCAGATGAGCACTGCAAAGGGGGAACGAGCAGATGAGCACTGCAAAGGGGGAACGAGCAGATGAGCACTGCAAAGGGGGAACGAGCAGATGAGCACTGCAAAGGGGGAACGAGCAGATGAGCACTGCAAAGGGGGAACGAGCAGATGAGCACTGCAAAGGGGGAACGAGCAGATGAGCACTGCAAAGGGGGAACGAGCAGATGAGCACTGCAAAGGGGGAACGAGCAGATGAGCACTGCAAAGGGGGAACGAGCAGATGAGCACTGCAAAGGGGGAACGAGCAGATGAGCACTGCAAAGGGGGAACGAGCAGATGAGCACTGCAAAGGGGGAACGAGCAGATGAGCACTGCAAAGGGGGAACGAGCAGATGAGCACTGCAAAGGGGGAACGAGCAGATGAGCACTGCAAAGGGGGAACGAGCAGATGAGCACTGCCAAGGGGAATGCCTGTGCTGTGGTGGCCTGCACTGCAGGGGTGTGCAGGGCGGAAGAGGAGGGAGTGGAAACGAGTGAGCAGATGCACCACTGGATGAGTCCCAATGGAATCATTCTTGAAAACGCCAGCACTGCAAAGGAAAGGCCTGTGCTGGGTTGGCCTGAAGGAGAGAAGAGTGAGAGGGAGAGAGCGGCAGGAGAGTTTGCAAACAGGGAGGCAGCAGGAGAGTTTGTGAGAGGGCTCAGAGCTAGCCTGCAGCCGGATGTGAATGGGATAGTGGTAGACGAGCGAGTCGCTGACTTGGTTTTGAGAATCCTCAAAAACAAACAAGTTGCGAAACCGTTCAAAACACACCTGTAGCAGGTTGTTCACCTCACCTGCAGCAGGTTGTTTACCTCACCTGCAGCAGGTTGTGCACGGGGTATTGGAAAAAGAGCGAGCCGATGAGGAGCCCAAGGATGGAGGACTGGATGATGCGGTTGAGGGAGTGCGACGTGTTGCGCCAGTAGAAGAGCTGGATGCTGTACTGCACCGCCATCAGCTTGCGCCACGGGCTCGGCAACTTCACCGTCACCGGCGGCAGCGCCGGCATCAGGAGCAGCGGCTCGCCTGGCGTGGCTTGTTCGTTGGAGGTGCTTTCTGCTTCTGCTGCTGCTGCTGCTGCTGCCGCTTGTGCTGCCGCTGCTGCGGCTTCTGCGTGCGATTCTGCTGCGTTTGATGCTATCGCTGCTGCTGCTGCAGCGGATGCTGCTCGGCGTCGTATCATACCCTTCGCCTTCAGCCACCCTCCTCCAACCCCTCCTCCATCTCCTCTCCCTCCCCGGTCCCACTCCCAGTCCCAGAAACAGCAGGCAGCAACAGCCGCAGCAGCAGCAGCACCTACGTCAAGCCCGCTCACTGTCCCTGCTAAGGCTGCTGCCCCCTTGGCTGCTATGTCCTTTTCCTGCTCCAGCGCAGCAAGGGACACGCTGAGTCAGATGCCACCACTGCCAGGCTGGCACTCTCGTGATCCATGCCACCCGCTCCTGATTCAACGAATCCCATCCCACTAGCGCCCCCACCACCGGCGGGAGCAGCAGCAGCAGCGGCAGCAGCAGCATCCCTGCCCATCGACTTCGCAGCCTCGAGATTGGCAGCAGCGGCGCGGTCAGCGAAGGCAGCGGCAGCAGCAGCGCCGCCGCGGCGGAGAGCGGAGAGGCGGTGGGCGTTGAGCATGGCGAGGTCTGACACGCGGTACTCCACCGCATAGTCGCACGCGGTGGCGCGCTGGTGGGTGGTGCTGTCGTCCCCCAGGAGGTGCTCGATGAATATGATGGGGTTCGTGTGTGGCGGCACGGGGGGCGTGCCTGGGATGGCCGAGAAATACTCCTGTGAGGGGGAGGGGGAGTGTGGGGGAATAGAGGGGATGGTGCGGGATATTACGGAGCCAAACTAGGGGAAATCACATCACAGTATCCGAAGTTCCGAACTTCACACAACGACCCACCCAGTCTAACGAACCACTAGAACACGAACAGCATCTCATCTCATCGTCACGAGTGCTTTGTGCTTTGCCTTAGAGCTGCCTCAAAAGCTGCTTCGTCTCATTCACTCACCACGAGCACGTTGCCATTCCTCCCAGCGGGCCAAAAGCACACCATGCCCCCGCCCCTGCCAAGCATGTCCCTCACTGCTAGTTTTGAGCTTACCCGAAAGCTGCTTCATCTCATTCACTCACCACGAGCGCGTTTCCGTTCCTCCCTGCGGGCCAAAGTAGACCATGTCGCCTCCGCTGCCCATCATGAGCAGAGAGTGGAAGGCGTTCAGATGGAAGGCCGTAACCGCGTTCGACACCACCACCATCGCTGCCGCTGCCACGTGCTGTTGGAGGAAGGGAGACAAGAGCATGGGACGGGGGGGAACAAGTGGACATGGTGTGATGAATTGACACAATTGAACAGCATCAGATCTCTTTCCATAGGTTGTGCACATTCACTCATGCATCTCATCTCACCTTGAGCATGCATCTCATCTCACCTTGAGCATGCATCTCATCTCACCTTGAGCATGCATCTCATCTCACCTTGAGCATGCATCTCATCACCTTGAGCATGCATCTCATCACCTTGAGCATGCATCTCATCTCACCTTGAGCATGCATCTCATCTCACCTTGAGCATGCATCTCATCTCACCTTGAGCATGCATCTCATCTCACCTTGAGCATGCCGGAGAACTTGGCCACTTCAGTGGTGTCCATGCGCAGGAACGGCATGTCAAAGAACACGACGCTCGGGTTCCCAGCCATCTCCATGGCAACAACAATCCTCTTCTCCACATAAGCCGACCCCACGCCGTCCGCCAGAATATCCTGCACCAGACTGTCCGCAATGCCGCCCTTGAACTCCATAAGGGACAAAATCTGCGCCACGAATGCGCGGCGTTGCTCGTCTTGTACTTGGTCGGGCAGCGTGAGGGTGGTGCGGTACAGCAGGCTCTCCCGCAGGGTGAGCAGAGGGGTAGTAGAGGTCGGCCCCTTGGATGTATGCTGTGGTGCGCAGGAACGATGGCAGGTCCCTCGGCTTGCCGTTCACCAGCAGTCGGCCATTCACCTGGCCGGGTATCTTGCGACCTGTGGCGCGGGAGGGAGGGGAAGAGAGCTAAAAGCGAGGCGGCACAGCAGACGGTGTCCAGTGACAGAACGGAGTAAAGTGGAAGGAATGGAGCCAAGAAGAGGAGCAAGCAAACGGAGTCGATTCAACACCATGCTGTTAAAAAATTATCAAAGGCCTTTCAAAAACACATGAGCAGCCCTGTCTGCACATCTGAAAAGCGGATGAGCCAAGTCTAATTCTGTCAGATTCTGTCCCTCTCAACCACCGTCAAATAAAACAAGCCTGCCCACCTGAATCACTTCGTCAAATAAAACAAGCCTGCCCACCTGAATCACTTCGTCAAATAAAACAAGCCTGCCCACCTGAATCACTTCGTCAAATAAAACAAGCCTGCCCACCTGAATCATTTCGTCAAATAAAACAAGCCTGCCCACCTGATTCACTTCCTCAAAAAAAACAAGCCTGCCCACCTGCGAGGCAGTTGAGCAGAGTGGTCTTGCCGGTGCCCCTGCCGCCCGCCACAGCTGTCACCTCCCCCGGTTTCACCCACCCAGTCACCCCCCGCACCAGGCACCGGCTGGCCTCACTCCTCCTCCTCGCCTCCCCACCAGCGCCCACCGACGACTTCCCCCAGGCGCTCTCTGGTGGTCCTGGCAGCGGCACAGAGCAGGAGAGGTTTTCAAAGGTGATAATGTAGGGGGTGAAGGGGATGTTGCAGTCCATGATCGCTGCCTCTGCTGCCCCTGCTGCCTCTGCCGCTGCTGCCGCCGCCGCCGCCGCCGCTGCTGCTGCTGCTGCTGCTTCTGGCGTTGAGCTGCCATAACCGCCCCTCGAAACAGCAGGACCCGGACCCCACTCCACGTCTCTGTAGTTCGCGTGGCTTCCCGTCCCTCCCTTCTCCTCTGCTCTTGCACACTCCTTCTGGGAACCACCCTCTCCTCCGCCCGCTGCTGCTCCCTCCTTCCCACTGCCCCTCCCATGCCATGACCCCTCGATGACAGCCGTAACTGCCCCCAGAGCCCTCGCTGCTGCTCCCCCAGTTGCTCCTCCTCCCCCACTCCCCTCCCTCTTCCCCTCCTCCCTCGCGCCAGCCCGCTTGGCCCCGCGCTTGGCCTCTGAGAGCACCCGCACAGGCGCAGCGAATCTGCTGTAGTGCTGCGGCCGCATGCTCAGAAACGTCCCCACCGTCCAGATGGCGATCCACGCGAGGATGACAAACGGCCCCGCGATCAAATACCCCCACTCGTAGTTCCAGCTGTACACTTCCATGTAGGCCCGGCCGATAGGCCACCCTTCGCGCCCCACACAGTACGGCATGCTTTTCGGGACGAGCGCAGGAGCCGGGCAGAACTGCACGGGGACGTATTGCCGTTGCTCGTTGATTGCAAGGACGGTCGACGCCCACTGCATGGGGTTGATCCAGTATAGCCAGATCCAGAAATTCGGTATAAGCGCCTTCGCTACAAGGATGTGGCCAAAGAGGAACATGCCTGGGCCCATGAAGATGGCTGCGGCGAAGGCGGCGGAGCGGAGGGTGCGGGAGGTGAAGGCGATGAAGCGGATCATGGCTGCGCCGTGGATGGCCACGAGGGAGAGCACCAAGAGGCGCAAAATGAAGAAGTGCGCTCCGTAGTCGGAGAGAGTCAGGCCCGAGAGGAAATACACCAGCACTGACCAGATGGTCGCCTGTGGGGGGGAGAGGGGGAAAAGGGGGGGAAGGGGGCCCGGGGTGGGGGGAAGGGGGAATTGGATTGGGGTTGGAGGGGAGGAGGGAGGAGGGGAAGATGAAGTGTGCTCTGTAGTCGGAGAGAGTCAGGGCCGAGAGATACACCAGCACTGACCAGATGGTCGCCTGTGGGGGGGGGAAGAAGGGGGGAGGGGGGTTCAGAGGAGGGGGAGAGGAGGGGGAGTTGAGCTGATATTATGCATCCACAAGAAGTGCACACCGTAGTCGTTGAGCGAAAGGCCCGACAGGAAATACACCAGCACTGACCAGCTAGATGGTCGCCTGCAGAGGGAGGGAGGAGAGGGGGAGAGTGGAAGGGGGAGGGACCAGACCAGGGGTGTGGGTAAAGTCAAATTCTTTCCGCATTCACATCACATCACATCGCACCACACCACACCACACCACACCACATGACATGACATGACATGACATGACATGACATGACATGACATCACATCACATCACATCACATCACACATACTTGTGCAAGAACCTGCCCCATCAACCCTCCTCGACAATGAACAGAGGCAGGTTGGCGATGAGCTGCGATAGTGTGTAGGAGTGGCAATGGACTTGAGCTGCAATAGTGCGGAGGGGCGTGTGCGGAACAAGAGCATATTGCTGTTTGCTCAGTTGCACCACCCACCCACCCACCCGCCCGCCCGACCGCCCGGCTGCCCACCCACCCTTCCACCCACTCACGCACCTCGACAATGGAGAGGGGCAGGCTGGCAATGAGCTGGGCGAGAGCGTAGGAACGCGTGCGGAAGAAGCAAGCGCTGCGGTGCTCGGCACCTCCATCTCAAGATCCACTCCACCCCTCACATTCTGAGCCTCCTCAAAATGAGCCCCACGCACCTCGACAATGGAGAGAGGTAAACTGGCGATGAGCTGGGCGAGAGCGTAGGAGCGCGTGCGGAAGAAGCGTGCGCTGCGGTGCTTGAAGTACACCTGGCGCTCCAGCATGTAGCCCGGCAGCAAGCTGACGTTGTTCACCGTCATGGTGATGAGTGATATCTGCATCACGCCCCTCCGCAGGTTCAGATGCGCGAAGGAGGGCGGCTCTGCTGGCAGCTGGAAAAAGTCGAAGCCAACAAAGAGGCCCAGCAGTGTGACCTGGGAAGAGAGGGGTTGAGGAGGGAGGGAGAGTGAGAGGACGACAGGGAGGGGAGGGAGGGAGGGAGGGAGGGAGGGAGGGAGGGAGGGAGGGAGGGAGGGAGAAGGGAGAGTAAGAGGGTGGATTAGCAGGGAGTTTTTCTTATGGAGGGCAGCAGGCAGGGTGACGTTGTTGACGGTCATGGTGATGAGCCATGTCTGCACCACCCCTGGCCGCAGGTTCACGTGCGTGAAGGACGGCGGGTTGGCTGGGAGCTGGAAGAAATCGAAGCCCCAAAGAAACCCAAGAGGGTGACCTGGGGAGGCAGGGAGGGGGGAAGGGAAGTAAGTCCATGTGATGTGACGACTTGGTTCAAGCGAGCACTTGGTCCAAGCGAGCACTTGGTCCAAGCAAGCACTTGGTCCAAGATAACGTGCAGCGGGGGAGGGGGGGAGGAGGGGGAGGAGGGGGGAGGAGGGGGAGGAGGGGGAGGAGGGAGAGGAGGGAGGAGGGGGAGGAGGGGGAGGGGAGGTTAGCAAAAGACTGTTGAGGGCACCTCAAAATCTGGAAGAAATCGAAGCCCACCAGCACCAACCCCGTCCTCTCACCAGCAGCAGGCGAGCAGCAATGAAGCTCTGGTTCCTCAATTTCAATTCAACTCTATCCATATCGACTAAAAAATTTGCGTCAAAAACTGTGTCGACCCAAAAGTCTCACCAGCAGCAGTCGAGCAGCAATGAAGCTCTGGTTCCTCAATTTCAATTCAATTCTATCCATATCGACTAAAAAAATTGCGTTAAAAACTGTGTCGACCCAAAAGTCTCACCAGCAGCAGGCGAGCAGCAATGAAGCTCCAGTTGCGCAGATTGACTTGCAACTGGCGCCGCAGCAGCAGCTTGAACTCGGGCCACATGTCTAGAATCAACTCCTTCCGCAGCAGCTCCTTGTTCTCGCCCCCCCACAGCCCCGCCATCACCGCAGCGCGCGACGCCGCCGCTGCAGCCGACAGGTTCATGGCTTTAAGTGCCTGTGCAGCGCCCTTCCCCTGCAGCTGGATGAACGCGCCGCTCCTGCTCGTGCTGCCCTGGAGCCCTTTCAGTGCCGCGAAGCTGATGCTCTTAAACGCTGCCGTGATGGCGCGCGGGATGGCCTTTGGGAGGGAGTGGATGCCCTTCGGCCTGCTCCGCTTCCTGCTCCCTGCTCTTGCTGCTGCTCCCTCATCTCCCTCCTCATCCACACCTGCCCCGCCCTGACCTGCCTCGTCGGGACCTGCCGCGCCCGGTTCGGCACTGTCGAGCCTGGCACTGTGGCCAACCAGAGCATGCGTGTCATCGGCGTCAACATGGCTCTCATGGTCATGGATGTCAACACGGGTATCGTTCACATTCAGAGGGGCCGTCGCCACGCCTGCGCCACCAGCACCAGCAGCAGCAGCAGCAGCACTTGCACCAGCACAGCCCGCCTGTGCCTCCATGTTGCTGGGTGCCTGGTTGGTGCTGCTGCCCGCCTATCAGCTGCTCCGCTTCTTCCCCCTTGGCGTCACTGCTGCTGCCGCCTTGGGTTACTGCTTCCTGGCTGGGCTCTTCTTGTGTCGCTGTGGTGTTCTGGACCAGGGGCGGGGGAGAAGGAAAGAGAGGGGGACTCTCAAAACCCTAAACCTTAAACTTTAAACCTTAGAATACGTTAAACCCTACAAGACAGAGAGTACAAGTGGAAGGGCAGGCAATGATGACCCTTGCCAAAACTAAACCCCATGCAACAGCTCCCACACCCCCAGCGTGCCCTCACCGGCTGTGTGACTATAAGGAGCGGTCGCTGCAGCTCCAGATGCAGCCACGTGGAGCTGTCCCGCACTTCCTCCAGCATCTCCATAATCTCCTCTACAGGCACATCCCCCCCCGCATACTTTGCATACTCCATCTCACCTCGATCGCCCACCGTCACCGCCACCACCACATCCCCCACACACACCGGCCCTGTCGCCTCCACCCCCTCCTCCAACAGCCCTCCCTCTCCCCTTCTCCCTCTCCCTCTCCCTCTCCCTCCCCACCTCCGTTTCCATCACCTTGGCCTGACGCCGCTCCTCCTCCCCCCCCTTCCTCATCGAACACCACACGCGACTCTGTCACCACTACTGCTTGGTAAGATGACACTCCCCATCCTTTTGCTTCCCCCGCCGCGTTCTCTGCTGCTCCGCTGCTTGCTGCCGCAGAGCCCTGCTGCTGCTCTCCGTTCCTCTCGCCGTTTGACGCTGACGTGGCGGCGTCTGGAGCGCTGGCGTCTGTTGACGGGGCGTCAGGTGCCACGTCAGCGATCGCGCAGCGGATTCGGGAAAGGACGTGGCATGCCGGCCCGGAGATCCAGAGGAGGAGGAGAGGCGTGGGGTGGCTTGTGACACGGAGGATGTTCTTGTAATGAGGGGACTTCTTGTACGCGCGCACTGTAGGCCGGCAGGCAGGACGGATGGGTGCATGGAAGAAAAAAAACAGTGGTTTCTAAGAAATGTGGTGCGGAACACATGGGGATGTAGGAACAAAATGCAGCATGTATTGCATTCAGTATGCCATAGCCACGTCTTGCATTGCATCATAACACGTCCAAAATCAGGCTAGCTGATCCCAAAAAAAAAAAACTTCATAAACAAATGTGAAAATACCATTAGGTACCCAGCAGCACCGCACGCGCACTCACCGAACCCCTCGAGCAGCAGCTTCCTCTTGCCCGACCTGAGGGCTCCCCCGCCCTCCGTGGTGACATGCTGCAGATACTCGGGCACTGACATGTGCAGTGGCTTCAGATAGCTGGGAGGGGGGGGAGGCGGAAGGGGGTGCGGGGAATGGGTGGGGGTGAGGAAGGAGCGGAAAGGAGAGAGGGGGAAGAATGGGGAAAAGGGTGGTGACGTGCTGCAGGTGCTCCGGCACAGACATGTGCAGTGGCTTCAGATAGCTGGGGGGGGGGGGTGGGGGAAGGAGAGGGAAGTGGGAGGGGGGGAGAGGGTGGGGGGAGGTGGGCGGGGGAGATGGTGTGGCAATGGGGGGAAAGGGAGAGGGGGAATGAGATGGGTAGGCAGTAGGGGCAGTGACGTGTTGCAGATACTCCGGTACTGACATGTGCAGCGGCTTCAGATAACAGTGGGAGGGGAGGGGGGGGGAGAGGGGAGTGGGGAGGAGCGGGGGAATGGGGAAACGGCAAGAAAGTAAGGACATTGGCACACACAAACACGCGCGCACGAGCGCACACACACACACACACCTGTGCTGCTGGAAGTGCCGGAGAGCGGTGTGGCAGGGCCCCTGAAAGATGATGCTTTGGTTGAGTGCAGCACCATGAGAAACAGCACGGCGCGCGCGCGCACGCACACACACACACACACACACACACACACACACACACACACACACACGCATGCACGCACGCACGCACGCACGCACGCACGCACACGCACGCACGCACACGCACGCACGCACATGCACACGCCTCTCTCGCTCACCCCAGCTTCTGGAAGTGTCTGAGCGCAGTGTGGCAGGGCCAATGGTAGACGATGTTGCCCTGGTTGAGCACAGCAGCATGAGAAGCAACACAGACAAGCAGCACAGCACACAGCACACACACACACATACAAGCACACATAAAAGCGCACATACAAGCACAGATGCGTGTATTGGTCACTCACCCGAGCTGCTGGAAGTGGCGGAGAGCGGTGTGGCAGGGCCCCTGGTAGACAATGTTGCCCTGGTTGAGCACGATGACGCGGTCGAAGAGGGAGAAGACGGCCTGTGTGGGCGACTGCAGCGAGCACAGCACCGCGTGCTGCCGCACCTGTGTGTGTGGGGGGGGAGGGAGGGGGTGTGGGTGTGGGAGGGGGTGTGGAAAGGGGTGTTTGTGGGTGAGTGGGGATTGTGGGGGGTGGAAGAGAGATGGCACTGTGGCAGGGAAGAGGGGCGTGTGGAGGTTTTGCAGAGGAGCCTTTGAGTCGATTCAAAGGGAGGGTGTGCGGTGGATGGGTGCGAACCACGCAGAGAGAGGAGGGATGAAAAAGGTAATAGACGGGGTCTCCTGGCCAAAAAAAAAAAAAAAAAAAAAAAAAAAAAAATAATAATAATAATAATAATAATAATAATAATAATAATAATAATAATAATAATAATAATAATAATAATAATAATAATAATAATAATAATAATAATAATAATAATAATAATAATAATAATAATCCCGCACTGTTAACAGAGTTACAGAAGAAAACAAGAACAAAATCCGATGAAGATGGCGGAATGAGCAGACTGAGGTCGTTCTTTAGGCGCCTCAAAAACGACCTCAAAGAGTAGACTGAGGGTGAGCAATACGGTGGCAAGAGAGAGTGATGTGCTTGCACGAGGGAAGGGGAGGGGGGGAAGGGGGGGCAATGGGAGAGGCAAACGAGCATAAAGACGTGTGCACGCACACACAAGCCGCAGCTGACCTGGGCGTGGGTGCGCAGCATTGTGAGCGTCTTGTGTGTGGAGGGCCCATCGTACACCTGACTGATTCGATCAAACAGCAGCACCTGGGGGGAAGTGGGGACGGGAGCAGAGTGGGAGAGAAGCACCACACAAGAAAAGGGTATGACATGTGGTGAGAGGATCGTGGCGTGATCACAAGACCGTGAGAGGATTTTCGAGGCCTCTCAACAATCCTCACATGTGGGATGAGAGGTTCTGAGCACCTGCAGCATGAGGGTGTGAGGCATGAGCATGTGAGGCATGAGCCTCAGCACTCACCGGATAAGCCCCAACCATGAGCTCAGCAGCAGTCAACCGGTGCACCTCGTCCCGAGTCAGCGCCCCGGACCCAACCCTCTCCCCGGCGCGCCTGCGCAGCCCAAACATGGCCTCTCGGGACATCACGAGGGGGTCTTCCCCCCTCTCTATGCTCGCCCTGAGCGCCTTGCTCAGCATCGGGTGCTGCAGCAGCTGCTTGGAGGAGAGCGGGTACGAGCAGTGGCGGGCGAATTCGAGGGTTTCGTGCACGGAGAGGGCGGGCAGGTGGCAGTCAGCCTCAAAGCCCACCCCCACGAGGCGGTGCGCGCGGGACGGCGTGATGGGGACCGCGTTGAAGGCCACCATGCCCGTGGTGGCGGGCAGGCGGCCGGCTAGCAGCTTGATGAGCATTGACTTGCCGCTGCCTGTGGGATTACGGGGAAGAGAAGGGGGAGAGGAGCGGTGCGGGTGGGTGATGAAAAGGGGGAGATGTAGGGGGGGGGGGGGAGGGATGGATGAATAGAGCAGGGAGAGCATAGTGGGGAGGGAGGGTGTTGAAGGGGACGGGGGAGTCGGGGGAGATGTGCCTGGCTGGCTAGGAGGCAGATTAGGGTTGGACGAGCGAGGGAATGCGGGGCATGCACTATCCGTCCACCAGCTGGGCAGCAGTCTCAAGACGGGCCCAGCTGAGGCCCACCTAAGGCCCACCTGAGGCCCACCTGAGGCCCATCTGAGGCCCACCTGAGGCCCACCTGAGGCCTGCCTGAGGCAAACCCAGGTGGATGAGAGTCCCACAACAAGAGAGACTCACCTGAGGTTCCCAGGAGGAGTGTGAGGGTCCCTGGCATGAGGAAGCTGCAAGGAAAGTGCAAAAGGTGATGGAGCAAGACAGAGGTTGGCAATGGAATAGAAAGAGAGAGCAGAAGGCAGTGAGTGAGGGGGTGGGAGAAGCAAGGGGTGGGAGAAGCAAGGGGTGGGAGAAGCAAGGGGTGGGAGAAGCAAGGGGTGGGAGAAGCAAGTCGCGCAACAGGTGCATGACACGTGGAATACACATGCTGTGCACGTGGGATACACATGCTGTGCACGTGGGATACGCATGGAGGCGAGAAACAGCGTGCAGGACAGGACAGGTACGCAGCACACACTTAATCTACACGTACAGCAGAGAGCAGGAGGCGCTCCCTGCGATGCGACACACGGACGTGAGATACAGTGTGCAGGTGAGGACAGGAGCGGTGGGTGGGAAGGGAAGAGGAGGGCAGGGAATGAGACGCACCCTGAGACATCATCGAGCACGTGAATGGTCTCCTTCCTCTGAAAGCCTGCGATGGCCTTGAGCTTGAAATACGGCTGCTTTGATGAGAGGGAGAGGGACAGAGGGGGACAGAGAGGGCCAGAGAGGGAGAGAGGGAGAGAGTGGGAGAGAGAGGGAGAGAGAGGGAGAGAGAGGGAGAGAGAGGGAGAGAGAGGGAGAGAGAGGGAGAGAGAGGGAGAGAGAGCGACAGAGAAGGGGGGGGAGAGACAGAGAGGGAGAGAGAGGGGCAGTGAGGGACAGAGAGTAACAGAGGGGAAAAGAGATGGGGCGATGAGAAAGAGCAAATGAGGTAGCTTGTGTTGCAAGGCTCCTCACGCTTTTCCCTTCCACATCCGCTGGTTCCACACCGCAAGAACTGTAATGGCCTTGCGACATGGTGCAGCCTCGTCGTACAGCCAGTGACCTCCCTGCGTCCCCCCATGCATGCCACCATTGCCACCATTCTCATTCTCACCGCATCCCCCTAGCCCCAGTGAAGCATGGCTCACCACCCCCACCCTCGCCTCACTCTCACACCTCCACCCATCTGAGGATTCTCAAACGTCTCACCCCCCACCCTTGTGAGGATTCTCAAACGTCTCACCGCGTTGAAGCAGTTTTTGATCTGATCCGGAATGACCACCACCTTCTTTGTCACTGACACGTGGCTGAATGTCACCACCTGATTGGATGGGTTGCACACGTGGATGCATGGATTGCTGAGGTAAGGGCGACCATGCACGTCTGCACGCACACACTCGCATGCGCATGCGTGCACGCACGCACGCACGCACGCACACACACACACACACACACACACACACACACACATACATACACACACACACACACACACACACATACACAAGCGCACGCACGCACCCACACCCACACACACAAGCACACGCACACACCCACGCACACACAAACGCACGAACGCACGCACGTGCGCGCGCGCGCGCGCACACACACACACACACACACACACCTGTTCCCCCTAGTTCTCACCTGCGGCTGCGCGCACAGCAGCTGCGGCTGCATGGCAATCAGGTACTTCTGCAACCCCTCCCTCACCATCACCTCCCTCCTCGCCCCCTCCCCATCCTCCTCCCCCTCGTTCTCCATCCCCCCCAGCCCCCAACCACCTCCTACTCCTCTTCTCCCTCTCCCTTCCTCCTCCTCTCCATCCTCCCCCTCCCCCTCCGCATCCTCCGCCTCCGCAGCGCCCCACCCGCGCGGACCCATGCTCTTGATGCTCACGAGGCGCGCGGCGGCGGACGCGGCGATCTCCTGCGCCTCGTCCGCCAGCCCGTGCGCGGTGAGCGCGTCGTGGTACCGTCGGATCAGGTTGATCAACGGCGCCTCGCCGATCCCCAACAGCTCGTTGTAGAACGTCGACGACGACGGGCCGCCGGGGCCCTTGGGCTCTTCCACGCCGGAATCACCGGGGAACGCGGACGCGGAGGAAGCGGAGGAAGCGGCGGAAATGAAGGCGCCAGTGGCGGCGGAGTGCCACGTTTCAGGACCGAGACCGACCCCGCTTTGTCCCTCCCCGAACTGTGCATTTGTTGCACTGTCACCTGCCATATCCTCGCTATTAACTTCCTCCATTGCGCCGTCAACGCCGAGTTGCCACGTGCCAGCAGCGAAGCTCACTCGCCCGAGCTTTGCCCGCCTGATTTTCTGCCCGCTGTCCGCTTCATTTCCCCCTTCTTTGGCTCCCCCGGACGCGGTCCCCCCGTGGCCATCCCCGCTGCGCGCTTCTTGCCCGTCAGTTTCTCCCGTTCCCGCCCCCCATTTATCCGCGCCGCCTCCCCCGGCGGTATCAGCTTCCCCGCGCGATGGCTCCTTCCTCTCCGCTTCTTCCGCCTCCGACTTTGCGCCTTCGTTGATCGACCCAACTTGGTACAGCATCGGCGCGCCACCAGACGCGCTACTACTCGGTATCGCGCTGCTCTCTAACGAGTCCCTTTCTGGAATATTCGCAGCACTCCTGTTGCTAGCGGTAGGGTTGTTCGGCGAGGGGGCTACTACTAGGGACGGGTGATTCATGAACGATCGCGAGCCAGTGAAGGATTGCTGCTGACGCGACGACTGCTGACGTGTCGACTGCTGACGCGTCGACTGCTGACCCATCGACTGCTGGCGCATCATCGACTGCTGACGCATCGTCAACCGACGCCGGAGCACGGCATAATCGTTGGGCACAGCGGCGCTGCGACGGAAATCGCCGAAGGAGGAAGCCGGAGTGACGCCATCGTACCAATCGTCCAGCGTATCGGGTACAGCTGACGTGGCATCAGGATCCAAGATGGATGGGGCCATGAGGACGATTATGAACAGACGGTGTAGATTCAAACGAGCTGGTTATCACTAGAGATACGACTTGGAATAAATAAGCGTTAAACTCGACTACCGCCGCGCCTACCGCCGCGACTACCGCCGCGACTACCGCAATATTACGTTCTGTCGCATAGTCGCATTATCCGCCTAAGGTTGATGACTCCGACTCGTTTCCTGTGATAACAGTACCCATGATGTTCCTCGCCCTCTGTTCGCGTGGTGCACATTCGCCGTGACGAGAAGGACCGACTTTCGCCTGATGTCGCACGAAAACAATTCCGCGAATCACAATGAGAGGTGTGCAATGAGAGGCGTGCAATGAGAGGCTCTAGGTTTGCCAACCGATAGTTTGGGTTCGCCAAAAAGCGAGCGGCTCAAATTACCTCACGACTACTGTATCTTTCTCTGCTGTAGCAACTGTTGTGAGCCAAGCAGCTTATCATGTGGACCGTACTCGCAGTTGGGACGAAGCTGCGTTATCATCTCATGGATCACATCCATCATGACATTCATCACCCCGTCCTTTACTTCGCATCACCTTATCGAGCATCACCATTCACTATCCACCATTCACTATCCACCTTCTTACCCTTACTCCGCTGCGTCGCCTGCGCCGCCATGAACGCTTCATTTGTTGTGCTTCTCGTCGTTGTGTGCTTTCCGGCTTGGGGAGCTTCCGAAGCGGCACCTCTTAGGGATTTTGCGTGATCGGTCGCAGGGTCTCTGATTCCACCGTACTGAAAACCTTTTTAAAGCATTTACAACTTCCGACACCATTTTGAACTCCTAAACAATTTGACCCGGCGCAGGTTCGATCGCAGGTTCGGTGCTAGAGGTGCCGCGTCCTTACAGCGCTGGGATGGTTCGGCATGTTTTACGTTGGATGGTATGGTATGGTTTGGGATAGCGGGAAATTGTTGCTGAACTGGAATGGTTTGGAATGGGCTGGTTTGGTCTGGGCTCTTACGTCTTTTGGTTGGGTTCGTTGTGGGTTTGGGATGTCAAATTTTGAGCGCCGCACGCCTCGGTCGTAGTGGGTTTCCACTGCTGGCTGAAAATTTTGGTGACCCATTTTGGAAGTACAGTTCGGGTTTTCTGGCCTTCTGCTATTCGCGTTTGTGTGAGGGAATAGCAAACTGAGGAATTGGAATTTATGTTAGCTTACCTAGTGGACTGTACGTGATAAACATGAAAGAAAAGTATAAAGTCGTTCACCCCTTGCCTAGGTCTCATCATGCTAAAACGCCAGCCTCTTCTTTGTTCCAACAAAATCAAAGGAAGGTTGTATCTTTTTAATCACTTGGTTCTTGTCATGACCTTACTCAGTCTGTTGTTTGTGCTGCTCCTCAGTACTGGTACCGTAAGATGTGCTCTGATGAGAAAGAGTGCATCCATTCGTTGAAAATTGCTGCAGTGTTTGGTTCTGATGCACCCATTCATACAACATGGTGATTTGTGTGACATGTTCGGCATTTCTTCACCAGGATGCATGCTATGCTACTCAAAGCATCTGCTTGCAAGTCTTGCTTGGAGCCACACTTCTACTGACGTGCCAATCAAATCACCCAAAATCAATAGATAGACATGCAGCTGGAAATAGTGAAAGTACTGACTCTTTTTGAAGTGACATGCCTTATTACCAGAACTAGTACGGTATACTATACACAGAGCGGCATGGTTCCAGATTGCACAAGGATCCCCGATGGGCTTGGGGCAACAGCAGCAGTGGCACTTTCAGGAACACAGCCAGCAGATAGTCTTAGAGGCGGGGTACCTGAAACCCTTCTTGGAAGCTCCTGATGTTTGAACTGTTGAGAAGGCGAAGCTGACGTGGACAGCTCAAAGGGGTCAATGGGTACGATGGGAAGGAGGTCGCAGTTGCAGATCTCGATCATGTAGTTGTCAGGGTCGAAAAAGAAGATCTGATCGACCACTATCCCGTCCTCCTCCACCTGCTGCTTCACGAACGAGATCGCCAAGGCGTTCAGCTTCCTCTCAACTTCGGAAAGATTGTCCGACTGCAAAAGAGAAAAAGTGCGTTAACAGTAGAACTAAGGTCCTTGGTGAAATCGAGGAACATAAGGCCAGGATTTGCCTGTCAAGCGCTCTGAAGAAACGAGCCTATAACTTGCCTGAAACGCGATGTGATTATCTCGAGGGGTAAGGGTTCGTGGCATCGGAGGGCAGCCGCTCTCGCCTAGAAGGTGGAGTCCGATTCCATAATTAAATAACCTGCCAGGGACGGCTGACAATGAGCAACTTTGCCAGGAAACGAACGTGTATTTAGCGTAGCGGTCTAACCTCAATCCTTACCATGCACCGTCGAAGCTAAGAGACTTTTCGGGACGCTTTACAGGCTGAAAGCCTAAGACGCGTGAATAAAACTCGAGAGATGTCTGCACTGAGGTGCACTTGATTGAAACGTGGTTGATGCAGCGTATCGGCAGCGGGCCTGAACCAGATTGCCTGCTTGTCTCCATCAAACTGCGCTGGGAAATGCCCTCTTAACAAACGTTTCAAGCCTGCTAGAGACTTCGATTCTCGACAAGTGTGCTAATCTGCCGCATTTATCCCGAACCCGTCCAGGCGACGGACCGCACATCTTTCTAGATGCCGCTGAAATTAGGTCACCATCAGCAGGTCGACACGCTCTCCGCCAGCGTTTGGTCATTTCCCAACTTCCCTTGCGGCTCGCGACTACTCCTCGATCATCCCGTGGCTGTATGGTTCTACTGGTTCTCGCTGGTGACATGAAAATGATGCCGCTCGGCTGACAAAGCCAGGAAAACACGGCGGGAAAACAAGACACTCGATAAATGCAGCCTCACAACTGGTTTGAAAATCTCTGGAACAACAAACGAGTTATCAAGATTTTCGTTAGAAGGATGTTTGGAAGGGATATGTCGAGACTGCTCCACGCACGCAAGTGATCATCTGACGTGGCGTCTCACCAAGTCAGCACTGCAAATCGATATTGGCTTGTCATCATATTTCGCCCAAGCTTGCAAGGTTTATCGTCACAATGGTAACGGGCATCGGTTATGTACGTTTTCTGTCGCCTGCTGTATTGTCATTGGATTTCCGCACTGTCTGGCTTTGCTGGACTGTCCAGCAAAGACGAGGCGAAGATGATGCTGATCTGGCTTTGGGGAAATTCGGGGTAGAAAACGCATTACACACCGGAAATGTTGGTGGAACAACGGTAGGGTGTGAATGTCGTAAACGGTAGTGTTTCAGGCAACTTCCACGGAAGCACAATCTGGTAGTTTTGAGCCACTCTGAAATTGCTTCATCATGTAGCGAGTGGGGAACTCGACGGGCTGCCCGGATACCAATGTCGTGCACTGCAATCTGGGAAAGGGTTGCTCAGGGCAGGGTGCTTTTGATTCGAATTTCAGAGAACTGGTCGAGCTAAAGCTGGTTACTGGCTTCGTGAATGTCGCAATGAACTTCGCATGGAACCAGGTCTGCGTTCTAATTTTGACCTGGTAAGTCAAGTAAACACACAGTCAGTCGAACACACGTTCGAACTTGGATTCGAAGCGTGGTTTCGAACGTGGTCATTTCTGCTCGAACTCAGTGGCTTCACGAAATTGGCGAATCCTGACGACATCAACAATGAATATTTCGACGACCACGCAGAGCCACGTAGACTACATCGGGTAACCTAAATTTGTCATTACGACTCGGAGAGGGTCGAATCTCGTTTTCCGACCCTCGATGGTCACCTTTCGATTTACCAGAAATCGGCACCGCGGCTCGAATTTCACAAAATCAACTTTTCAACTTTTCGATCTCTTTTTCCTCACTTTTCAAAGTTCGAACTTTCAGTCAGGTTCGGCAAAATCACACACGCCCTTAGGGACTTGTGCCAAAAGCACCGCGCCCTCATGTTCATGCCATGAGCTGCATGTCAGAATTTCAGCCCTGTTCTTATGAAAATGGGCAATGAGATACAACTGCACATCTGTTCTTGCAATGCTAGTGCAAACGTTTGTCGTTCTTTGTGACTAGAGTACCAGCTCCATTGGTTTCCGACTAAGGAAATATTTTCCGTTTAGTCCATCCGCAATATTTTCCCGTTTAATGACGAAGACAGGTTCACGATTCGTGGGATTAACGCACTCCCACGATTCCAGTGTTGGAAAAATGGCAAACAAAGGTGTCCCCATCGAGCTCTTTGCATGCTGCTAGTGATTTCGTTTCATTGTGCCCCATGTCCGACCGCAACATTCCGTTTTCGCGCTAATCTCTCTCCACTCCACCTCCGCTCTCACAAAAACGCCACTACAAACTCCTATCATGTTCACTTCCTTTCCTTGTACCGTCCTTTCCCGCATGTTCAGAGGTCCGTCGCATGCCGCCGTCGGCGGAGCGTCGGCGCGTTATGGGGCGACACGAGGGACACGATCACCGTAAGGCGCGCCACGCGCACGACACGCTCTGGAAGCAGCCCGGCGCGCGCGGGAGCTACACCACCGCGACCCTGGTGGTGGCGGGAATCGTGGCCGTGCTGCTCGCCGCTTCGTTTTTCGGCGCGCGACATTTGATGATGCAGGAATGAGCGGCGGAGAGGAGAGAGGACAAGAGCTGCCGCTTTTCATTCAACATGATACGCAAGGGAAGATGGGATGGGGGGGGGGGGGGGGGGGGGGGGGGGAGCTTTCTGCCTGGAGGTGGTTTGTCCCCATGTGCCGTGGCTTGAGTACCTGCATGGAGTCATAATGGACCCTGCAAGGGGGTTGCAGGACCCATGCCCCAGATTCTCCTAGACCTGTACCCGTAGGTGTATTGTAAATATATATATGCATTGAGTTGAGAGATCGAGCTCCTGTTGGATTTGGACTGTGACCTTACAATGTTAAATAATGCTAATCTGGATTGATTCATAACCTTCCCCAATAGTTTGTGAATTGATACTGGTACCTGACAAGCTCCTGTGGTGTAGCTTTTCTTCTTGAATGGTATCATTTGTATATTGTACTTTACATACCGTACTGTACCAGCCACCTAAAGCACAACTGCAGAGTGTCAGTATAATCTACTCCTTTTTTGCCTTCTTCACTTTCCGTACTTCCCCTTGTGTGGGCTTCGGATGCACTGCTTTTGTTGTCTTGGCCCCTCCACCTGCAGCAGCACCACCAACACCACCACCACCAGCTCCGGCACCAGCACCTGCACTGGCACCAGCACCGGCACCTCCACCTCCACCCCCACTTTTCCCTGTAGCACCAGCCTTAGCACCTGACCCAGCTCTCGCCTTCGCTGTCCCCGCCTTCCTTGCTGTAGATGCCTTGCTTGCCCCCCCCTTTCTTGCCAGCCCCTGTAGTCGTCCCAGCACCAGTTGCAGGGGCAGCAGCAGAAGCAGCAGCACCACCAGCAGCAGCACCAGCAGCAGCAGTAGGTACCCAGCCCTCCGGTCTTGTCCTCTGCCGTTGCTGCTTCACCTATTGCTGCGGGCTGTGGCAGCGCCGGCAAGGCAATATCTGGGGGGGGGGGTGGAGCTGGTGTGAGCTTCCTGACAACGGACATGATGACATGGTCCAGTCGTGCCATCTCCCTCACGTCTGCTGCGGTCGGCTTGGCCTCTGATGCTGCTGGCGTGTTGGTGGCATCAACTGACGCCCCTTCTGACTCTGACCGCTCTGCTGGGGAGACATGAGAAGTGAGGAAGAGGGGGAGAGGGTGGTGGATGGTGGAAACTGCCAAGCACAATAGCGATTGTACTACGTTTGCGTTGGCTGGTTGTGTAATGAGCTGAGGCTAAAAGACTGCATTACTGACAGCAAGCGTCCTGCAGAGGAGAAGAACGTTATTGAGGTTTCACTCTGGATGGCTAGTGGCAGCAAGTGCTGCTGTCACGTCCACTCAAATGACACATAGAAATCTAGTCAGACTAGTAACATGAGGGGCTGGAATGAAAGGACGAGTGGAGCTAATGTGTTAAAGTTTTTGGAATATACGCGTGATATGGTTATGAGGTGGTTCTTGTGTCTTCTGACGAGTTTGGAATAGGGTGTCCAGGTAGGGTAAAAGGTTATATGGGCAGCGGATGCGGCTGCGGCATTGGGGGTTGATGTCGAAAGGCTAGGCAGAAACGAGAAACAGGAAGGAGGGTTTTCACTAGCAGGCAGTTGAGTACATATAGCAAACCCTAATCTGGGCTGTACTCGCTATAGAGTACCCCACTGCAGGCTAGACAAACATCACATTCTGACACACCCCCATAGTCAAAGTGGGGTATAATCAGCACAACAAGCAGGCAGAGCAATAGTTCACAATGATAAGCAAAGCTAGAGACTATCACAGAGGGCAAGTGAGGAGGAGGAGAAACTGTGGAGGCGAGAAGATGGGAGGCGACGGCTGAAGCTGCAGACACACGGGCAACAGGAGTGCGCAGCACTGTCGCTACCAGGCTATACCCGGACTACTCAGGCGACAGGCGCAGCTGGCTCTCTGTGCTCCCAGGAGTGCTCACACTGTAGCTACCAGGCTATACCCGGACTACTCAGGCCACAGACGCAGCTGGCTCTCTGGACTACCAGGAGTGCTCACACTGTGGCTACCAGGCGCAGAGCCCCGGACTACTCAGGCCACAGACGCAGCTGGCTCTCTGGACTACAGGCGCTGCGGACGACAAGACGGCTGCCTCCACTCAACTTCCTCCAGCTGTCCCACACCCCTTTCACACACTCCCTGTTGAACCTCTAGCACCGCTCACACGCCACCCCCCTCGTACCACTCCGACGGCTCCAACACATCCACCCCCCTCAGCGGTAGCTGCAGCAGTGGGAGACGGAGGAGGAGGAGGAGCAGGGGACGGCTCACACACACGGCACCCCCATACTCTCCACCCCCAAACCCTAACACAGGAGCGCGGGCAGCAGCGGGGGCGGGGCGCGGTCAGAAGCTCGGGGGACGGCGTGCGGCACTGGGGCGGACTGTACGGGCCGCGCACGGGCCTGGCGCAGGCCGGACGAACCGCGCGCGGGCTGCCCGGGCCGCGCGCGGGCTGCCCGGGCCGCGCGCGGGCCTGGCGCAGCCCGTACGGGCCGCGCGCGGGCCTGGCGCAGGTCGCGCGGGCCGCGTCGGGCGACGGGGGGCGACGCGCGGGTCTCCAGGGGCGCCTCGACGGGCGACGGGGGGCGACGCGCGGGTCCCCGGGGCAGAAAACCGCCGCGAGCCTCGGGGCGCACGGCGGGCAGAAAACCACCGCGCTTTCGGAGCGCGTGGCGAGCAGAAAACCGTCGCGCGCCACGGGGCGCGCGACACACAAGACAGCAGCGGAAGCATCGGGCGGGACCACCCACAGGATCGACCCAGGAGGGTCGACCTGCTCTGATAGCATGTCGAAAGGCTAGGCAGAAACGAGAAACAGGAAGGAGGGTTTTCACTAGCAGGCAGTTGAGTACATATAGCAAACCATAATATGGGCTGTACTCACTACAGAGTACCCCACTGCAGGCTAGACAAACATCACATTCTGACCGTTGACATTGCTGCTAGAGGCTAAGCTGTAAGTAGAATAGCCACGTAGACCAAAAGAGGCGTGAGACAGATTGGATTCAGAATGGCTCACCTTGGTGTCGTACTCACGCCAACGCACCTGCTTCTTGGCGAGAGATGACCGAGAAGGAAGGTTGGGTTGGTTAAGTTTGGGAGGTGGTGTGAGGTGGGGGGTGGGAGATCGAAAGGGAATCAAACTACGAACTGCAAAAGATGATTTTGCAAGTCGCAAGATTGACAAGGGATATTTGTGTGTCTGTGCGTGCGCGCGCGTGTGTATGTGTGTGTGTGTGTGTGTGTGTGTGTGTGTGTGTGTGTGTGTGTGTGTGTGTGTGTGTGTGTGTGTGTGTGTGTGTGTGTGTGTGTGTGCGTGTGTGTGTGCTATTTAATTTAAAGCGTATCACATATTTCCGTATCTACGCGATACGCGTCGAGGCCTGAGCCTATTTTCCAACATAGTGTATTAGATGACTGGAAATTCACCAAGAGTGCAATGAGCCCAATAGAAGCACTAAGAAAAGGGGAGCTAAGAACACCAATGAATGGCGGACGACGGGTGGACCCTGATGGGGGTCTCAACAATCCTGTTGCTCCTCGCAGCTATGAACTCTCCAGCAACCCATCGTTCCCACCATGCCCCATACCTTCTTTTGGCCGGGCAGCTTCGGGATTGTCAAGAGCCGCCCGGGTCATGGAAAAAGCTGCTCGCAGATGATGCAGGGCACGACACTGGGGGAGGGGGGGAGGGAGGAGGGGGAAGGGGGAAATGGGAGGAGGGGGAAGAGAGGAAAGGGGGAAGAGGGAGGAGGGGGAACAAGGCATGCGATTGATGATTAGGAGTGGATAATGATAGAAAGGCGAGAAAGTAAAGAGGAAGGGGACACCCAGAGGAGAAGGATAGCAAGAGGAAACAGGGGAGAAGGGGAAAATGAAAGCGACAGGAGCGCAAAGAGACAAGAAGAGGAAAGGGATAATGGAAGATAATGGCAACATATGGTAGATAATGCACGTACGACAGCACGGGGATTGACGAGGGGTGAGGAAGAAGAACGAAACGAGAGAATTGGAGTGAAAGCATGGCTGGTAGCATCATTGCCAAATGACAGGGTGGGGCGCACATAACTCCATTGCAGAAGGCCGCACGACTGGACCTATAGAAGCAGAACTCTATATATGGTAATTGTTGACAAAGGATTCCACAGAAATTATTCACAATGCATGGCTTGTCACGGCCTGACTGACTGACATAGTGACCGAATGCCTGACTGACTGTCAGACTGACGGAGTGACTCACAATCCGAGAACCGATGACGACATGCATGGAAGATGGACCCATCCAGGATTTAGTATGCGGCCACGGGCATGGTGCGATCTGGACCGTCCCTTTTTTGCTTCCGCATCACGAACAGAAGAGGCTCGTGCACCATGTACAGCGAATACTCCCACCCCACCATCTCCCTGGACGAGGGGAGAGGGAAGAAAACGGGTCGTTGTGTGAGAGTGAGACGTCTCAAAATGCTGAGCAATCAAGATGGCTGGAGAGAGACAGAACCTAAATGAGCTCTCCACAACGGAAACGCATGCTCCAGAGCCATAGCTTTGAGCCCACACGAATCAAAACGCGCAACGAGCATGACGTAGCACCAACGCTTAACTGAGCTGAAAAACATGAAACGACATGAGGCGCGCTGTGTCAAGGGGATGAATGCCCTGCATCCTCGGCTGCTCGTTCTTGCACGTGCGATCGTAGAACGGGGAGTTGGCGAAGTAGTCGAACACGTTACCCGGCACGAGGCATCCGCCAACAAAATTAAGGAAAATCTGGTCGCAAAAACAGAGGCCTGCGAGATCTAATGACGGCACGGCCGGTTGCGGAGGCGCCGGCGGATTTTGCAGTGGAAATGCCGCCATGATGGATTGACTGCTAGTTTTCCCTCTTTTGCGCGAGGACGACAGAAACTGTCGGCAGGTTCAAATCGCAAGGTTTCAGTTATTTAGCCTTTTCAAGGAGGTGAGACTATAGATAGAGTGAGCAAGGGAATAGGACTAAGGACCAACTTTCTGTTGCGCCTTGAGATTGGCTCATGTGGAATGTGTCAGTGATGGTAGAATACCAACGTGAAGGCTTCCAAACCGCTTTCAGCATAAAAGGCACCGTACTGTATTGCTTCATGAGTTCAACTGATGCTATCCTGACCCGATCTCTGTCCAATGAACGTGGGGATGTGTTTCCTGGAATCAAGAACAACCCTTGTCCCCGTCTCACGATCTGTACTGCCTCGGTTCGCTTGGGCAGTATGGAACACGAAAGGCTGCTTGTTCTTCGTTCTGGCGAACTGGGATTTTGAAAGTTGTCTGTTTGAGTTCGTCGCAAACACAGTACGAACCGTCTCGCAAAGCGACGATACAGAACCCATTCCTTCCTGAACACGCCTAGAGTGAGCTGTTTCCAACCAACGAAAGTGGATTGTCAAGGGGCATTCTCCAATTCGTCAGCAGCTCGTTCTGGTTTTGTTAGCTAAGGAGATATCCACCAGCTAATGTTAGTCTGGCCAGGCTGAAGGGAAAGACAGGCCTCCCTCTTCTGTGGGCTTCAGACCATGCATAACGTCTGTAGTTTTTTAAGTTGAACATCACAGACAGATTTCTACAAAGCTCTATCACTGACAGAACAAGAAAAAACCATGGATGAGGAAGGTATCGTTCCCCATGTTGAAACCCCTCAACCACCTCGTCGGCTGAGTGAGGAGGTGGACAACTGGTATGAGGGATCGCATACAGTCTCTATGCATCGCCAATCCTCAGGGATCTCACACTCTGTTCGTCGACAAAGCTCAGGATTCTCAGAAGCCATTCGGCGTCTTAGTTCTCAAATATCAGAAACGGATGACTTGCGTTTGATTGAGGCTCTAAATGGCGTTGGTGAAGCAGCTTTGATCCATCTTATAAAGGCTTATCACGATGTTCTCAAGAGCCATGGCCTGTCTAAGGAAGCAGCAAACCTTGTCAGTTCAGCCGTATAGGAAATTTCAGCATTGACGGGAGACGAGGAGACTGAGGAGCTTGAAATGTCTCATGGAACAAGTTTGCTGTTGAAGACTGGACTGAGAAACTATCTACTCTCGATCAAACCATACTTGCCTCGTAATCCAACTCAGGTATACTATGGTCCAGGACCGCGTGTGTGCATCTTCACAAGATTCTTGCTGATCAACTGTGACTCCGTAGGTAATCAAGGTTCAAGGACTTCAGTATGTTGGAAAATCGAAGCCACTCCCTACCACGACACGAAATTGCTGGAATGCAGTAAGCTGTTTGGGCCTCATACATGATCGTAAAGTCCGAGCTTCATGTCTCAGGAAAGTCAAATCACGCATTCCGAAACACTGCAGGGGTATCTAAGCCTGAAGAACGTCTTGACACCCGAGGAGAATGTTCCAGTGTTGAAAGACATAAACGGGTACTAGTTTCGAGGGTTCTTATCTTGGCTTACACTGGAAGTCTACCTTTTTTCTTTACTTACTTCACCACCATTGATTTTGCAGGTACTTCATGTCAGGCACATTGACCCTTGTTATTGGATCAGCTGGTGTGTTAAGATTTTGCAGTGAACAATACGAGCTGACGCATGATATTTGTTTCATCGTTCTCGTTATTTCCACACAGGAAGTGGAAAATCAATGCTGTTAAAGCTCATTGGAGGCCAGCTTGCAGCTTTTAAAGGTGTTATTCGATTCAATAACACGCCAAGTACAAGCGTCCAGGTTCACCGCACTGTTGGCATGGTTCCAGAGCAGGACCATCATCTTCCTCTTCTATCTGTTCGTGAAACACTGGAGTATGCTCGGAGATTCACCCGTGCTGTGACCCTCCGGCAGCTGAAGCACAACAAGATGATACATGCTGTCCTGCATGAAGCGGTTGATGCTGGAGAGGATCCGCTTGTGGAATCTAGGCTCCTGATGTTTGGTCTGACAAGTCAGGCCAACTCACATGTGGGATCAGCAGGCTTGACAAAAGATGAAAGGCACTGGCTGACAGCAGCAGAAACCGTTGTTGGGGCTTACCCAGTAAGTTTCGTTGTTGTCTCTCTCTGTTTCTGTCCATTGAATCATCTTAATTGTAGAGGCTGGTTTCTTTTCAGGTTTTGGTGTTTGATCACATCAGTGAGCTATATGATGGTCCATCTACTTTCAAAACCCTGTCCATGCGGAAAGAATATGCCCAGGTCCGACAGACAGTGGTGGTATGCAGCTTGCAATGGCCAACTCAGGAAGTCTTTAACCTGTTTGATCGCGTCATCGTGCTCAACTCAGGCCAAGTAGTCTATCAAGGCCCAACTGCTTGTTCAACAAGCTACTTTGTGGACCTGGGGTATGAGTCTTGCCTTTTAAGAGGTGTAGGTGCTCGTAGTTGACCATCATTCATGGTTACTGTTCTGTTTCTCAGGTACAAGAAGCCTAAGCACATATCGGAGCCAGAGTTTCTCCAGATTGTCTCCACAGAGGCTGGAGCACAGCTTCTTGAGCCAGGCTATGAGAAGCTGGACCTCAATGGCTTTGGTAGGACCGTGCTGTTTTGTTCTGCCATGGGTATACTCATGACAAAGCAAACCTGAATGAACCTTGCCATTACCGCAAACCGGTTCCTGCATAGTGATACTAGCTGACGATGCAGCAGCAACATGAATTCTGGCCAAGGGTCCAATATGAACCGAGACTTCAACTGCTTCACCTCATTTTGTGCTTCGTTGACCTGAGCATAGGATGTCAACAAATGGTTGCTCAACACGGAGAACAACCCATCAAAGTTGCAATTTCCATCACCTTTTCCTCAGAGGAAATTGTCTCTGGTCGTTGAAACTGAAGCTGAACCATGTTGCTGCTGTCCTTAAGACTTCAATAACCTTGCCAAGGTCTTGCAAGTCCAGCTCACCACCAACATACCCATGGCAGAACCTGTCCTACAAAATTCCATCCCCCCATTCGGATAGAGACAGGGAAGTCCTAACGAGCGTCTCAGGTTGGGTCAAGCCTGGTGAGATTACATGGATTGTGGGAGGAAAGGGCACAGGCAAGACAAGCCTTCTCAACTGTCTTGCTGGTAAACAGTCCTGTACTACATATTTTCTCGACATAATGTTTCTGTAGTACTTAGACCCCTCTCACTTCTCAGCATTCTCTTGTGACAGGGCGAAAAAATCGTAGGCGAATCACAGGCCAGATTTCTGTTAATGGTTTGCCTCGTGATCTTGACTCCTTCATCCGATGCACGACATACATGGAAGGAGGCCATCAGCACTACCCGTATTTTATAGTTCGAGAGTGCCTTATGTATCGAGCCGACCTTCTGTTGCCACAATCAGTGTCACGCAAATCGCGTAACTCGTTTGTGGACAAGGTGAGGCCTATTCAGTTCTGATCATTTCCATGGATGTGTACACATGCCTATCTCGTCCTCATTATATCATCTCGTGTTTCAGATTCTGAAGGTTACTCGAGTACATGACCTTGCAGAGTATTTGGTAAATGACCTCTTTACTTCAGGTGGCAGCGGTCTGGTATTTACGGAAAAACGAATCGTGCTGGCCATGGAGCTTGCAGGAAATCCCTCAGCACTTTTTCTTGACACCCCGTTCATTGGCATGGACATGCAGCAGATTGTGCAGTTTGCAAAGATTCTAGACGTGAGTAAACACATGTCAGGCATTCTCCTATGATGTAAAATTTTCCCGTTTACTGATGTATATGAACCTGCTCTGTTTATGTGCACTTCAGAGCTTGGCAACAAGTTGGGGCAAGGCCATAGTATTGACAGCCAACGTGCCCACAGTGGTTCAGCCCAACAGCTTCACTTCTGTGCCCATGCTACGCAGTGGAGGTGAAATGGTATACTTTGGACCTGCTGGTCGATTTAGCTCTGCCATTGTGGTGAGTGAGATTGTTGGGATGCTAGGGTTGGACCTTCTTGGCTGAGATGTATAGCTTGTTTTCCATGTTTAGTTTTGCCTCTTGATGTTTTCTCTGTTCATGATATGCAGGAATACTTCCAATCCATACCTGGCACTCCCATGCTCCATGACAACATGAATCCCATCAGCTTCTTACAGTATGCAATGGGAGAAGGCGTTTTGGAAGCTGTAGCTTCACTTGACTATGCATTTGAGTATCGAATCAGCAACCTGGCCATAAGCAACGCCCAGCACCTGCGGAAGCTTCGTCGCAATCCCAACTCCTTCTATGCTTCAGAAGCATCAGACTCAACTGCTGCTATGCCAGCACTTCCTGGATCTGGTCAGGTGGCTTGGAGTTCAAACCAAGGCAGAACAGATACCAGCACAGTACTTGCTAGCGAGGAACCTTCTTTGCAGTCCAGGAAGCCTAAAAGCTCTCTGAGACCCACCTCAACACCTACTTATGTGTCAAAAACTTTACAAAAAGCCACGCTACAAAGAAGTCGCTGGTGCTTGCCACAGTCCCTTTGCATGTCACGTCTGGCAAAGGTGTATTGGTCCATCAACGTCCTATACTGGCGGAACACCTCTTAAACCCTCTCCCGTGTCAAAACATTGTATTGTGTAGGCTGTAGTGGGGTAGCCTATATGGGGTACAACCCAATTTAGGGTTAGTACTTGTACCAAACCCTGTCATAGTTCATTCATTCCTGCTGTTCACTTTGACATGGTTTCAGAGCAGATCCTGTCCCAGGACCGTTCTCGTTAGGGCCCACCGATCGTATTCTGCCCGTCGTGCTGCCCCACCACACGCGCATACCCTGCCCTGCCCTGCGTTGCGCCGCCCCGCGCACGCCCTGCCTGCCCTGGGTTGCGTCGCGCTGCCCTGCGCACGCTCTGCCCTGCGTCGCGCGCCACGCGCACGCCCTGCCCTGCCCTGCGTCGCGCTGCCCCGCGC